ACTGATATGTTCAATTACATACCGCGATAAAATAATATTTTTTTGAATGGCCACGCTAACCCGGGTATGGAAACTTGCTAAAATTTGCAACAAGATATCGGTATCTCATTCTTATATCTCCACTTCCTTGACAACAGTGTTCCCTTCTGTAACAATGGTAAAACAATACGTGAAATTTTCTGAAGAATCATAAAACATAGAAAAGTTAAATATTTTACTAAATTGGACATTTTCTTAATTGAACTATACTTATTTAAAAACATTCAAATTGTCAATGGTAACTTACTTTTGAGCATGGGGGAACACTGCCGAAATATACCAGTTGGTATCAACGCAGTTCCAATTATTCCATTACCAGTAAATTCTGGCGACGGATATTTGATTCTAACCGATATGAACCAACATAGACTTTTTAGTAGAATTGAAATATTTAGTTTCGGGCGTAGCACGGAAACGTTTTTTTTTCTCATTGTTAATATTACAATTTCTATTATTGCTGTATTTAATAAATGTATGAATCGATATGTACAATTGCACCGCAGCATGCGTTTCGCCTACTTTCCATTGGTTCATGGATTGATATTATATACTACTGTTTACTTGTCCATAGTCCCAGTCTTATTTTAATCTCAACAGGTGAATATGCTGTTGCCTGGAATGGAATAGCTGTGCAATACAGTGAAAAATAACATCTGAAAAGCCTTACAATTCCTTATTTTAATGGCATGTTCATGTCGCTCTGTGCACGACATTTCATTCAAGTGGTAACGATCATTTGTAACACAGCTGCATACTCTTTAAGCAACTGCGTTTGGGCATTTTATTCGTGGTGGTCTATCTATAAGACTGTGGAATGAATAGGAATATTTGCAGTAAAAAAATCATTAGTTTATCATGTATTCACCACGAGCATCATAAGTTTCGATGTTGGTGCGAATAGATGGCAATAAATAATCTTTTTCCATCACCCGTGAGTTCAGCCTAAATGATAACAAAACCGTTGTTCTTCCACATATACATATGGTCATTGTAATATTATTAAGAAATATATCAGTGGCCACATGGGATCGTACCAAATTATCTTTTACAGTTTGTTAAAGGCATTCTTTGTATTGAATTGAAAAAGCTACACGCTTGACAACATAACGCCGACCGACAAGAGGGCTTCCTTTCACGTCACATAGAGAGAACTCACACTTTTCGAACAGCTGATCGGCGGTGTTTGCGTTTTTTATTCAGCGGTGCGTAACCGGCGCATTTCGTTTTGTTTCTTTAACTAATTTTGCCGTTTCTCACTCTCCGTTTTTGTTACCAAAATGGGACAGCTGTTTTGCCCGTCAGGAGTGAAGTGAGAGAAGCACGCGCTAATACAAAGAAAGAAAAACAGCGGATACTCGATAACAGGCCGACTACTTCACTGGGCATTGATTATGCAGAAAAACGACCGACCGTATGAACGGAAAAGAATGTATGTGTGCGTTGTTACGCTGAAGCATCCTTCAAAGAAAATTTTCAATTACATTTTACTAGTGCGTTAAATTGCATCTGGTATTATACAAGACGGGCTATGAAACAGTTTGGTGAGGCTCTAACGCACACTTCATATAATCAAATCGCAATTGGTGGATTCTGCTTGATTTGATAAATCATTTAGTACGAATAAATACTTTATTGGCTATAAAAACACTACGCAAGTGGTGATAATTTTGGCCCTTTTCAAGCCTCCCCCAAAAGAACCGCCAATCTGTATCTTATTTGTTTCATTTGGTATTTTATAGAGCGTTCAGTTTCGTGGCTACAAACATCTACAGATATGAGACAATCAATTTATGATATACATTTATATATAACTAAGAGTTGGAATCTTTCTGGTTAGCGTCTTGCCAGCGCTCAAAATAAGAAAAATTAGTAATTATCCAGTTAGGGCGAGGGATAGAAATGCGGGTTGCGCTGGAAATTCAAACTGGATAATTACTAATTTGTTATTTTAAAACGTGACGGAGGATGTTTGTTTCAAATCTCACATCATTGCATTAGTGCGGGGGGCTTTGTAGAAACGATCCCAAGACTATCTTAGTAAGATTATGTCCAGGGTTGATTTCGTGATATGGTTATGGGCAATTTCGGAAAGGCAGGGGTTTGTATTTCAACTAGCATGATATTATTAAAAGAAAAATAAAGGCCTTGTCAACTTGTAAGACCGGTTAAGAAGATAGGTTGAGAAAGTGCGTTAACTCAATGACTAAAATTGAGTTTGTTTTACGATACCTAATTTGCAGATAAAAATCAAGCTCACCACTTCAGATTTGAGTCGTCTAACCTCCGAATACAACGAGTTGAAACCTCTGCTAGTTCAGAACTTTTAATGCAAAAGTGCGAGTTAACACCCCAAAAAGAATCAAATAGTAATACAACTTAGGAAATACCCGACTTGTATTGTGTGATTCAAAAGGGCGCTACTCGTTCGATTGGGGGGCTTTCTCGGTACAGGTCACATAAATCAAAAATGACCGCCGGGAATTTTAAACTTTAAGGTATCGCATGAAAAATACCCAAAGTATTGAAGATATCGATTCTTGGGCATATAAATCTCACTTAGTTGAATCTATAAAAACTTAAAACTCGGGCAAGGGCAAGTACACGAGTATAACCGCGCGGACGGTGCTCAAATTCATTTTTAACTTTTGATGTGAATATGTTTTTATTTCAAATTTATTGTCGTCCATTCTGAAGATTAGCGATCTGGTTTTTATAGGCCCACAATTTCCAATCGGATTCAGCAAACTTCATTTTCCAGGATAGCTCTAAAAGGGAAACATATTCGCAAATGTAGTTTTGCGAGAACTGACTTTTTTATGTATATTCGCTGATGTTGCAATCTTGCAGCTAAATCAATGTAGCGAATTGTCAAGATCATTGATTCCACTCGTATAGCATTCTAGGTGGAAATTACCATTCGCGACATGTGTTCAATATTTTATCTGTGGATTACTATTTAAACTCTGAAGTGACCTATCCTGTTTAGTGAAGTCAGATAAAGGATTTTGCTCATATAAAAATATCTGGTCTTCAATTATATTTAGATTTTGTGAAAGATGTTCCTGTAAGGAACAAAGCGCACAAACTTATGCCATATTCGTTATATTAAAAACCTAATTGGCAAAAACTCACATACCTGGTCTGACCTAACATCTAAAATTTAGGCCCAATTCAATCTTAGTGGATAATGGTTCATAACAATAAAACTTAGGGTACAAGACTATTGAAAGACTATTGTTGCATTTTTTCATAATTATACCTAAGGGAAAGAAAGGTGCACAGCCGGCTTAATCATAGGCGAACAACAGATTTTCGCCTATTTTCTATAAAGCAGGTTTAGTTGATTTTCTATCGAGTGGGTGGCAAACAATAAAGAGGGGAAAAGCATAAAGATCCCACTGCACTGCAGAAAATGTACAAAGTCCCAAGAACAAAAGCCGTTTAACTATGCCTATACTACGAATAACGCTCATGGTATTTTGGATATGAATTTCGCGTTTTCGATTTATGGATACCGATAAATCATTGTTCGATGTATTGGTGCGTTTCGATATGCCATGATTCATATCGGAGGATTCATTGTCTATTTTTGAAAAATGCATATATATATATATTATTAATTTGGTGTGAAACATTATATATAGGGTGTGTTACTTATCAAGTTGGTATTCAAGCTGAAATAGACATTACATAAATAGAATATCAGATGTATCATTATGATTTAACAAGTATTTCATAACATTGCGTGTAGTTTGAAGCAATGTTCATATATATATGCATTATAGTGCGATATTACTATTATAGGCTACTTATATATATATACACACTTGTTATTTCTGAGATTGCAGTCCTGAAAACCCAATCTTTTTATTTTTAACCTTGTTTTTACCAGACTGAACAAATATTTTTGCGTATTCAGTAGTCTAGCTATCAAATACGGCTGTATCAAATACCAGGAGATATATTTTGTGACGCACATTCAAAATTATGTCGTACTACATTTATATATATGTACTCACATGTAAAGCGTTAATGAAAATCGTTGTCCTGTCAAGGAAGGTGTACTTTTTTGAGCATCCAGATCGTCCATGAACTTATTACAGAATTATATATAATATATTTTTTACCAAATTAAATTTAATAAAGAGCTCAGAGTTTGTAAACACATAACAATATGATAATCGTAATCACCATACATCCTTCGTGAAATAGAGAAAATGATGTATGAATTATTTCTCGAAAAACCTATGACCTAATAAACTCAAATTAGGAAAACGAGTCTGCAGTAATGTATATCGAACGACAGAATTTTTCAATGAAATAAATTCAACATTTTGTGCTCAATACTCCCATCTAACGTGTGAGAATTTTCGTTATGCGCCAATGATGTTTCATCAAATCGCGGTTGTGCAGTCTGGCATGATTATATTGATACGGGGATTCTTTACAGGAAATTAAACAAGGCTTACATGTACCAGTGTTTTTATTATCTAAATTAAATTTTAACGGAATTTTCTTTTATCTGGAGTAAGTATTTTTGTCAACCAGGATTAGTTTATTGAAGGGTGCAGAGTGGGATGTAAATTTTCTCCGATTGCCAATTATTGTTGCAAAAAACGTTTTTCTCGCAAATACTTGACAAATCAATTTCAAATATTTGAAGACGATAGAAGGTTAAAAAGATAATTTCCGACTCCTACAAGACCAGATATTTCGCGTTTTCATTTTAATTGATGGGAACACTTTTATATGACATTCATATTCGAGAATTTTTCTCTTGTTATTTGGTGAAATTGTGTTGACATTGCAACAGAATAGAGCCGTTTATATTTTTTGTTGGATTCCTAGAACTTTTTACGTTGTGTTTCGCAATATGCATAAATGAACAAACTATGGGATAAATTATATTTTAATCCCTAGCGACAGGTTTTGGTATCTCATTCCTTGCAAGATATTTTTAGTCTATCCAGATCTTTTATTTTCTTGAAATTTAACAATTTAACATATACACAGAATATATTGTAAATATTTGAAATCAGTTTGGTATCACTCTGTAGCTTTCGCAACCTTGATCTCTTCTAATCCCCTCTCTAAATTCTGACGTCGCTCATCCCATCTATTCTTGTGCCTGTTGAAATATGTTTGAATATGCAGCTACAGCAGATCATAATTTGTGTGTGAAATAAGATTTCGAACGCTAAAATGCGCGTGGTCAGAGATTAAATGTTCAATATTTTTTTTTTACATATGTGAAGTTGTTTATATAAGTCGTCGATACCTGTCATTGATTGATGCAATCCCAACGATATTATCAGAAAAGTGGAATATATATACAAACTGAGAATTATAGAAATCAAACGACTTTTTTCTTAACGGACCTGTCAAGTTAGCATCCAGTCAAGTATCAAAACATAAATTGTGATGATTATTACAATAATATCTTTCATTTGCATATTATAGTTCAGCCTAATCAATTTCAAAATACTGGAATAAATGATTTTTCATTTTATTATTATTTTCATCTGATACACTCGAACTCAGGAGTTTATATTACATTTTTCAAACAACCTGATAATTATTCCTGACAAATTAGTCCACGCTTTAAAGTTTAAACCATTCCAATTTGCCTTGCATATGCTCATTTTCAACTACAGTGTTTTCCAGGAAATGGTTTCCCCAACCTCTGTACGACGTGACTAATTATCACAAACTTACCTTCGACCCCTGAGGCTTGTTTGTGCTGTTCAATTATTACGATAACAATAAATATATGCTGCCGCTATATACTAACCTAGGGTAAGTCGGGGCAAAAATTGCCAGGTACAGGAATATTCCGGCGTACACCAGGTTGACTATTCCATTTATTTGGAAGGCCTTGTATCCGGGACCGGTTTGTACTTCGAAACCGGGGTAAGTTTCGCTCATTATAGCTGGAGCGTATTTTGATTTTCCAACCATGGACATGAGAAATCCGAGTACTGCAAAGACGCCTGTAATATTGATTCCCATTAATATATTTCCGTTCGCACTAACTAAACTTGGCCGTAAAGTTTACACAGCTACTATTCAATTACTGGAAGCTCTTATTAGTTTGAAACTTGCTATAATATTTGTTCCCTCATATGAAATTGTGGCGCTAGACATAACTGTATGGTTAACAATCCCAAGGCGTGAGAGCTATATATATGTTAGAATAGTCGACCACTTGTCCGATAATGGCATTTGTTGTCAGAGGCCTGTATATATATAAAATTTTGCATTCTGTTCACGTCTGTACAACCAGGAAATAAAGTTTCATCAAAATACCTGTCAGGCAATACAGCACAGCTGCGATGATGGGTTTCAAAATTAATCTGCATCCAGCTGGAGGAGGATCATACATCATTCCCATTGTCTGAAATATAAATAATCTGACAGTGTACGAATGTATCGCTTATTATTATTATTATTAATTATCCTTTCTGTCCACGAGTACCCATACTTTTAAATGTAAAGTAAATTTTTATATTACCACATGATTTTCTTTCGAATCAATCGGGACGATTATACCTGGGTTATTAGCATATTTGTGAAAAATTAATATGCCATTTGTATATGTATTTGGTTTTGATAGACAAGAAAAAACGATCTGAACTTTCAAAACTATTGACCAAAAATCAGTATGACGATTCAGAATGCTTATCTTGATTCAAACATTCAATCAGAACATGTACTCAACGTATACAAAGCGTTTTTCAATATTTATTACTAATTTACCATTAACACTGCAGGTATGAACGTTATGAGGTGGAGCGTGGCCATCAATTGCATGGTTTTAGTCGAGCTCCAGAAGCATACATTGGGATCCTCCCCGCAGTCTCCTTCCAAACATTCCTTCTCGATCTGAAATATAACTATATTGTTACACCATATTCAATCAATCGAGCTTCAAATAATAGCCTACTTACTTACCTTTGCAAATGACATGCAATTACCAGTTCTGTTTGCTGGACGAATAATTTCACAAATTTCGGTATTCTTAATTCCAAAGAAGGACACTGCAGAATTGGTCGCTTCATCTGTAGCCTTCAATAACTCCTGGATATCAGTGCGATCGATGAACTCACCAGATTTTACCTGATTTATAAGAAATATTTCGGTGATTCTACTAACTGAAGTATATGCTGAGGTTGGCCATGTCCTATATGGGTAACTAATTGTTTATGACTCGGATTGTAATGTGGAACTGAAATAATTTCTGCTGATGCAAACCAAAGAAATTCTTTGATGTTGTCAGCGACTACATAAAAATCATCTAGTCTACATGACTACTTAGAATGCCCAGTCACAGTGCGTGAGTATGATGTCATATTCAGACCTATTATAAAAAAAATAATTACTGAACCAATAAAAAAACTTTTTTTTTAGTATATAGTAAGATGTTCTAACCGACTCGAAGCTCTTCATTTCGTCTGTAATATAGCTTTCTCGAAACAAGGGGTAGTGAGGGTTGCATATCAATGGTTTCTCTATTCGATCCGGATCGGAGATATCCAGGGTGATAGGTCCCTGGAGTAACATTTCGTGAGGAACTACAACTTGAAGTTGAAACGTCGACAATGTTGCCAACACCAGTACAAGGACGTAGATATGGATCAACTGAAAGAAAACAATAATAAATCAGTTGAATAATGGATACCTACCGGGTCATCTCTATATCCTTTTATTTCTTCTTGTATTACCGTGTTTCCCCGAAAATAAGACCTACCCTGAAAATAAGACCGAGCTAGAATTTTAAAAATGATTTTAAAATAAGACCTTTCTCCTACACATTTTAAATTATCCATAATCTATGTTTTGCAGTTATTTTGACTAAAAACGTGTCATGGATATCGCTTCTCATATTTTGTATGTTTGAAAATCTCGTAATTCCCTGCTTTATAATTTTTGATAAATGAAAATATAACACATCCCCCGAAAATAAACCCTAGTGTTGTTTTTCGAAAATAAAAATTGAAATAAGACCCAGTCTTATTTTGGGGAAATACGGTACATATGTAATAATTTGAGGACATAACTAATACTAACGTTACAGAAATCTCAGATGGCTCCGTATAAGAGACCCATGTAACGTTCTACATTATTTTGGGAATATTTCAATATAAATTTGTTCCATTGTTCCAAAAGCACACAAGAACGCCAAATTGACTCACGAGAATAAAGCTTCCATATGCGTCGATTTTATGTTTCGTTGGAATAGGCTTCTTGCCGCCATCTTCTTCAGCCATTATTGCTTTTAGTTCAATAGGGCGATGAAGCCCCGTCACCTTGGTTTGGGAAAAGGCAAGCAGCGACGAAGGCTCACGAGAAAAGACGTCATAAAGAACCCTTTATGTCGACATAAACATAAACTCGTCAAATTGAAGATGTCACAATGATATACATAAAAAATCAAATGCGCATGTGGGCGCTACAGAGTCGTGTATTTACGTTCATGTTACTGACGTGTCCACGAGTTCGCTTGAAACAAGGCTGCCACGAAAAGTGCCAGTGTTTTATTTTATTATATCGGTATTGCAGAACGTACCGGTAATACGGCAATGGGGGATGAGGTACTTAAATTTTCTTTTTTAAAGTGATGAAATGGACATATGAAAAACGAATAACGTATTTGGACATACAAACATATGATAAACGAATACCGGTAACGTACCTATGTTACGGTACGGTGTTTGCTTTGTGATTGTTCGCATGCTTGTTTTTACAGGCTTACGGTATGTCAGTACTGCAGTATGTATTTTTTGTCATATTATATTATCTCAAAAAAAGTTCTTCACTCCTTCCAGCCCTCCCTTGGTTGTAGCCATCTCCAAAGTTGAGAAGATCCGTAAATGTTTATAGATATGCTGATATACCGGGGCGGTGCAGATATAGGCCTAATGGATACCGTATAAGACAAAACTAATTTTGTAATGGAAGAATGGCATGACTATAAATTCATATTATGTTTAAAAATTATCGACTTTGTACTGATATCAAACTGTGAAAGGTCCATCTAATACCGGTGTCTTCTTTCATCTTTGCTAATTTTTAAGTCCCCGAGACTAGGCTGCTTGGCAAACAGAATACATTTCATTGTTTACTTGGCGCTCATATTATCATGACGTTGAAAATCGAAACTGACTTATCTAATTACTAATCTCCTGACTCTCTCGATTTGATTTGTTTTCACCAAATTGTATTCTCAATTTTGTTGAACAAGAAGTAACTCCTTTTATTTGACATTTGTTTGACCTCATTTGCTGCTGAACTCGGCAAACGCGATGTCATGGACACGATGATTTTGGTATTCTTTCACGCCCGCGTCAATTGCGGAAATATTGTATGTCTCCTTGTTTCAATTGATATTATTGTTAACATTTTTTTATTACTTATGTTGGTACAATATTTCATGCACGACTGGAATAAAGTATCTGAATCTATCAGCATTTTGTGATCAATTAAGTTGATTAACTGAGTTCTTTATTACTTATCGATCTTCAGATCGGTAAGTATGTTGATAGGTATTTGTCTGTTAGATGCACTCGATATCTCACGAAGGCGAGGTTGAATCTGCTCCAAATTTGTGCATTCATCATATCTCGGACCAGAAGCCTATTGATTTTAGATGAATTATGTCGTATAATTAGCGAGTTATTAATTAATTAGTGATGGGACACGCGGTGTCACTATAGAGTCATGATATAATATTTATGTATCACAATTTTCATCATTTTAACTATTGGGGACTATATTAACTACGTATATTTGATATTTGCTTCATTGGAAGAATTCATACTCACAATCCAATATGGTAATTGTTGAAAGATGTATGTGCCAATTTTTAGACAACACTATAATTTATGTCAAATTTACATATAGTATAGTATTAAAATAGTAAAATGAATCACGAAAAAGTTAACTTTTAAATATCTATCCATTGATAAAGAGGTCTCTCTCTGTCTATCATCTGCCTTGTTGCAATTTTAACATTGGGAGCCAGTGGAATGTAAATAACATTTGTTGTCTGCTATTGAGATGAGAACATAATTATTTAGTCTATTATTTCTTACTGCAAAGTGGTCTCAATTGCATATATATGATTATTAGTTTTTCGAAGTTTTATCCTCACTTTGTGGCGAATTTTGACTCCCCATAGCAGATAAATGTGTTTAATTACATGAAGGGTTACTTTTGATACGATTTGAAAAAAATGGGAAAAAAAGGGCATCATCTGTGAGAGCTATTCAACTACGTTAATTAAGTTGTATAGACAGTAGGACACAGTTCCCTGATTCCAAGATGTTTCGACATTTTATTCAATGAAACACACTCTATTTGTCTCTGAAACAAGGATGTATGCATCAGATTGCACCATTATTGTCTCAGTAATATTTCAAGTCAATCGCTGCCATGTAATCGAAATTGCGTTTTTTTGCTAATAACTTAAATGCTGCGGTGACTTTTTTTTCTTTAATAAATCGGATCATTTTTTTCAAAGAATCCAATAGTGACGTTTTTTAATTGCAATTTCTTTTAGTTTATTACGCAGTGCAGGCTTGCCAATTTGTACTGATATAGAGCTTTTATTGACCATCTCAGTGTAGTACTAAAATATATTTAATGTCCAATTTTTATAATGGTATACTTGTTAGTTGCAGGATTACAATATCCTATTAAAATCAACTGTGGCCTATCCACACAACACAGCATAAATACCCTGTCTGTATAGATTTTGCTTCGGGATAGAAAATATCGAAAATGGTGAAAGTGAAGCAAGTAAATGTAACAGCAAATTATGCATGGAGTCCAGCAGAATTGCACCCAATACAGCTCGCAACTGCCACTGCTGCCCAACAGCTTGATGCAACATTCAGTACATCTGCGAATTTGTCTCTGTATTCAGTAGATTTGGCAGATTCTTCTAAGGAATTAAAGCTTGCTGGACAAGTTGACATCCCCACCAGGTTCGTTTATATTTTACATTTGTCTTCACATCATTTAACAGTTATAATTTAACTTACCTGTAGTTTTATTTCAATATTGCCTATGGGATTCTAACTTAGGATTCCTGGTTATTTTTTGCATTAGATGTGTTTCTTGTTAAGTATGCTTCTTATTGGGTAATCGTTGGTCCAGAATGTTGACAATTACGCTAATTTGTTGCAATCGGTTTTACCTGATGTACAATATTACAATTTTATTATTACTTATCGATCTTAAGATCGGTGAGTATGTTGATAGGTATTTGTCTGTTTGTTTGTTTGTCTGTTAGATGTACGCGATATCTTACGAAAGCGAGGTGGAATCTGCTCCAAATTTTGCATGTGCATTCATCATAGCTCGGATCAGAAGCCTATTGATTTTCGATGAATTATGTCATATAATTAGCGAGTTATTAATTAATTAGTGATGGGACAAACGGTGTCACTATGGAGTAAGAGCGCTGTTTTGGGGGAACCCCTAACTTTCGATCGATAAGTCTTCGGTCTCTGACTGATATTCTCGTTACTGTTTTAAGATTCTATAAAGTGATATGGGGAAACACTGGGTATGAATCATCAACTGGGGAGAGCAAAGGTCTCATCGTTTGTGGTGCTGATAACGGACTTATCAATATTTATGATCCAACCAAATTGATAGATAATACTGATAGTGAGGCTGCATTGGTGAATACCAACAACAAGCATACAGGACCAGTCAAAGCTTTGGACTTCAATCCATTTCAGGTTCATTTTTTAATTGCTGCTTCTTATAATAAATAATCTACTTAACAGAACAGTTCTAGTTTAGGCGAAAAGTTTTTAATGTTGTTTTCTTGGTAACAAAGTAACCTTCTGTAAGCCTTAAAATCGATTCCATTAGAGTCGGGATTTCAGACTTTTGATGTGGGTAAGAGAAGAATTTTTCAAATAAACTCAAAAGGCATAAGTTTGCTAAACCATCTTAAAAGTCTAGTTTTTGTTATTAAAATTTGATCTTCAGAGGGTCAAGCTTTTCAAAAGAAAACTTGTTAAAAGTAATGTAACACGCTCTCGTTCAGAAATCAGATATTATATATTTGAGTGAAGTTACCATGGCAGGATTTGTTTTTACAATCAGTAGTCAGAGTTCTAAACAATAAACATGTTGATTGACTAGAATTAAAAAAAAAATCCATCACTTGTTTATATTTATTCAGAAAAATCTATATGCTTCTGGAGCAACTGATAGTGAGATTTTTATTTGGGATTTGAAGAATCCATCGAATCCTATGACACCTGGGAAAAAGACTGAACCACTTGCTTCTATCAGCTGCGTAGCTTGGAATCGTCAAGTGAGTTTTGTTTATTTCGAATAACTTTTGCTAGTTGACATGATAACATTTTGTTTTGTTTTTCTGGTGAATCATTGCAAAGACCAAGTTAATGCACAGTTATGAAGCATGAATGTACCTAACATCTAATTTATACAGATGAGAACATATGAAAAATATTTTGTTCCCACTTCTCTCTAAACAAAATTATATTTACATACAGATTTAAAAATGGTTGCCAGTTCAGCAAAATAATATTTTCAGAGATAATAAACAGGTCGACACGATGTCCAAGCAGGGCACATTGCTAGTTCTAGTTCCATGTCTCACTCAGGGCGTAATAAATTGGATAGGCCGGACTGGAGAGATTCCGGTTCTTTCAAAAATATTAGTACTTTATAATAATCAGTGACTGCTTGTACAGAGCCTGTTTTTGAGCAAAAGTCTTTGAATATGTGTTGTATAAAAAAGGTACCTTTGTGGTATCCTGCTCATTATCATAGCACTAGTGCAATGAGTGATCTATATAGCTATACTTCCAAATTGAGCATCTTCAATTTTTGTTGTTGATTTTGTCATAAAAATTGAATACTAGAAAATTCATCATTTCTTCATTCATTCTTTCCACTCAGGTTCAGCACATTCTTGGATCATCTACCAGTGTAACATCAGGTCCTTGTTGTGTCGTCTGGGATTTGAGAAAGAATGCACCAATCATAAAAGTTTCTGATCCATCTGGAAGAGTAAGTTGTTGTTAGAGCAGGGGTCACCAAACTACGGCCCGCGGGCCGGATCCGGCCCGCGACGTCATTTTATCCGGCCCGCGGCGTCATTTTATCCGGTCTGCAATAACACACAGAAATGGCTAAGATTTTCACGAGCATCGTCGTCCTTGTTTATTTCGTAACATTGGCCAATCGGCAAGATGCAAAAAGTGACGTAATAATAGGCCTTTCCGCATCCGCTCAGATACTTTTGTCACCCTGACAGATTTTCAGTCAGGGTTTCAACTTCGTTTTTGCAACTTTGAATGCTACCAGCACGTAACGTTTTCTGCGATACACTTGTACACTCGTGGCGCGTGCTTTCGACGGAACTGTTTGTTTTTTGTGCTAAAATAAACGTCGAATGTGCATTTTGTGCTAACAGTACTGTGATCCCTCGCGTACTGCTTCAATTTCAAAAGCCACACTAACTTTTGTACTGCTTTAATGCGGATATTCATGTAGGTATGTTACAAAAAATTTGAAGTTCATCCGATTTAAATAAAAACTGCTCCAGTGGAAAGATCTGAGTAAAAATAGAAAACAATACCAAGTTTATAATAAATGATCAAGAAATAACGGAGATATCGGAATTTTAGTACCGCCCGACAGGCCAATTTTTTCCATAATGATTGTATTACTTTTTTGATAAGAACTGAACTAAATATGAAAAAATAACACATATCAATCACTAATCTTTCGTTGTGCGTCACATCTATGGTATATTGAGACTATTTCAGGATTTTATTCTGGCAACGGTCATTGACACCGCCAAAAGATTGTCGTAAATAAACGCTGGAGTACTTGATAGTTTGACAGTGGTTCATTGTGGGTAATAATTAACGATGTTTTGATTGTACGAACTTCATAAAAATTGTATCAAGTTAGGAAAGAAATATACACGTCCACATAAATTTTATTGGTGTCCATAGACAATATCATTAATTTGCGCTACGTATGACTGGAGCGTAATTTTTAAAAGCGTCGAATGTTGGGAAATTTATGCGCTAATGAAAAAATCAAATACCAGATAATAGTTGTTTATTTTATCTAAATTATGTCAAAATTTCATAGAATTCCAAGCTACAGCAGGCAGTCGTTTTTATAAGCGGTATTTCAACACGGCGTAACGGTACCTAGCAGACGTGATGCGTACATTTTTTGCCGCGGATTATATAACATTTCTAATTCATGACAGCAACGTTTTGATAACATCTAAACTCAGGATAGTTGTCTCGAAATGGAAATGTCTGGAAATCATGTTAATTTTTTTTCCTAGAATGTTCTCGATCTATATTCTGCGATATTCCCAACATTTGTGAATCTATTGTATTGCATTGACAAAAATATTCATCCGGCCCGTTTCAACACAATTTGAGTCATACCCGGCCCGCGGTCAAAAAAGTTTGGTGACCCCTGTGTTAGAGGATACAAGAAAATGATTTTTCAATCAATCAATAAATTTTTCCATTAGAGGGTGAAAGCTGTGTAATGAGGAATGTAGCATTTATCTTGTCCATAGGATTTTGACTCATAAAACCCACTTTCTTTGTGGATGCAAAATTGGCGTCTTTTTCATTGTGTGAATCGTGAAACGTCAATTTTTCATGAAAATATCACTTTCCAAGCTAACTTCAATCATTTGGCTAATGGTGAATCTTATACTATCATGACCTGTGGCAGGCACCTTTCCTAAGACCCTCTAAACCAGTGTTTCCCAACCTCTCCTGATTTTGAGAAGGTTTTCATTCCCCGTGTAGCCTCCAATAAAATTTGATAAGACTTTGTTTAATTGGGTGAAGGAGACCCCCAATCTGTTCGGAGCTTTTGTTTTAAAGCAACAACTCTTGACAAAGCTCGTGGTGCCTCCATAATTAAATACCACCACACAACAACTACATGTTGGCACCGTGGTCATCTCTCTTTGCATAGTGTTATTAGGATTGTCATTGTGTAATAGTAGCTTTATTCATTGTGTTTACTGCGTGTAATTTTTGACAGATTCCCACTAGCAACCCCTCAAATCATCGCAAGGGAATTATCACCCACTGGTTAGGAATCATTGCTCTAAACCTAGTTTTTTTAGTTGTTTTTAACAGCTCCATCAGTTTTTTTATTTGCCCTATTTCTCAATTAAAATTCGACTAAATTTTAAACCTATCTTTAACATTATTCACCATTGGTTAATCATGTATACATTTTTAATTCAGATGCAATGTAGTGAAATAGCATGGCATCCAGAAGTTGCCACTCAACTCGTACTTGCTTCAGAAGATGACAGGTCACCTGTTGTACAATTATGGGATCTCAGATTTGCTAATTCACCTTTGAGAGTGAGTTGACTTTTTTAAATAATTGATTTTCTTGAATTCAAAGTAACATTTTTATGGGATGTTTTTATGCCTTCACTCTGAACAAGGCTCTGTACAAGGCCATTGATACCAAAAGAGCCACTATTTTTAAAAAACTGTGGTTTTTGGTTCGGCATTGAGAGTATTCGGCAATTCTGTTGTTGAAAATTCTTTTTTTATTTGGTTGATTATATTTTTTCATAAGGTGCTTTCAAGTTAGGATAGGATTTTTATACATATCCTGGAGGAGGAAAGGAATAAGACGGCTTAATCATATGATGAACCAAGGCTTCTCGTTTAATTACCTACCCTGTGAGGGCTAAGCGTGCATCAGTTCTCTCGCACCTAATTATTCCCCACTAACTTCAAACCTGCTAAAATGTGCTGGGTAATTGGAGGTGCACGATGCACCAACTGCCGAGTTACAGTGGTACTAAATCGAATTTATATTTTATATTGTGTTATTGGAATTGTTTACTATTATTTACAATATTACTATTTGTGATCACAGGCATTAGAAAATCATCATAGAGGTGTGTTATCAGTTGCCTGGTGCCAACAAGATCCAGATTTATTGTTGTCGTGTGGAAAAGATAACAGAGTTCTATGCTGGAATCCTAACACTACTCCACCTGAGGTAAGATTCTTGCTATGTCTTTGGAAGCTGGTTTTGTTAGTTCAGTACTGATATATGGAAAAATTGAGTGAACTTAGACATTATTAAAAATTGCCTAGTTGCCTTGATTTCGAATGATTTTTATCAATCCTAATGTTTGTTTTAAATATGGTGTTCATGAATATTGAATCGTTAGATTTTATAGTAAATTAGTGGGCCTTTTATTCTTACCATATCATTTAACGAAAAATTCCGAATTGTAGCTTAATTTAAATGTAATTTACAGGGTTACCCCCCCCCCCACAAAAAACAGAATGTAAATCTTCTTCTGGGTACAATTTACACAAACAGACATTAGAGTGTTGTTAATTAATTTTCTTCGTTTTTTGTAGGAGTAATTGAGAAATTTATGGGTTGTTTTATTATCGTTGCGTAATTGCACATATTACCAGAGTTCGATTTGGGAAATTCCAGTTCGTAATCTGGGATTTTATCATTTAAATTAGATTATGGCGGATATCAATATAAGTAGAAAACCAGCATCTACGCGATGGCTAAATAAAATATCACTGAGTTATAATTTAATACACTTCCCTTTAATCTTTCTTCAAAAATTATGGTAAAATTTATTAGCTGTGGTAAGTGGCTTGTGAGAATAAAAATCTACATCTATAAATTGTACCCAAGTCTCATATTCATTCCATTTCTAATCCACCAGGTTATATTGAGCAAAGTATTTGTCAATAGTAACCAGAAACCTGATAAGCTGTTTGCTAATCGTATTAATCAAATATGTTTAATTGCTGAATTAGGGTGTGAACTTTGATTTGTTTGCTTTGCTAGTAAGACTTTGAGCCCATATTTGAGATTGTGCAAGCATAGGAGAATTTTATACCAATATATTTGTGTGTTACTCGTTTTGAGGTCACCTATTAACACTATAATATATCAGTTGTGGTTAAATATGGCTTTTGATCAGTAATTATTAGTTTATTTCTCTCACCATCCGAAAACCGAAAATTAAGCACTAAACATACATAGTGTAAAAAAAAAACTAAAACAATTTTGTTTCAGGGTAAAGGGAGACTCGTAAAACCATTACTGGTTATCGAGCAGTGACACCTTCAGTTTGCAATTAATATTAGAATTAGAAAAAAATATTAAAAATATTATAAGTTTAAAAGGAAAAATTTTATTACTTGTATGAAGTATCAGATATAAAACTAATTAAGTAGTTGAGAGCTGGAGCCTCTGAAATTTCTGGTAGCTCCAGCTTCATGTTATGGTAAGCTGGACTCCATTTCCAACAGAATGTCACGGCTCCGGCTCTTTGACCCCACCACACATAAACAATATTCATTCTTGTTGAAAAAAACACTCAAAATGAGGCTGATTGTTTGCAGTTACTGTCGATATCCATCCTGATATTAACAAAACAATATTCCCATAATTTTATCTCCAAATGACTACTTCCACATTTCCGACAAATTAGTTATATTTCATGTTTTAATACCTAGCTTACTATTTTCAGATATTATATGAAATGCCAAGTGCTGCACAATGGTGTTTTGATGTCCAGTGGTGTCCAAGAAATCCAGCCATGGTTTCAATGGGATCTTTCGATGGTCATATCAGTATTCATTCGATGATGGGGGGATCGACTTATACAGAGATGCCAAGCAAGCAACAACAAGATGCTGTAAGAATCAGAATTGATGATTACTTTGTAGTTATTCCTAATATATATGAAAAGTTTGAAATTCTAGGATTTCGACACATCTCTGAAATGCATTTCATACTCTCAACTTCAATATGTAATAATAAATTGGGTAATCAATGTCGAACCAGAAAGATTCCGGTCCCCTACAAATACAGGGTGACCCCCAAAAAAACAGACCCCATACAATATGTTTCAAATGGCCTGGGTTCCGTTTTTTAGGTCACCGTATATTTGCTACTTACACATTGAATATCAGTGGTTGCTTCTACAATGCCTTGTTTGGAGCAAGAGACATGAATGAGTGTCATATAAAAATGCTCTATATGTATTTATTTCAAATTATAATCGTGAGTTAATAAATGCAATGTATTTTTAATAAATTTAAACAAATACTTTTTCTGGCGGTCATTTTGTTTGGTATCTATAGTTGACTTGATTTAAATCTATTTTCCCAGTTGGCGGAATCATTTGGAGGGAATGCATTCGCCTCTGCACCTGATGTTCATCAACCACAAAGTCCAAAAAAAGTGATCAGCATGCCACTGAAGAAACCGCCCAAGTGGATTTGTAAGCCGTGCGGTTCAACATTTTCAGTTAGTATTCTATATTTGTTGTACGATAATTAATATAGACCAGCGTGGCTCAGATCATGGTAACTATAGTTTGGCTTGCAAATATGGGTCTGAAAATTAAGTACATTGAAGTGAGATTTTGATTGTTCCAACTCTAAGAATCTATCTTAAGTACTGTATTATTGTGGCCCTGCATTAATGTGCTGTTTGCATTGGACCACCCTGATATCATCTAATAATAATCAAAATATTGCCTCCCCTTTTGCTATTTATTCTGGCATATTTTTTTTTCTTTCTTAGTTTGGAGGAAAACTTGTAACGTTTGAATCAACAAAGCCATCAAATAATGAAGAACAGCAAGTTGTTAGAAGGACAGTAACAATTCATCAGGTAATTTTATTGATGATGAACATCTACAACTAGAGAAAATTTTGTTTCACAGGTATAAAAGTCAGGCCATGCTACTAAACATTGAGATATAAGAGGCAAAATTTTGTGTTATTATTTAGGATATGGCATCATTTCTTTAGGGTGCGCAAGCCCTGCAGCTGGAGTGCATTGCAGGTCACTCGTCTTGGGTTCAAATTGCATGTCTACCACCTCACCCAAGGTGTAATAAATTGGAATTGGGTTGATTATGCAGAACTGGAAAGATTCCGGTAATTTAAAAAAAGAGTAGCTTCGTATAGGCTCTAACGCAGGGGTCTGCAAACTTTTGACATTCGCGGGCCAAAATTAAAGGTGGCAAGTCATTGGCGGGCCGCACTTATTTTTAGAAAGTTAAAAACCAAGGGAATGGCAAATGAATCACATTTTTTTACACAGATTTCAGTCAAATATCAAGCAGCGCGCGAAGACTGATCATTTGAATATTTTCTGCGCCATTATTAAACCATTTGCACTCAGCATCAACTTTTTTACGTTCTGTTGCCATTTGTCTAATTATAATCAATTCATAGGCTCATTAAACGAGTGATTGTGGATAATATACTTGTTAGGTTATAATATAATTTAGTGTCTCAAAACAAATTCTGTTACGTAAAGAATATAATTGTCAGTACAGTTGTTTGTTAATATAATCCAGTGAAGCGTTGCGGGCCAAATTATATTGTTCCGCGGGCGGGATCTGGCTCGCTGGCCGTAGTTTGCCAATCCCTGTTCTAGCGCGAAGTGAAGGCACGAAGAAGCATCTTACAAAAATGTATTAAGCAGTGGTATGTGCATAATATGGCTTTTTAACCGTCTCTAAATTAGCATTAAATCTGCGTTTCTCATTTTTGGAAGGTGTCCAGTTTTTGTGGCTTAAAATTAGTTTTGGGACTCAGATTATTGGCATATCTAAATCTGTGTTGTGAACTAGTCTCAAATAGCTTTGATAACAAAAAAAATTATTTGCTGTGTTTGCTGTTTAAATTACATTTATTAGCAATGTGTATAACTTCTTATTTCTTATGTTTCATTAGGTTGTCACAGAGAATGATTTTATCACAAGATCAGAAGAACTACAAACCGCATTGTCTTCAACACAATATGCAGATTATTGTCAAAAGAAATTGGAATCAGCTAGTAGTGTATTTGAGGAAGATTTATGGAGTTTCATGAAGGTACCTTATTGGACTATTTTTTTTATTTTTTTTGGTCTGAGGAATTGTAGCAAATGATTTGTCTCGAATTGGATGTAAACCAGATTAATATAAAAATCGCTGGTGCCTTTTTTTGGTTTCATTTTCATTAGAAAATTCAATGTCAAATTCAATTGGATGGAAGACTTTTTTGATATTTTACTGTATTGATTTTTTTTTTATTTATACACAATTTGATAGTAAAAATAAAATGATCGTAAAAGAGTCCACCCATCTATGCCTACTCTAAGTTAAAGGAGTGACTGCTGGACTGAAGACAGTTGGCTATGTACAAAATCCAAACACCATTTTTTGACAGTTCATTGGCTATTTGAAGAGTAGCTCACAACAACTAACTTAAACATATTATGTAGGCTATATATATCCATAATAGGGCGCTAATTTCACATGCATTTTTAACCTCGACTAAAAGTAAAGTAGAGCTAGTCGTCAGGCTCTTGCAAAATTGGTCCATTTTATATATCTGATGGTAGCAATTTATACGACTTGAGTAATCAGACAGTGATTTTACTCAGAGATGAGCGTACGTAAAATTTTGAGACAATATATTTTGACTGCTCAAATTGGAAAATTAGCTTTTGTGAATACCAAGTGTGTGCTTTTGGCTTTTTTGAGTGACTGACTACATTTTGAATTTTATGAATTCCATGGAGGATAGTCAACTCCAAATGACGGATTTGGACGGGGGAAGAAAGCTATAAGTGAATGGTTAACTTCCCTGCTATGTTAAGAAGTCAAGCAGTCTTGCAAATAAGCATATCCCACAAGCTTTGAACCAGTGAATCCAAGTTTGATAGCAATTATAGAAGCATGGAAAACATCAACCTACTTTTATTTTAGGTCTCGTGTTTAAAATTCTCCAATTATTTTATTTAATTAACAAACATTTATTTTTTATTTAGGCCAAGTTTGAAAGTGAACCAAGGAAACAATTTCTTCATCTACTTGGTTATGATGTAAACAAAATCAGAGCAAAGGTAAACTACATACTTCATCACACTGACAATGACGCATGAATGCATGACAAAAGCTCAATGCGAAAGTTCGCTGTACTTGATGCCTAGTTTTTTTGTCATCACTTACATTTACATTGACCACGGGTGTAATAAGTATTCATCCATCTTTTTTATTTGAGAAAATTGTTCAAAACTAACAATACATTGCGTGATGGCTAATAGTATAATTGGAATTCTGAATTCTCCTCAAAAGGAAGTGTTTACACTATTGAATATTTGAATTGTTTTTGGCATTAGTGGCAGAGATAAAATTTGATAAAAATCACTCTGAGTTGTTCTAACTTAATTACAAAAATGTTAAATGGTGAAATTAACATTCATTCATTAACATTAATATTATAGATCACCAGTTTGATCGGTGCAGAAGAAGAAGAAAAATTAGCAACAAAGATGGATGATCTTTCTACGAGTATTGATGTACGTTTGATTCACATATTAACTGCTATAAGTCTCTCGTCAATCGGTATTTACTAACACGTTATTCTACATTTACAGTCTACACACAAGGGCTTTCCAAACTGGGGGTTGCGAATTTGCGACCCCACAGGGGAGTGTGCATCGTATTTTAGGGGTCGCAAAGAGTACACCAATTTTACTAGAGTAGTACTATTAACTATATCCATTGTATTTTTTAAACTTTCGATTCGAATACAATTATTAAAACTAGTGAAATACACAAATAAATCTCCTGATTTCGAGGAAATACATAGGATCAGATAAGCGTCACGTTTGTATGACAATGCCGACTTAACAGGGGGTTGCGGAAACTTTAATATATTGGAAGGGGTCGCGAACTTAAAAGTTTGGGAAGCCCTGGTCTGCACCATAATTCTTTTTAGTCTCTGTAGCTTTTGGCACTTAAGTGGTCTTCTGTAACTTCACCCAGAAATCAGTCAGTCTCCTTTGTTTCCGAGTGAGTGCATGTTTCTGTTATTATTTTTCTAATATCAAACGCCCTAGATCTCAAACTTATTTACTTTAAATTTGTAATTTTAACACGAGATAGATGTTATGTAATTTTATCACATTGTTATGGTTATCTAATAACAAATACAAATGATAAATATATTTTAAGAAGAAATTTACAAAGAAACCCAGTCGCGATTCACACTCAAAATATCTTCAATCATGTTTGGAATATAGATAATTATATATCTTTAGCTAGATTATCTTCGCATAATGCTCTAATAAGTGAGAATATAAAGCATCTCAATGAAAAGCACTACAGATGAGTAAGCATCTTGTTGTATTGATCACTCAAGGAAATGAGTGTGTTTTGTTTCCTGGATTGTTGTCACCAAGACGAATAAAAGCTATTTTTCTGAGACTTAATGTTGTTGCCTGTAACTCATATAGACATGCAATTTTAGTCTGCAGACACAAGTCAGTCTGGTGAAGGTGCGGAAGCTTTTGAGTTGATCGCGGCAAATAAATCAGCAGAATCGATAAAAAGTACAACCGAAAGCCCGATGAAACCACTTGTCATTCCATCAGGCGATACTGGTAAGTTTTTTTTCTTTTTACACTCATTAGTATTTAGTGCTTGGTTGTAATTTGTACATGCGTCGCATGTTAGCATGAGGACTGCGCGGGGAATGATGAAGAAAATATTTTTGAGAAAAGTAATCTTCCAATTATTTTTTTCTTTGTGCGCAATTTAGGATTTTAGTTACTGGTAATGTATCAAATGTTTCCAAAAAATACATTCATATTATTTTTTTTTCAATTTTTTTTTCTGTTGTTTGTTGCCAAACCAGTGAAATTTATTAATCCCATAAATAACTCTAATTGCACGAATGACTGTATTTAAATGATTTTGAATTACTGTTTTATATAAGTCTTTTTTACTGACTTACTATTAATATCACATTGTTGGACAACTTGTAACATAGTAGGATGATGTGGGATTGCACGGATTTTCATTCCTGTGAAATTTGGTTTGTTGGAAGTCTTGGTTTAATTCTGTATTGTATTGACCAAAAAAGACATCACAGGAAAACGGTTTTTAGACTATTGTGCAAAAGAGCGTTAATCTTAAGAAACTTGAGCCACACCTGTTAAACCTGACATGACAAATCCGGCCTTTTGGGTAATTCAATCTGGCCCGCCTGATGCTGTCCCTCAAGATAAATATGAATTATCATAATATCTATGAAAAGGCTAAATCTCCTACTCTCTGTGCTCCCAATTTTTGCTTTCTTCAATATGCATCATATTTTCAATGTAATTATAATGTGAAAATTTTTTAAATTTGCTTTCTCGTTCAAATTTTTATCAAAATTTATCATAATATCATTCATCTTCATTCCTTAGTGGGTAGTAACAAGGTTGATGTAAAAGTTGTCCCCAATCACCTTTTTTGTTGTTTTACTTCTATTCTGACTGGGATGTATAGTTTTGTATGGTTGGAATTTCTTTCCCAGCGCATCATATGCAATCTTCATCTTCTATTATAACCAATGGACTTGCTGTACCTAATACTCAGAGAAGGAAGAGTCATTTATCATTTCTACAAGAAGGTGTAGTGTGGTAGAAAAAAATCGAGTGACAAACTAATTCAGATTTTAATAGAGTGATTTAACCACAACTTTGAATCTGTAAATTTACTGACAATAGAAAAAATTCTTATCACAAAGCCTAATTTAGGTTCTTAGTTTGAAGCACTCAGAAAATTCACCAATTTCATTATAAAATCAACAGCGTCAAATATAATATATCATCGTAATACACATTAAAACTCTGTAGCTTAATTGCACAAATGTAGATTAAATGTAATTTTAGAAATTATAAAAAATTGTTTAATATATTGATTCAATTGTCCGTGATTAATAATTGGCTAAAAATGATGCGTTCAGATTTGAAACCCAGTTTGAGGTAACACACTCTCATTGGATTAGGTTTGATTTCTAGTTCAAATTCCAAATTGCAACTAATAAGACATTTTTTCTGCCCTGCTGCTGTTTCAAAATATTAATTTTTACAAAATTCAAAATTCTTCATTTGCATTGAAGACTTGATAATTTATAAACATGAAACATGACGCTGCTATTCGTAAAATTTAGCAGATTGTTTTACGCAATGATAGTCCAAAATGAATATGCTAAATTGTGTCACATTCAACAAATAACACACAGGAATCAATGTACATGGTGTATATAAAGGCTTTAAAATTTTTTGAATTACGAAAGAAATTTATCGATATCATATATTGATGGTTGGCCCTTGCAAGTCTTTTCAAAGTAAAAAACTTGAATGGACACTGATTGAAATATATTGAAAACCTGACTTTGGAATAAAGTTTTGAAATTGTAATGGTTCTCTATTTTTTGCGGTCCACTGAAATTGAATTGGAAGCATATCTTGTCATACTTGAATTACAAAATGATAATTTTCTGAATTATTCCTAAAATCATAAATTTGAAAATTCAAAACAATTAATATCGAATCATTTGAATATTCATGAGAGGCATTGCTGGATTTATGTCTCAATTCAACAATAAGAAAGAATTTTGAATGGTTTCGAATTACATTCGAAATTCGATTTGATACATTCATTGTTTGTGCTTAATCTGACATTAATTACTCTTCATATATTCTCAATTAGCATGCTCTGTAGATTCATCATGCATTTCGTAGATATTCGGATACTGAGAGTCTGAGACTATTTATTTTTAAACTGTATGATTAGCTTGCCTAATATTTGACTTGTATTTTTAAGCTTGTATACAAAACTTTGCTGCAATATATATCTTTAGTATAAGAAAACTCAATAATGAACAATATATCTAGGCGCTAATATATAAACTCAATATACTGTTATCTCACACATAAGCATTTGTTGAGCTATGATGATCCTTGAATTAATCAGCGGAAAATCCTTAAGCTGGCGCAGGAGATTTTCTCAAAATTTTCAAAACCAAAATTATTATAGCAAAAGTATTATAGCAGAAGAGATTCATTCAAATCTCAAAATCTTGAAAATTTGAAATAGCGATTTTGCGCAACTGACACGATTATTGAAAAATTCTTGTAGTCTCGTATAAAAACCTTTCCATAAAAAGACGTTAATATTCAGAATATTTTATTTAAACATAAGGTTTGTGCATTCAAAAAAATGTGAAAATAATAATACAATAAGAGGTAGAAATAAATGGCTAGGATTAAATTGAACTTAGCAATGCAACAAACATTAATATAAAATAAGCATATATGATCATGGCAAGACGATTGTATGACTTGAACCATAAATTTTAGGAAAATAATGAGGATGGATGTTGATATCTATATATATTTATGCATTGAAGGAAAGAAAATATCATAGGATTTCTTCTAACATGGCATCCAGAGGTAATGTCAATTTAATTTGGAAATTACTTTGTATAAAATTTCACCTCCGGATTCCAAATCTACGTAGTAAAACTAGTAATTGCAGATAAAATGAATTTAATTTTGCGAGGTATAGGTGCGTAGTCCACTGGCATCGGGTGTGTGACAAATACCTTATCTTGATTTACTCCAGTTTTATGTATGGCCAATGCTTTTTAGTTAATTTTTCCGTCATTTTCCCGACTGTCGTCAGCGCGACTGAACATCACTTTGTTTCATTCTTGTTGATTACCAGCCTTGCACGCTTCCATAGATCAATGGACTTGCAGTAATTATCGAATACTGTTTTCAAAAATTAAAGCATTCCATGGTGTTTGTTTCTGCTTCCGAAGCATTATTGTTATCATGTCTCTTTGTACGTTATAACTGAGACAAGCAACTGGCCTGCGAAGTCGATGTAAATTAAGCGTGCTGGTTAATGTCTGGTTGCCTGTTAGATCTGTTGAAGAATTTTTTTCTGAAGAAGATTGCTTGTTTTCTTCATTTTGTGATTGTGATACTTCTTCTTCGATTGTAAGATGGAGGTTGATTCCTGAATAAATAAAAAAGTAATTTTTTGAATGTCGTTTATTCTTGTGCTTAGCAATTGAAGGTTGCAACCATTACCAGTGACGTTGGTAATTCAATTTATTTTGAATTATGTCATAGTTGTTATGCAAAGAATAGGCCAAGATTTAGTTTGAAGTTTTGATGGAGTGATATTTGGAAATTTGGGCCCTGCTGTGTTTCTTCCAGAAATCTTAGGTTTGAGTTACATAGTCACAGGTCTCTCACATAATGTGTATTAAATTGGGCCGGCAATGCTGAACATAAAGTTTTCATTGTCCTTGCTCAAAAAATAGGATCTATGTTTAGATGTAAGTGGATGCGTTCATGCCCTAATTCGGAGCAAAAATCTTGTCATAAAATAGAGTTGAATAAAAGGCGATAGTTTAAAAAAAATTTAATTATTTAGATTCATCTACTTTTTAGCATTCTCACCATTTGTTTTTACTGATATATTCTTGCTTGGGATCAAATGAATTCCACTGTATGAAACAAATATTTTGACAAATTTTCCATTTTCATTCCAACTGTATGTTGTTATTTTTCCTGTGGTTTCCGATCCTTGTGAACTTGACTGTTCCTGTACAATAATACATGACGCATGAATTTTCATTTAACACAGAATTGTTGATTTAAATTTGAATTTGTTAATACTAACCTGTGTCGCTTCACTTTGATTTGATGTTGTTTTCTGAGCATCTGAGATGATGTCTATACTTGCAGAACGTTCTCTCATTTTCTCAATGCTACCTGGAATAGTAAACAAAATTTTTTGATGATACTCTCACATTTTCTCAATGCTACTTGAAATGGTAAACAAAATTTTTTGATGATACAAGTTAGCATTGATGATTGTCTAATTCCCTATTTGAACCTACGAGATGAAGTGATTTTTTATTTTTATTTTTGTAAATATTTTTTCAAGAAAATGAAAAATTTCCTAACTACCACAAAAACACACCTAAGATTAGATTATAAGTATCTTATATTGTCCCATGAGGTATTGAAAGTGCAGTCAAATAGAGAGTATGAATAGCAGTTAGCATACTTGATTTTAACTTTTCCTATTTAGCCACTTTACATTTTAATACACAACTTATTATTATTTCAATATGATTTATTAGCACAAAATCCTCAGATTGAGTTTTCAATCAAGATATTTTCATATCAAAATTTTTATAAATATTTATTTAACCTTTGTATTTGTTTGTCTGTTTGATCAAAATAAGCTACGTCACTTTAACAAAGATTTTACATAGATTCTTTTTTAACCTCTTATAAGTCAAAATATTATTATTCCTATTCATTGTTTTCCATCATCTATAATTGACTTATTGTGACATTTACTGGAGCTTTGTTAAGATTATTTGGGCAATGAATTTGACTGATGGCTTGGTATACATCATCGTGAACTCATTCGAGCCACGAAACTACGCTTTTCTATTACCGGTAATTTTAATAAGTTGCATCGTGCGTTATTAATATACCATTCAGTGGTTTCATTATGGTTTTTATGGTTTTTCAATGCCAAATTCAGGCTTATAAAATTTTTTGAAATTCATGGAATCGTTATACTTTATATTTATGGATTTTGAATTTCAGTCAAAAAAGTTAAGATGATATGGTATTGTTTTGATTAGTTTGCGACATTCTAAAATTATCAGAATTGGACAATTCTGGTTGTGTTTTGATCGTTATGTCGTATTCTGCAAATATCAATTTTTTGAATTTTTTTATATGACGCTTATTCACCCATTTTGGCCATACATAAGCAGTCACTGATATCTAAAGAAACACAAGGAGATACTATCTTCAGGAGAACCAGAATCTTTCTATTAAACCACTCGAATAAAATCAATTTTAAAGCAATGATGTGGTGCTAAATCATGTAAAATTTTTACCTCTTATACCATGTCCTATTGACTGACTTCTCTTTATTGCTTCGTTTCTGATCAATCGATCAAGACTGATTCCACTTCCAATTCCCCAGATTTCACTGTCTTCATCAGCAGTTTGGATTTCAATGCTTTTGACTGTTGTTATCGCTTGAACCGCACTTTCTTGCAATATCGGCAGAGCTGGAGTTTGACTTTCTGATGTTTGAAAGTGCCTCGTTCTCGTTTGACACCCTTCTGATTTTGTTTGTTTTCTGTGTGTTTGCGTGCTTATTGTTATGCTTCGAGGGGATTGAGTTTGAGAAACTCCGTAGGCTAAATGGTTTGGTAGGTTCCATGGCCGAGTTTGTAGTTTTTTCGAGCAACTTGTGCAAGGATTTATCCCTGTTTGTGTGCTCACTGTCGTTGACTTAGGTGGCCTTATTGGAGGTCCATCAGTTTGGATCCATTTACTGTGAAATAAAAAAATTCTCAAAAAATTGTATTAAAAAAGATATTACATGTGTGGTTGTCCTTTTTGTTAATATAAATGAAATATTATATGAAGTTTGATGAAAACGTATGTTTATGAAGTTTGATGAAAACGTATGTTGTTAAGGTTTTTAAGTTGTGATATTTTGTTAAATACCTGGATCCTTCTACTAAAAACGATTGATTCACAAAATCTTGAATCATTTGGTATGATGGCATCATTATACCTATACCGGGGAATTCAAAGACTTCAAAAACCGCAAATAACATTAGCAAATAGTTTTTCATGGTATGTAATGGTATTGTAATTGCAATATAAAATTTTAGTTTGCAGAATTGCAGAGTTAATTTCAACAATTGTGATTTTTTCTTATAACAGGTAAAATATTTTAAAAACGTGAATATCAGCCATTTTGCATATCAAAACAAGGATGTTTAACAGTTTTGTCAATATTGAATTGTTATTTGATAACAGTGACCAGAGGCGCAACCAGTATTTTCAAAAGAAGTGTGGGTTCGAAATCCTATACAGTGGCTCCTGAAACAGTTGCTGCAATTGGTGACAATGTTGGTTTTATATATATGCTGATGAAATTTTATACTAACTTCAAACTTTTATCAATTTTTCGTCTCAACTTTGGTGTTTTCTTGTCTTTGATGGGAATAAAAATTCCATGTTCCCGATATAAAACAAATTCTTCTTGTTGAACTTTCTTTTCTTGTTTTAAATAAGCTTCGTCAAGATCCATCTTGAAAACTAATCTTGATTCTCCATTCATCAAACTACTTTGAGAACTCGGTGTTCTTATACCATCTGATCTTTGTGATTTCGGAGTACGCAAGCCATCGGATCTAGGAGACTTTGGCGTTTGTGTACCGTCCGAACTAGGAGATTTTGAAGTTTTGTAACCGGTTTCTTTTAGTATTGGAACGTTAAGAGTTTTTGGTCTGTCATTCCTGTGTGTTACGAATTTTTCTCTTCTAGTCTGAGGAGGTTTTTCTGAAAGGGGGAGGTTCAAATTTGGTGATAATGTAATTGGCGTACTTATTGAGCTTCTGTATGATCGCACTGATGCAGGTGAAACGTCCGCTGATGTATATATAACTCCCGCTATTGTGTGTCGTTTTCTTTGTATTTCTTGTTGTGTTTCTACCTTTTTCTTTTCCAAAGGTTTATCATTGTTTTCATCTTCCAATATTTTTCTTGACTTATCAACGTCGTTTGAAATAGGCCATGCAAACTTTTTCACAAAAAGTTTCTTTGATCTCCGTGGCGACGGTTGCGGAGATTTTTTCACGTTTCTCTCTTCCAACAATAATAATTTTTTTGATAATGCTGATGAATTTGAAGCATTAGATATTGAAGATGTGTTTGAATCCTTTTTCTCTACCTTCCCACGTTCTTCTACTAAATCACTAATTCTAGGTATCCTTTTGTTCTCTACGTCTTCAGATCGCTTCGAACTATTCCTACTTTTATATTTTGTTCCGGCGTTGCTATTTAGATATTCAAATGGTTCTTCACTTGATAATGATTTTCTGAGTTCTTGAAGTGCATTTTTACTCTGTTTCATTTTCTCTTGGTACTCTGTTGGCCTTGCATTCATTTTGTCGCCGTTTTTTAGTATTCCGTTTTTATTTTCCTGTTCTGAATGCATGGTTTCATCTGTTTTGTGCAAAGAAAGTCTTTTATTATGAGTAGGAAAAAGTCCTTTTGGATAATTTTGATAAATATTTCCGATCTCCGCTGCACTCATGAAAGTTCTTTCTTTCGGGCTTGTATCTTGTCCGGCCAATTCAGATTCCTTTTTCAGTGATCCACTTCTATTCTTTACTTGCCCGTTTGCTGATTGATAAGCGATGACAAAATATGTTCCATTTGTGTCTTGCTTTTCTTCTGCCGTTGTTGAAGAGATCTTTGACTGAAATATGAAAGTAGATCATGAATTCGGGTTGAAGCCCTGAAATTGTAAGTTATAATCACAATGGATGTGCATTTCCAAATCATATGTTTTTTAACATTTTACACAGCCTATTGATTCCAGGTTTATAAGCTTTGATTCTAGTAGTTGAGGAAGTTGATTTCATTTTCATATATCAATAAATTGAAAAAGTCTAATTATTAAGAGAATGCATTTCATACAGCGGATTCATTATTTTTTAATTTTGTTGATGCGCACAAAAATTCTTAAAAAAAATGTCATCTGTTTTTTTCACTTTCATGCTGTATTGATAACCATCATAAAATATTGTTATTTGTACTTACATAATTATTTGGTTTCTCTACTTCATTATCATTTTGTAATTGATCAAAATCATAATGTCTTTCAAACGTTGTTCTTGTATCTACAGGAAATTTTGGCTTTCTCAGGGTATCATGCTTTATACGCGCTTCATTTACAGAATCACTTGCTGGGATATCTTTTGCATTTCTTTTTTTCAGGGATGATTTGTTGCTTTTATCGACTACAGCATAAACTGGTTCTTTTGCAACTGCTTCTGTATTGTTCATTTCATGGTGTACATCCTGAATCTCAGCATAGTCACTGTTATTTGTTATCCGATTTCCATTCGATTTCCCTGCGTTTTCTTCAAAGAATTTTAGCCGCATCTTGACTTTCGATTTCTCATTTTGTGATGTCCTTCTTTTTTCATAATGTAAGATATCAATATCTCCTTTTTGGTTGTTTCTATATCCTGACTGATATTTTGAAGGCATGCTGATGCTGAACTTTTTTTTATGTGTAATGCCTACGAACCTGGAAAATATTGAAATACAGAATATGGTTAAATATAACTTGATAAAATTAGTCACAATTTTACTTTCATAGTATTACTTCAGTAGACTTGATTATTCCTTAAAACAAAGTGGCTAAAAATGTATCAATGACAGATTTCTCAGTCTTGTTTTGAGTGATAGTTAGAGGTCAGCCTATGCAACTTGTACAAATACCGTTGAAATGGATTGAAAAATTCTCTTACAATTTTCTTTCAAGCCTCATCCCCAATTCTGTTTGAATTGAGTGACATTCTCTAATATACTTTTCTTTACAGTATCATTATTTCTTGATTAAATGAAAATTTCTATGTTATCAGATTTCTAATTTCATTGCATTGGTATTCTGACTAGCTGATACACCAAAACCTGTGAACTAAACTATAAACCGACTTGGTTAAAAACTCTGTACACTAATATTTCCTTACCATATATGGGAAGTAGGATATAGTTCCATTTTTAATAAATAGATTTCAACGCTTCTTGGTTGTGTATACGTTTATTGCCTGTTCATGGATTGCTCAAACGCTCTGTAACATTAATTTTTTTTTTTTTTTCAATTTCCATTAAATATTAGATATTTTGTATGGTCCTGAATATGGTGGTATATTGTTTTTTTAGACACATACTTTAGCTTATCGAGGTTTTCTTTTTCTTATTCCATATCCTATTAAAATTTCTCCTCCTTTCTTTTTGGCGATTCATTTAAAAAATCAGTTCCAATAAATACTAGTATGTAAAATATCGGAAAGCGACTGCAAACTTATACCTCCTTACAACGTACAATTCATATCTGATAAGCTTTCAATTGTATGCCGTATATCACATAATTTAGAGTTAAATAATTTATGAACATCCAAATTTACTGCACAAAACAATTTGAATAGGGAGTGAGGCTCATGAAAACAACAAGCGGTTTTTTAGTAATTTTTTTGCCTCAAATAGTTTACTAGAGAAAGCATTGTTTTCCTTGGCCAGGTTTAGGTCATAAGTAATTTATGGCTTCAGAATGAGATTATCTATGACTTTAGCTTAGACGAGGATGATTTTGCTAAGACTTCAGGGTACCATTATTAGTAGGCTATAGCAGTAACACAATGCCACTCGAAAGGAAATCAGATGAAACGTCTTAATTTACATCTATTATGTGGTTTAATGTCAGAGAATTGGGGATTTTTTCTGCCTACCGAAAAGCCATTACCAATGAAGGTTAATAACTTTTCAGATTGTTATATTCAACAAAATTAATAAGTTTTCTATTTCAAGTACGTAATAGAAGCTAACATTTTGTAAATTGTCATCTTATATTTTTCTGTTAGGGTTTGTTTTCTAATACTGTTCATTTCTGCTCATTTAACCCAACTTACCCTAACCCAGTGGTCAGTCAAAGAATTTAACAAATCACAGTAAATTTACTTTATTTTACCTAGTGATGAGCTTTGAAACCCTGCCCTGACCTAAGATATTATATATTGAAGAAAATTTGTGATAAGGATATAGTAAACATAATCAAAATAATTTATTTTGTAGCCTATTATATTTCCCTAACTTGTGTTACTATTACTGAGGCTACCACATTGACATTAATTTATTTTTATTTAATCAATACTCAATATTGAATTCTATTGTAGCCAGTCTGCTCAAATTTTCTCCTCTGTACATCCTATAGCAAAATATTACATTTCCAATTAAAAGCAATCAGATGTGACAAAACGTATGCCAGCTGAACAAAGCATACATAAAACATCTTATCTGTGAATCTGTCTACAATATGAATTGTAAAATTCGCTTCTTTCTTTTAATTTACTGAAGATATCACCATAACTGCCATTGTAATAGCATCCTGATTTTTCTTTTACATCTCAATCAGCAACAGTTATCAAGCTACAGTAATTTTTTTGCATCTGATACATATTTATCAGATAAAAAAATGAAACTCCTGACGAATAGTTTTGTCTGATACCTTATCTAATATGCTGAATTGCTTTTTCTATACTCCCTAAGTTTTAAAGCAAACTAAAGCTTTAGGTATTTATTATTGAATATAATTTAGCCGCCGCGGCTATTGTTTCTCGTATTCAATTACTTATGAAATAATATATGCGACACATGATTAATATAACAATACTATAACAAAACAAACAAATTTACCGTTGTCCCGAAAAAGTTGTCATTTGAAACATCAGATAATCAAAATTTATATTCTTCCTAATTTAATTTTGTATTTATTTACTTCACAAAAAATACGAAAAGCCTTTGAATCTTTTTTCTAATCTTTCTGTCTATCCATTTTGGTTTATCCATGCCTACCTGTTGTTTTGCTGAACTCATTGCCCTTGTAAAGCTATTTTCTGACATGACGATAAGTCAAATCGTTCTGCCTGACTACCCACCTGCTGTCGAATCACGATTGCAACATTGTTTTGTCTATAAATATACCCAGGTGGCCCACTTATTTTTTCACTTCACCAACTGTTTGGAAATGATTTTCATTTGGGTCGCATTGTGACCCCGTTTTAGTTAATGTGGGGTTAAAAAAGTACAATATTTGTTATTAAAATCTTAGATGATATTATGAAAAGTTTGATGCTCTTTTGAACAAATCCCAAAGCAAACATTCATTTATACGAGTGTCAATCGTACATTTAACTTATTATTATTGTAACACTTATTTGTTGCGTCGACTTAGCTAAAACAAATAAACAAATGTGATAAGGTATTATATCTCTAGTCTATTCATATCTGACATTGAATTACTCTTTGAAGACTTTTCAATACGCAAAATAAGAATAGGGATCTTGTGCCACTCAAAAGAAGAAATATCGTTATTGTTTTCTTGGAACATCTTTTCTTCTTCTGTTCATATTTGTGTGAGCTACGCCTGTTTATTATCAGGGTACCTACTATACAAAAAAATGTCATGCCCCAAATTTTTATCCAAAAACCTCTGCAGTCTACTCTGATTCTCAGTAGCTCTCGGTACTTACGGGGTCCCTAGTAGTTTCACCCAGAGAGAGTCTCCTTTGTTTCTGAATGAGTAACCTTGCTTTGAGTAAATTTCCCTAAAAAGAAATATTTTTTTGGACGCTAGCTTTATTCTAACTTTTCATATAAGGAAAGTAACTGACCAGTCAGTAACCACTCATTATAACTAGAACACAATAAACTGATTCATGTATTATGTTCCCACGCATTTTACTATAAAATATCTCAAATACCGACATGGAAGCAACAATGGAATGTGCTTTCAGATTGTAGTATCCTACTGGGTTAGTTAATGATAAGTAAGATTCTCTGAAATCATAACACTTTTGCAATTGTCCGCATCTTTGGATATCACGAATAATACAGGGTGTTCATAAAGTCCTGTTACAATTTCAAAATTTTGTTACAAAGTTAGTTCTTAGAATATCTTAAACGGGTTTGTTTTATTTTAACCAGTGTTTATTTGAGTTTTCCCATCTCATTCAATACACCTTTATATGCCCACCATTAGTTGCATAAGTCATCAAAGATTTTTGGCCAAATATAAAACAGAACTTTATGAACATCTTGTATATCTAACGCTCTCATAACTATATTTCTGATCAATTTTTAAAAAATCTCCATAATGTTCATAATAAATATGACATAATATTTAAACCTATACGCTATACACTCTTCCTCCAAATTGCAGCTAATTTTGAAAATATGTGACTATCAATTTCATTAGACTGTTCATTGTATAATACCTATATAGCCTAAAGTGAGAAAATTTACAAGGTGATGTAAAGTCTCCAGGTATAACTAATTAATCCCAATGTATAAATGGTTTCTGTTAAAAACCATAATTAGCAAATCATTAAGACCAATTATATTATTAAATATCAAAAAAGTTCCAGCGTATGGATTCCAAATTATAGTAATACGTAATCAAATTGATTCATTTCTTTGTACAAAAACGTAATATACCATTTCCGATAAGGCTTTTTTGAAGAGCATTAATTTTTTCTTAAAAATATTGAAATTATTTTCATTCAAAAAAGTTATGTTTTGTCTAGAAAATGTCTCAAATTACCTGGGTTTTGTTGTTTTGGTCACCCTGTAAAAAAATCAAGAATCACTCAAGAATTTCAGCTAAATCTTCCTACGTTTTGCGTAGTATCAAAATTATTAATTCTATTTTAAGACACTTCACTCTTAAGGTCTGAACTTCTTTAAACTTATTCCTGACCTATTGCAAGTTGGTCTATTTATAAAACCTACTGTTCAATCTTTCCATTCCAATTCTGAAACACTTACGGCTCGTGCCAACTGCCCAATCATGCCTAACTTTTCCAAACATTAATAATAATTATAACAATAAAATGAAACTCTTTAAATCTTAAGAATCTGCAAGGCAAACCACTTGAAACACATTACAAAAACATAAATAGGATTATTACACCAAACTTGGCCACACATAAAATTTTAATATGTCCCATTCATGGGAATAGGATACTGGTTATGTTATTTTCTAAATATCCCATATCACCATGTGTTTGTGGCATCATATGCCTGGTAAATATCTAGCGATTATGCTAAGTACTGTAACTGGTAATTACCTTACATACTCAATGGCATTCCTAAGGGCTTTTGTAAGCATAGATCCTTCATACTACCATAGCTGCATAATAATTTAACCAATTTTTCTTGATAACATATAATAAGCAATATACGTAGTAAGTTTGATCATACATGGTATATATAAAATGTCATAAATACAGTACCTAATTATACTATGCCATAGTTTGATAAATGGCCTTGTATACTAGGCTATAATTTTGTTACATTTCCACTACTATATAAAATTATGTTTTTCGCTAGTATTCATCCCATTAAACCAACCATTTAAATTATGGGAAATTTTTTTACTCAAAAGAAATCAGCCTTACTAAATAATACTTTCACAACAACCTCCAAACTAAACGGAAATGATAATATATCCGCTATATGATTACAATTTTGTTTGAAAAAAAATCTCATTTTATAGTTCACGCAAGCGAGTCTAGTCCCTTATTACTTACGTCGTCGTTATACATGAACGCCCGTACGTGGGTTAGGCCCCATCGGTTGACTGGTAATGAATATTCATTTTAAAACGGGGTAACATTCGTCACGCAAATTGTTGTAGCAGACCCAATTTATCATTATTTTGTTTTATGATGCTTGATTGTGTTTTTATTGTTTTTGTTGTTTTTACATTTATTGAAAAATATGTCGCTTCCATTAGTTTGAGGATGTAAGGTCTTGAATTTGAATGATGGTTATGCTAAATTTTTCAAATTTTTCATTGAAAACGGAAACGTTTTGGTCGTCTGTTTGTTGTCATCATTTCTCCTTGAATATTATTTTATATGACCTCATTCACGCCCTTCTTTCTGAGCAATGCCATTTTTGAAGGAACCTTTGGAAGGAACGGAATCTACCGGTTCGGCATTGCCCATCCAATTTATTGCACTTTGGGTGATGTGGTGGGCATGGACCTGCAATGCAAATTCAGTTAAATCTAACGCTTTATTCTGCAGGCAATCATAATGGGATTTATGATATTTTATCATTCTCAGTCTTCCTTAATCATTCACTGGAAATCAATTTTAAGATTTTAAAATTCAGAAGATAATTATTTCTAATTGATATGACTTTCCTCATTAACTTATTAATTGATTCGATTATTTTGAATAATTTCAATAAAATTTGATACATACAAATAGTACTTTTAGAAAGATTTTGAATAGAAATATGGTAATAAATGAAAAATTGAATTGACAATTATACTTTAGAATTTTGAGAATAGCTATTTTTCAAATAGAAATTTGTAAAGTGTTTTTGACTTTTTTTATGCATCCAAAAATGATTGTTAATAGAAAAAAAAAATAAAACTATAAAACTCTTGAAATTTTGATTTTTTTTCTTAATTTGACATATCCCGTACACGTCCCATATTGGCATAACAATACATGTACATTTCTGTATGATGCATGCATAATAATTTTGTCCTTCAAACTCACCATTTATCACCAGTCATGGGTAGAAGTCCCTCAAGTTAGTCAAGGGTCATCTGAGTCGAGTCAGAGTTCAAACTTGAGTCAATCACTGAGTTACTATTAAATCTCACCAATTGTTGGTTGAGTCAGAGTTATTCTTTCTAGTTGTCTCAAGTCACTTCGAGTCTTGAGTGAATAGTAACTCAAGTCCAACTCAAATCGAGTGAATGTGTAGAAGTCCCGCGACTCAAGTTGAGTCAATGGTCATCTGAGTCGAGTCAGAGTTCTAACTAGAGTCAATCAATGAGTTGCCATTATGAGTTACCATTAAATCTCACAGATTGTTAGTCTTTGGTGAATAGTGACTTGAGTCTAACTCAAATCGAGTAACTTTCTCGGGCCTCCTCAACAATATTTATCATGATCTCTTTTTTATTTATATCTAGACCCAGACAGTTTGATCAGTCAAGCTCTATTGGTTGGAGATTATGAATCTGCTGTTAATTTGTGTTTGCGAGAGAACAGAATGGCTGATGCAATTGTTCTTGCTATTGCCGGTGGACCACAACTGTTAGAAAGAACACAGAAGGCCTATTTTTCAAGATGCACTTCTAAAATTGGGAGGGTAATATGAACATTCTGCTTTGAAGTTTTACTGGAGTTGAGGTTTTTTCTTTCATTCTTAGTATAATTGATTGCTGATTACTCCTTACCAAAGGTTTCTAAAAACGTAATTCAAGTCTCACATACTCACAAATTGTGTTAGGGTTTTTGAAATTGCTGGCATTGTTTCTAAAGTTTCTAAATCAGATTTTATATAAAACTGAGTCCAACTGTGGCCTTCTTTCCATTTTATTGTTGTAAAATAACCATTGTACTTCATACATACACAATATACTGATATATCCTATTTATTTTTAATTTTATACAATGACGTTGTTGTTTTAACTCGTTTTCGAATCCATTCAATTTATTCAGGGTTTTATACTTCAAACTAATTATATTTTACACGCAGTTTAATTTTCCTTGTTTTTGTTGTAGCTTATGCTGGCTGTTGCCACAAAAAATTGGGCAGAAATTGTTCGATCATGTGATCTTGGAAATTGGAAAGAAGCTCTTGCTACTTTACTTACTTATTCTAATAAAGAAGAAATGAATGCTCTGTGTGGTGAGTATATATGTTAATGTTTTGATACCATTATGAAAAAGACAAATCTTTTTGTGTGTGTGTGATGACCAAGCGAGTGTGGCATTTGACTTCACTGCGCTGACATTACAGGATTCAAATCTGATGCCCGCCACCTCAGGAGTTTATAAATTGGGTAGGGAATGCCGATTCCGGTCATTTCAAAAACAATAAATCTTTGCATATCACTGGTTGTTTGTACAGGTTTTGTAAGAACAGAAAGGTATGAATTAGCATCGTAAGAAAATATATTATCATTTATCAAATTTGAAATGTTGGAAGTACCAAAATTATCATTTGATGTAAATTTTGTTTTGTCTTTTTCTACAGATGAACTTGGTGAAAGATTGGAAGCCAATCCTGAACAAAAAATCCATGCTTGTTTGTGTTATGTTTGTTCCGGTAATGTGGAAAGATTAGTAAGATGTTGGGATAGTGTGGCTCAAGTTAAAGACACTGAAAAAGCAACACCGGAAGCTCTACAGGTATAAAGAAAATTTCAATTTTGATATTATATTCAGTCACAGATTGGGAGATCTAAAAAACTTGTTACTAAGGATTTGAATAATATTTTCAAATTTTTTTTGACAGTATTGCAGTGATAGGAGATTGGAAAATGAAGAAATCAAAATAATTATAGTTTTAGTACTCTTGAAAGTCTCCTTGAATGGGTTTATGTGGCCTTGCCCCGAACGAATTTTTATAAAATAGAAGTTGACTAGAATCGAATCAAAATAATAGATAAAAATATTCATCTAGTGCAAAGTTGAAAAAATTAATACATAATTATGTCCAGACTGCATTTTTTTTTAAAATTTTTGGTGACCTGTTGCAGTAGTCATCAGCTCTGTTGTATTTAAGCGTTCTTTTGCTTTAGGATCTTATTGAAAAAGTAATGGTGTTGAGGAAAGCCGTTGAAGGAATGGTAGGACTTGGTATCGGACACGCTGCTGCTGAAAAGTTATCAAGTTATGCGAGCATCTTGGCTTCACAAGGAAAATTGGAAGCAGCTCTGGGATATTTGCCTGATTCAGTGGAAAAGGTAATTCACTAACTTAGATGCATTTACAAAATTCTGTAGCTTTTATGGAAACATCCGGGATGCGCAATTATTCTTGAAGTATGGGATTATGCATCTGAAAATATTTTGGAAATTTTCCAATCCTGGTAGCTCTTCACATATCTGAATGAGCGTCACTACAAAACTGTGAGATTTGGCATCATTAATTTATTGAACTTTTGGTAGTTTCATTTGTTGTATCGGCAAATTTCACTGTCTCCATGTGATTGAACCATTTGGCACATCACCTTACATCCTGTAGCGTAGAGTGGTAGTTTTTTCTTTCATGTTCTCTGTCATTAATAATTGATCTTACTATTTACTAAGCGACATATTTGTTTCATTAAGCCCGAAATTCAACTTCTGAGGGAAAGATTGCGATATGCTCTTGGTGTACAGCAACAACAACAACAAAACTATCAAAGACAACAATATTCGCGAGGTAATTTACTGTTTAATTTACTATATCATATATATATCCCTTGTATTGTAAATTGAAAATTCTGAAATATTTGGATTAATATAAACTCATGTTATCAATCTATACCGATTGCATCGGAGTGTGTTCATCATGTTTTCACTGGAGTCTGAGCTGAATTCGCACTTTCGAACTTCCTAAAGTCAAAGTCACAATTCTGAATTTCCCAGTTAGAGTCGGAATTACAGACTTCTTAAAAGGTGTTAAAATAAGTCAAAACTTTCTACTAAGGAGCCTAGCGTAGCAGTACAAGAATGAATCTTTGGAACATTGCGATTTCGAACGTATATTTATTTTTATAAATATTTATCATTTATTCTTCAGGAACAACTCAACAGCAACCTGGTTACAGACAACCTGGATATGTACAACCAGTTCAAGTGAGTTCTCTATTTGACATTACTTGAAAGTAAAGTCTTATTTTGTGAAAAAATATAGGCGTAGTGGTTAATGCGTTGGTTAAGACATGGCAGTGTTGGCATTGAAGGTTTCAAATTTTAGGTTTAAATCTCCCGGCCACCACCTAACCCACAATTCCTTGATTGAGTAGGCAAGCTGAACCGGTAAAATTTCGATCCTTTCCAAATATGCAGCAATAAAAAATGGCTCCTTCTTCATATCTTGTATGGGGCATTTTTTTTATAGCGAAAGGCTTTCGTGAAAAAATTTTTACTCGAAAAAAATAGAACTGACAAGAAAATTTATTCTGATAAAAGATCAATCATCTATGAACTTCTTATCATTATTTTACAGCCGCAACCAACTTTTCAACCAATGCAGAACCAATCACAACAACCAGTTGTACCAGATTCTGCAATTAATAATCCTTACTCAGCAAACAGAAGGATACAACCAAAACCTGGTTATACAGGTTAGTTAAAAGATGAGAAAACAATAACGAGAATATCGGTCAGAGACCGAAGACTTATCGCTCGAAAGTTAGGGGATCCCCCAAAACAGCGCTCCATAGTGACACCTTGTGTCCCATCACTAATTAATTAATAACTCGCTAATTATACGACATAATTCATCCAAAATCAATAGGCTTCTGGTCCGACATATGATAAATGCACATGCAAAATCTGGAGCAGATTCGAATTCGCTTTTGTGAGCTATCGCGTGCATCTAACAGACAGACAAATACCTATCAACATACTTACCGATTAAAATCGATGAGTAATGAGTTATGGTTATTGCGGTCTGTGGTTTTTTTCTCAGCCTCCATCCATATAGTATGGTATCATCACTCAAAGGGTGCTGTTTTTGCACCTAATCTTTATTTCATCATTCTGTATAAATGAATTTGGTAGTGTGTTGTGACTGTTGTCTTATAAACTCCTTTGTATAAACAGTTTCATTTACTCCACCCTTACCCCTTTTACCACACCCACCTACCGCCTTACTTTCCACAACTGTCTGTGTAATGGGACCATATTATATGTATGCAATTTAACGTTTTTTAATATTTATTGAAAGGAGTGAATGACTCACATTGATGTTTTAGGCCTGTATGGTCTTGAGCATACATCCCTTCTTTGAAATAAATAATTGCCAACTTGTTTATATTGCTAACCCTTACGAGACGAATAAACATACATACATACAAGAATGACAAACTATTCGCTGGAAAAACCATAGTGTGCGATGAAAATCATTTGCTTTAACAGAAAATTCATAAATGATGTCGCTCTAGTTAGTCACCGTTCTCGCATTCTCATTAATTTTAGTTGTTGTAAAGTATGAATGTCTACGTCATTTCAGTATGTAAATTCGTAAATTTTTTTCTTTAGTTTCCTTTACCAAGTATTTTATCATTTCGAAACATTATACTCCCAATTGTGTTACCATAAAATTTTGTACCTATTGGTTTTCCAGGATGCCAAAAGTTTTAAAATCGCTTTTTTATTTCACAATCATAATTTTTAATCAAAAATAATTTTCATATTCAGCGTCAGCACCTGGCAATCTCTATATTCCCCAGCAACCAACTACGACATCGGGAGCACCTAATACTATGAATGGATATAGTCCAGCAATGGTAAATTTATTTATTTCATTATTATATCACATTTTTCACAGCTGAAAATATGCAGGCAATTATGGAAGTGTGGGCACGGTAACCTAGTGCAGGGCTCTTCAAACTGGGGTCATGGGTAGGGCTGGGCATTTTCGAATACCTGATGATTTCAGAATCGAATCGAATAATTTTTTCGAATCGAATCTCGAATACTTGGAAGGTATGAAATTGTATGTAAATTTCCTAGTATTTTAGGTCCTCCAGACACATAAATTACTGAAAACATAGAATACATCACTGTCAATAAAAAGAACACGTTTTCATCAATATCTCAATACAGAAAAGAGTCATAAGTCAGAATTGTGTTGAAAAAATATGGCTTCAATGAAAAAAAAATTGAGAAATTTACCTCGACCATTGGCGGAAAGAGTAAAACAAGATGGCGGCGATTCGAAAATTTGCTCTAAACCGATTCGAATAATTTACTATTCGATTCGATTCAAATATTCGATTCGAAATGCCCAGCCCTAGTCATGGGTTGGGTTGCGGAATGACGTAATGGGGGTCGCCATACCCATTATTGTTTGAAGTGGCCATACTTACTCTTCTTCCTTTTGGCCTCCACTTATCTGTGTGAAAAATCTTTTTTAAAACAAAATATAAATCAAATTTGGAAGATTTGGAACCAGTGCTGAAACCCCTCACCCAAAGAGTAATAAATAGGATAGGGAATGTTGAATCTAAAAGATTCCAGCGTTTCCAAACCATACTATGTCCTCCCTTAGAAATGGCTGCTTGTGCAGAGACTTGTTTTGAGGCAAACTGCATAGCATGTAAATACTAATTTTTGAGTTTCATATTTAATTCAAAATTAATTCTTGAGTGAGTTGGTATTGAAGAAACACTATCATCAAAAGCAGATGTGGCATATATTACATTCACCAACAGCAATTATTTAAATTTTCGAAATGCATAATTATGATCATGCTTTGGTCCAGGGGTTCCTAAATTTTTAAAAAAGAATCCATGACGCACCCCTTGCAATTTTTTCAATGAATCCCCCCTGCTTTGCGCACTAAAACAAAACATTAAAAGATCACAACAAAAAATCAATAGTAAAAAACATTAAAACGAACCAAAGTATATGACATTTAATGAGATGGGTGCACTTGTTTCATTGTAAAACAGCATTTAACAGCGAACTGGCATAACTTCATAAACTGGCTAGTGCATACTGTAACTCACTCCTATACCAACAAACATGCGAAAAGGTAGCGTCAGCTACACCTTTGCAGTTAGTTAACTTGTATTGGCAGCAATTGAACTCTCTGTGATATCACAGGCCCATAGCTCTGTGACATCACAATGGTGCAGCGTGATCGAAACAGTAAGTGAAGAATCAGTGTATCCAGCAGTGATTGCGAAGCAGCAAACGCCGACAAATGTGTATTTGCAAATTTAAGCACTTGATTTTTGTATTATCAAGCTATGAGCCATATAACAGATTTCTTTCGCGGACCCTCCAAAAGTGCTTCACGGACCCCAAAAGGTCCGCGGACCCCACTTTGGGAACCACTGCATTGACCTTTGTCACAAACTGTCGGCTTTTTTGAAAGAATAAATTATTGTACTGGAATTGATTTTAAAATATATTATTCGGTTTTTGCTGTGATCAAGGCTCTGCACAAGAAGCGTCTGATATAAAAAAGCTACCTTTTTTTTAGAAGGATTTGAATCTTTAGGTTTGGTATTGGCCTACCTAATTTATTGCACCCAGGGTGGGGTGGTGGCCGTGGGATTTGAACTCAAGATTTCACCATGCTGTGCCATCATAGTTAAGTCTAACACTTTAACCACTAGGCCACCACACAATATTCATTCTATCATTGTTTCAGCGTGATAGCATTTCATTTATGCCATTTCATTCATTCAGGTTCCAAGTCAGCCTCCTACTGTACCAGTCAGTCGAGCCCCAGATCCAATGATTCCACAGCAACCAACATCATATGCTCCACAACCGTCACCCACAGCGAATAGCGCACCCACTGCCAGTAATGGGGGCTGGAATGATCCACCCTCTCTCAATCCAAACAGAGTACCAAAAAAGAAAAAGGTAATAGTGTCTTTGTAATACTTTCAATGGTTTGCCTTTTCACACAAGAAGTAGGAAAGAGAATTTTTTAGAATTATGTTGCAGAGCATAGGTGCATGAACTGCTGTTAATCAGAATTCTACTATCTATCCATTCTTGTGAGTCAGGTCCGTGGGGTGAATTTACTGTGGAGTTTCTGTGACTTCGTCTTGGGAGATAAAAAAAATGTTGGTCCCGATTCTTGGTCATGAAAAATTTCAGCATTGGCGTATGCAAGTCTAATTTAATAGACTGTTTAGAATGCCTGGTAAATTTGTTGCTTTCGATTTTCTGAAGAAATTTTCGATTTTTATTATCACCATTTAAAGTATGAAATTCTGTCTCCCAATTCCATTGGAGTTAAAAATTTTGACGCCTGACTACAGTCAGTTTGAAAATTCATCTCTAGATCCTGTTTGTCTTCCAGTGAAAACATACCAAACTTCGGCTTCATGCTGTTGTCAATATTGTGGATCAGTGCATCATTCACATAAATACCTGATCAAATTCTCCTCGATACAGTATGGTTATCTTTTTTTTTCAAGAGAGGGAACATTTTTGTTTTATTTAAAAGTCGAACAAATTTCATATTGAATTAATGGTTGTTCATTGGTTTTTTAGACATTTATAAAACCAGTGACATACATAACATAATATATGCAGTTGAGATTGATGGCACAATGGTTAGTCTTTTTGCAATAAATTACGTAGAACAATCTCTGCCAGTTTACTTGAGCCGATTCAAAAGAACTGTATAAATATGAGATAGCTCGCCAAGGGCTTTATTTTGAGTTAAGTTGTGGAAACGGATAAAAATTGTTTTATTTATTCAAACTGTTTCTGTGCACTACTGCATGCATTTCAAAATTAGTTTTATGTTTGATTTCCTATTTTATGATGCTCGGAAAAACGTCATTCAATTTTTGTTTGGACCCTGACAATTGCACTGGTACATTTCATATAGCACAGTGGTTCCCAAACTCCGGGATTTGATAACACATGGAATCGTATGAGAACCACGGTGTAATAATCTCTTAAATCAGATTTATAACGATTCTTTGACAAAACGTAGATGTACTTGATAAAATGTGGTAGATTGTAAGGACGTGTACGATATTCTGAAATAGTAAGATTGTCTCTAAATATACATTAATTCAAAATCTTATTTAGTTCTTTCCAACAGCGTCTTTATTATTTTTAGTTCTATATTAACATATTACAGATTGCTCAATTATTAGTTTGAAATTAAAACAGAGCATGAATGTAAAATAGGAGAAAGTGTGTATGGAATCACATCTTTTAAGTGCCTTTATCATGCTAGGACTTGTGGTTTTGTGTTTGACTGCTTGGAAAGCTTCGAAATTTTGTAGGAAACATGCTGTTTGGACAATAAATGGTCGAGTTATTGCTGAAAAATAGGTATTTTTACAGCACTGCCGACGAGTACAAATTTGATTTTCCAACTTTCAAATCCTAGTCACTTGTGTGCGCATGTTTGGAAAAAATTAGGCGACCCCGTAAAATCTTCATGGGAACCACTGATATAGCATATGCTTTATCGGTAATACTCCTTAAAAATTTAAACCTGTCTTTTGTCAAGACAGTGAACTTGACGCTGTTGGCATAGCACTGCTGCTATTAGTTTTAAACCCTGTTTTGTATGACCTCACCATCTCATTCGTGATACTATTGGATAGGCAATGCAGAATTGAGGGTACAATAATACTCACAAATCTCAATTGTTTCGAGCATTGAAATATTTTTTTGATAGAGAGAATATACCCTTGAGATTTTTTTCAACTCTACTCACTTTGTCTCCACCAAACTCATTATGAGAAGAAGTTACAGATCGAGTAGTTGAAGTTTGGCGTCTCTTGAGTGATGTCTGCACCCGTAGTGTGCGTACCAGGTTAGGGTTAGGTCATAATTTTATTCCGATTTTCTCTCTTTTCGTTCTATTACGGGTTTGGGGACTGTCTGTGTTAGCCAAGTGAATATCTCCCTGCTTATAGGTTTCAGTCCCTTTACACAACTTGATGTAAAGTAGGCAAACAAAATTAGCTACCTACATATTGGTACACACACTTCTGGAGTGCCGAATTGAAAATACCATAGCTCTTTCAAAATCAATACCATCTTGTACATCTTTTTCCAATCCTATTTAGAAAATAAAACTCTGTAAGCATTAATTAGTCAAATGAGGCATCATCGCATTATTTTATGAAATTTTTCATTTTTTTGAAATAATTGATGATCTCATTTTTTCATAATTTTTATTTCTAAATTATAACCAAAGCATTTGTTTTGGTTTTAATATTTTAAGTTATGGTACTTATACAATTGATATAAGCTATGCTGTATTTTACGACCCTATTTTTTAATAACACCACTCACACACCACACTTGGATCTCTCATTCATACTTTTTATTCACTTTCCCAGATGCCGAATTCATTGCATGGTTATGCCAACAGCAAATTGGCTTGTGACACTCAGGGTCTACAATATTTGATCCCAAACACCCCCATCCCATCAGTAACATTGCCTGCGTCTGATAACAAACAGGTTCTCTCTAAAATAATTCAATATTCTGTCTTTTCCTGCATGTTGTAATCATTTCATGATAGATAACTTCATACTAACAAAACCTCTCTTGCTTTTAGAATTGTGGTGTCATTCCGATTAATTCATTGTTGAATTGATGGTTATCTTTACGTTTTTGTTGATATATTTTTTTAGTAAATTACAGCAACAACCAAACATAAATTAAACAGGAGTCTTGGAATCCGGCCACTAATTATTAGCATTAACAATGATAAGTTTGGTGCTCCAGAAGTATGTGCACCAAGATGTCACACAACCTGAATCCTAACCAGTACACACATACTATGTTCAGGTTGTGCGCCATCTTGGCGCGCATACTTCAGGAGGTTCGATAGTTTTTCTATATTACCAGTTATCACCCAATAAGCCATAGCAAAAAAATTGTGTTCCTATCCTCTGTTCGTCAGCACCACTTACAGACTCTCAATTTGCTCTTTTTTTCTCACGCCTGTTTCCATGTGACTTACTACATACTCATGATGGTATCGGTAATGGTATTCACACATGCAGCACACACAAATGTAGCAACATCAAATATACGGTAATAATCACAGGGAGATATTCCAAATTCTGGATTTATGAAAAGTGAGGGGGAAGGCACTGTGTTGTTCCCCTATTCCAGTTTTTTCTGGTCCAAAGGTAATGCCCCAGAAAATCGACCAAATAAAAACGACCCAATAAACGGCTTTTTTTCCAGAAAATACTATATACAAATACAAGAGTTCCAAAAGATTGTTGATTAAATATGGTTATAAAGATATCATCAAAATTACAAATGAATGATTATTTCATTGTTGACTGTCACCATAAATGCAGAGCTACCAGTTCCAAATAACTTAGTATTTTTTGTAAAGTAGTTTATGCAGTTTGATACTATGTTAAAAACATTATTCACTAACACTTTCACATCAGTTGATGATTCCGACATCTACTACACCTATTATTAATGGATTCTTGCCGCAGATGACGCCCACTGCTCCCGGAGTCGCACTCGTATTACCAAGCGAACAGCAGGTGTAATTTTTCACTATGTTGTCATAAACAACAAAACGGCAACGAATTGATCGAATAATTTTGAAATTTTAATAGAAAGAAAATGATGGAATTTTTGCTAAAATGGCAAACTACTTGAAACCGCTTTCACCTCTCGCAAAACCAAGCTGGGATCTACCATTTAGTGTCGAACAACCTGTGGCACAGATCAATAACCAAGTGACTATAAGATTGCCATCAAACAAGATAATTTTTGTGAAAATTTTGATTTAATGATATAAATAAAACATTTGAGACATGATTGAAATGTTCAAATTGTATATACGATTACGTGCAAAACCTAAAAAATTGTAATAAATTTTTGATAGCAAATCCTTGAAGTACGATTGATGATTAAAATAATATCAAGATTATGAATTATTATCAATTATCAAAGTTTAATAAAGTATTGATTGTTTGATATAATTTGAAATATGACATGATTATCTTATCGAAGGTATTAAAAGAGCATTATCAAATATTTTAAGCGAACGTCTCGTATTGGTAAGATCGGCGAATAAGCATCACGGATGCGGTCAAATGTGAAAAAAGTCACCTCAACAACAAGACTAACAAGAATAACGATTTAGCAAAACAGTCCGTATGGGCACTTTGTGTTCAATTATAGAATATGAATTTAGCTTAGTACTGATCAATAAAAACGAAAACAATATAATGAAATTTAAAAATGAACAACAATTTAATAATCATATAAAAATTTATTGAATTTATAAGGATACTTCATAACTGCATGCACAATTATAAGCTGAAATATAGACATTCTATTAGCAAAGCTCACCAAATAAAAGTAGAACTTCCTGCATGCGATTGCAGAAAAACAACATAAAAATCAGTGTTAAAATAAAATTATCGAGATTATACTTTGCTCCTATATCAATTCTTGCATATTCAATCTCTAGCCTCCTTTTTATATTAAATTTAATGTCTTCCAGACTCTTTCTGCCTATATTGTTACTCTTATTTTTTAAATCGTTATTACAATGTCTGAATATTTTAATTTGAATAAATTTTGAAATTGGTGATTTTGAAACAATAAAACTTTTTTTTTATTTCAAAATTCTATGTCTCCACAGTGATATTCAAATTTTCAATACACAACTGAAACGTGTTGCATAGACAACATTGGGAAATCATAAGGGCATGTTTATTCTTGGCTCTTGAATTCATGTCATATTACATCATGAAATTGGCAATTCATCGTAATTGTTGTGTGTTTTATATATATATCTATATATTATATATATATATATATGTAGTTATGATGGTTGCGAGTCTGCAGTTAACTTCAATGCTGTTTTTCGCTATTTTTCTCTACTCTTTATATCTATCAATAATTATATTATATATAACAGCGGTTCTCAATCGGGAGCCCATGCTTCCCCTTCTCCAGGGGGGCCACAATGCTAGGCGTGAATTTTACTGTCCCCTTCACAAGAAAACTCCCCGTTTTTCCTAGTTTCATTGCTTGATAAGGTTATTTCACAGTGTGTTTTCATTTTGTTGAGCATGAATTGTTTGAACATAATGTATTTCGAAATCTACCAACACAAATAACACTATAAATAATATTGTAGTGACAAACATGGAGGCCACGAGTACTAAAAAAGCTTCAGGGCCACAAGCTATAAAAGGTTGGGAAATTACTGATATATGAAAATACAACTTTTCTTGTTCTTCATCCATTATTCAATTTATCATAATACTTTTAAATCAACTGACATACATTTTTGAAAAACGATCTGCGAAATATGATAAGTTTCGTTTAGAATGAATTAGTTAGGAAAGGGATAAAAAAACTATTATGCACATGCAAAGGCCTTGGATTTCGACAGCCGTATCTATGATATTTCTATGCATTCTGTATCACTGTTTTTCTGTGTCATGTTGTTATCATGTTCAAAGCATAAAATACTGATGTTTTCAGATGATTGAAACATTGCCGTCTTAGTCTTTATTAACATAACTCAAAGAATTTACATTGTTTGTTTTCACTTTCAAATATTGAAATAGAAAAGTAGGAAATCTTTTATTAATTTAAATTTGTGCTTATGCAATTCATTGATTTGAGGATTTTGCATTTTTTCAATTATAATATTCAATTTGTGGGTGGACGGTGAATTTGGCAATTTTTTGAAAGTGTTAAATTACGAAACAATTTTGTATAATTTCTGTTTATTTATAACCATTCGTATTTTCACTGTGCGCATTTTTGTCATTACTTTTCTTTAAAGCAATGTCTCACTAAATCTCAAAACTGAGCTAATGGGAAACAATTATCTACACAAATCCCTATCTAAGATATAAATATTTATGATTAGTGTTATTAATTCCGTTCTATTTTTTTTTGACAGATTGTGTGCCATTTTATAATAATAAAATCGCCTTTCATTTCACAGGCCTCAGCACAGCCTTTTGCACCTCAAAACTACAATCTAATGACGCCAACACAGCCAATTTCAGCTCCTGCACCTTTAGCTCCTGGTATGCAACCAGGTTTTCCACAACCAATGCAACCAGGCATGGCACCGGTCAGTGCTCCAAATTACATAATGCAACCCAATGGACCTCCCGGTGCACCGGTTGGAGCTCAGGTAACTTTTATTCTGTAATAACACAAGTTACGTCTACTACGTTGATTTGGATATGATTACTTAATTTGCCTTGACGTTAAATGTTAGGAACAAACACGCTTTCCATTGCACCCCTGATTATCCTTATCAGATTACGCAACTAATGATCGTTTATGGCTACCATCAAGTCCATGCGTCTGAAACGAATAACTAGTTGACTTTTTCTGCGTTAACATGGACTGGTAAACGGACGAAAGGTGGTTTTCCATGTGATATAGCTGTCTTATCAGCTTTCCTTTCCCCCTGGATCAATATGAAAATCCTAATCATAATATCTCATTTTCTTCATTGTGATATAAGTGTAAAATCCATTCATATTCTAACATACATTTCTCAGAATGAGTTGAGTAGGCCTACCTGCATTTTTTTTTTGTACAAATGTTTATGAAAAATCTGAAAAATTAGGTATTGAATGTTGTCTCGTACATTTATGTTGAATGTGTGTCTTTATTAGGCTGCTTTCATTGAAACTCCAGTTCAAACAGTGACAGAAGAAAATGATAATATCTGTGAGGTATAATATCAAAAGTGCGGGAATATATCCAGCAGTAGCGAGTGTCTCCATGAGATTACCATTCAAATACTATCCTTGAAATGGCACTGATTTCAAATTAAATTTTTTTTTTCAAATTTGCCCCTAATATATAAATAATTTGTTTAGATACTCAAGATTTTGTTTTTAAAAATCTGAATTTTATTTCTTTACCAAAATTTCTGATATTTAGGCCTGTGAATGCCAGACAAAATCACAATATTACACCTGATATATTTTACTGATAAGTTGATAATAAGTGATGACCTACAATTTTAATCCTATTCTGAAAAAAAATAAATTTTTGAAAAAATTATCAATTTGGATTACCCATGGTTAGACTTGGTTGTAATTCGTTGGGTATTTGTCAAAGGTGCTACTACTGGATATGTTACTGATGGATCAGCAGTAGGTAGCTCTTAATTTCTGGTGCAATAATTCATATAGCTTTGGTGAATGGGTGATCATTTTAGACTGGAAGTAGATTTGGAATTAAGATTTATAATGTTGTGAAATTTTCAGGGTACACCCATTAAGACAAAGACAACAGATGGTGTTTGTTATATGTTAGCTATTTTGCTTCGAACGAGGCTCTGCACAAGAAGCACTAATATGTGAGGAGTTGCTATGGTTTGGCATTACTTAACCCAGGGTGGTCGAAACCCTGAACACATCAAGGCGACGTGTCCATATAGGCGGTTACCGTTACATGGTGAGACGCCCGTAAGCACGCTTTGTTTTTAGGAAAAATCAAGCTATGAATATTAAGTATTACATTCTGGATTAAGAGATTGCAGATTACAACTTGCGATGCCATTATAGCTATGTCTAATGCTTCAACCCAGTGGTTCTCAAACTTTTTGAAAAATTATGCATAACGGTCCCCTTCCAATTTTTCTGATTACTCCCGATCCACTGAATAAATGAAAGCACATAGCAACACGGTATATCAAGCATTCATTTATTGAATGATATTAAAACAGTTCGATGAGATAGGTACGTCTGCTTGGCTTCCAATAGTTCTTTCAACTTGGGTTCTGTTTTGGATAATGCAACTCTCATATCGTGTCTCACGTCCATTCTGTTTCAACATTTTGTTTTAATAGTAAAAAAAACGTAGCGAATAACGTAGGAAAAGCTGTCTCACATTCGTAAGTTGTTGCAAATGGAATAGGCATTTTTAGCGCCATCTTAGCGAAATCGAGATAGGACGGTGCAACTGTGGGTTTTTTCCTCCAGAACTTATCACGGCAGAATCAAATTTTACATATGAATCGTTAAATCTAAATTTAAGTTTTATGAGCGGGGGCATTTTTAAATTACCCTTTGAAAATTTACAACCAGACGCAAACGCCTTCCATAAACAATACGCTCTGATTTACGGTACTTGACACGTTCACCAACGTTTGTTATACATAATAATGTCTTCGGTAGAGCGTGTCGTGCTTTGGAGAAACACGGTAAAAGCATGACATCAAAATTTTACTTCAAATGAAAGGTTAAAGTTGTCTCGCGGCCCCCAGTTCGAGAACCAATGCTTTGACCACTATGTCACTGTGCCCAACAACGCAATTCAATTTGTTTTCACACATAGAAGTCAATTTATGGAACAGTTTGTGTACATAATGCTTCATACAGAACAACTTTTTTTTCTTTTATTAGTAATCTTCTTGATATTTATTGGTCACCCGTAGTTTCTATTAGAGATCAATTTCCTTAATTTCTGAGTGAGTGCAGATGACATTGATTTGAGCAAATCACCTTATAAAAAACTGTTATATCACGATAAGTTTCTACAGGATTCAAAAAAAAATAATTTGAAGGGGGAACGACTCTTTATTTAAGTTTAGTTATAGTGCTTCATATTATATGTCCAAGTTATTTAAGTGTCATGGATATCCGGATTATATTTTTGGAGGTTTATGCATGCAAACCAATTTGGTGTATCACTCGTATATTCTTATACCACTCTTCATAATGTAGTGTTTCACAAGCATCATATTTCAACTTTTTCATATGCCGAATGCATTTGTAAATTCTATTTGGTTGCCTGAGGATCAATGCAACAACAATTCATGAATCTGTGTAACATAAGTATGTAGTTAGCGAAAACAAAATGATTAGTTCTAAAAAGGTTGTAACATTTTGTTTTTGGAAGAGATTGAAATGATTTAAATTTAAGCATCCAGTGATATCTAACGATGTGTAGTGACTGGAGTTACTATTTTTCGAAGAATCATCTTTTCGGCATTGTCCACCAAATTTACAATACCCAGGGTTAGGTATGGATGGGACTTCACCTGTGGGTCATGATGTGGAGCCTGCAGTGCCACACAGTTAAGTCTAGCTAACGCTTTAACCACAAGGCCATCACACTCTCAAAGATTGTCAAGAAATGTCCAATTATCACTCATAAACCAATTTCCTCTCTTATTTATCTTTCATTTTACAGCCACAAGCTCCTGCACCATCATTACCAACATCAGCAGCTAAAGATGTCCCAAAAGCCCCCATTCCGCAAGAACATCAAATACTTCACACTCATTTCGATAATCTCATCAAACAATGCTTAGCTCAAGCTAGCAATGCGGTAAGTCAAGCCACTTGAGATTATAGTTTAACGAGAACTGCAAAAGCTTATCTCACTTTGTATTTTTTCATCTTTTCAGCAAACAAAGCGGAAATTGGAAGATTGTGAAAGAAGAATGGAATTTTTATACGACAAACTTCGTGCCAACACGGTATGCTTTTTTTGTATAATGCTTTTTCACGTCGTTCTCTAGGAACTAGACCGTATAAAAATGACCACTGATATCTAATAATACAGTGATTACCTTTTTTTCTGAACGACCAAAATTTCCATAATATATTTTTTGTAGAATCTCACGACCTAAGTATTATGCTCATACTAAATGGCATGTGGTTCTTTTATGGTCGCAAAATGAAGTTATCAGTATAAAACTATCGTTTTTACATAACATTTATTTTACCAGAAATGACTTCAATGTGAGAAAGAATTGTGATACTTCCGACATATATAATCGAGCAACATTTCAATGCCAAATGAAAATTAAATAAAATAAAAATTACTAGAAAATGAGATTTTGTTGAACAAACAAGGGACCCAACGAATTTTCAAGCGACCCAGCTCTGGGTCACGACCCATAGGTTGGGAAACACTGTAATAATTACTATTGAAAAATTCGGAATCTTACCGGTTCATCGTCATCTACTCAATTCATTACACCTTTGGTAAGATACAGGGCATAGGATTCAAGATGTATAACCCGCAATGCTAACTTGGTTGAGGGCGATGCTTGAACCATATATGATCTCTTTATTTTGCAGCTTTCTCCACATATTGTTACTGGGCTTCACCAAGTGGCACAATTTGTCAGTGCACACGACTACGCTTCAGGATTGCGACAACACACTCAAATTGTGTCAAGCTCTAACTTTTCTGAAATTTCTGCTTTTATGCCTGGACTAAAGAGCATGTTGCAGATTGCAAGTCAAATGAGAGTTTGAGAATCTTGGAATGGATTTGATTGAGAAAAGGCCAAGGATAAACATGTACCCATATTGGAAATGGATTTCATCCAAGCAAATTATAGAGCACTTTCTTGTCTGTATATCTATATCTCATACATGGCCGAATTTGATTCTCGTCTGGATAACTTGCATGTAAACTTGGATCGGTTTCCATCTTTTGATCTACTTTAGGAATTACTTAAAACATCTATGGCCAAGTATGATTGATGCATGTCGCTTCTTGTTCAGTGTTTTAAGAGTGTTCTCATTTGACTGAATACTATTCTTCTGCTGCCTATGTTAGTTTATTTGTTTAATGTGCCGTTGGTATCGCTTATAATTTGTATTATTTGGTTGCTAGGAACATCAGAGTTATATCAAATGTGTTGCTGTAATCTTTATTCTCTTTGTATAACTCGCTCTTTCATTGCACTCAATATAAATAGGCTGATGTAAAATTTAGCGCAAGTAAACTAGGCTTTTACTGGTACTTATTCGTTGTGACAAACAATTCTATGCCAAATATGGTCGACGTTTTTCATTGTCCATTTGTTCTTGTTTTGGATTTGGTGTATGCGAAACTTTTCCTTGAGGATTCATTTATGCTTGTCCTTTTGTGGTGCATTTTTCTACCATTTTGGAGAATTTTTAAATTTATGTGGAAATGTGCAATCTTAGATGAAATTGCTCATTTAGATTTGTTCGATTTGTTTGAAAAGGTTTTTATGGCTGAAATCCAAGCTGCTGTTGCAAATACCCTATTCTTGTATAGTTTTGGTGTGGTGATGGCATTTTGGAAGCATTTGTATTTTTTTGTCTTGCTGAATACGGTATAAAGAATTTGATTATCAAAAAACAACTGCAATATATAAAGCCTATACCTGCTCTTATAGAAATTTGGACTTCAACAGTAGACATTATTAAATTTTCTGATATTTCAGCATTTAAGCTGAATGTAAAAAAGGTTCAACTTTAGAATGGATAATACAATCATATTAGATGCAAGTATATTATTAATTCATTGCGCAAATAGCATTCCTAATAATAATCCTATACTTGATAAAGAACTTAACTTAGAACAATGGCATTTCATAATTGAAATGAACAATAGCCAAAAGTGACTCATGAAAACCGGTTTACTTCAGATACAAATCATAATATGAACTTATTTTCCAGTTTCCAGGTGCCAATTTGTGTGTAATGTCCAAGTGTAATTTGTAGGCAATTTTTAGTTGGAAAAAAAAAACTTTTCCAATTTTTGTACATAGTTTCTGGAAGTGGATGAAAGTTTATAATAAGCTTGTATAGAAAAAAAAGGTATATAGATGTTTATCACATGGTCGGTGTTGGCCAATGTAAATACATTTAAAAGGTTAGTCTGTGCCTTTATTGCCTTGGGTTAATCTTGACACGTGACTGTATTTATTTTTTGAAAGATTCATCCAGTTTTATCCTGTTCTAAAGGTAATGTGATTGTTTCTAGGAAAATAAAGGCTACTATATTGTAAAAAGCATTTTCGTGTCTTTTCGGTGGTAGAATATTCAGGAAACTATTCGGTATAAATATCAGTCTCTGGATTCGTTTTTTGACATTTCGGCAGATTTTAAATGTGTACTACTGACTTGACTATTAGAGAATCTTCGAGATTCATCCATGTTCTTCTCCCTGCTGTTTTATTTCAATGTCCTTTTAATTTAGGTACTCAAATTTTGCTTTCATTTCCCACCTACAGTGCGGGACTGCTTTTTGATTAAAACTCCGATTGGTCGCAATAAATAACGCTATTTAGTATTGATGACATCGCCAACAAATTGGGAAACAGGGCCGCCCATACCTATTTTATAATGGAAGGTACATTCTATTACCGGTGCCTTTTAACTAAGTTTGAAGTCGAGATTACAAATAAGAGCTTATGATTAAATTCAGGATCTTTTGTACAAAGCCCCCGGCACAAATGCAAGAATATGAATTTTGAGAATAACACCCCCTCCGCGTTTTAAAATAACAAATTAGTAATTATCCTAAGATCCTAAATTTGCGCCCACAATTAGCCGACACTGTGCTCGTATATTTGCAAGAAATACTACAGTACGTGTTAATTCTTAATCCTTGATTTAAATGTATTTCCATATAAATAGGCTTACAATGCGTAACGGTTTAGCCGGGACAATCCCGGTTTTAGCATGTTTTCTGCCGTCCCAGCGATTGACCTAAATGTCCAGGATTTGCAGTGTGCCATAAATATTTTTTCTATTTGATACTTACAAAATAGTTTTTTTTCAAGGGAGGCATTCGATTTACCACTAATTTGCGTCTTATTTCACTAGTTCAGATAGAGAGAAAAATTGTGATGTTGTAGTAATATGACATGAAATATGAACCACGCGTTAATTTAACACCAAACGCTACTGTCGTTGTTGATTCATCAAAATGCCGGAAACAAAGTTTTCTGATAAGTTGAACGATTTGCATTATTTAATAGGAGCTAAGTTTGATGCCCGTGATCTACACACAATGGTATGTAAAACGTTTAAACTATTACTAAGCCCCTGAAATCGAACCAAGATTGACTTGCCAAATCCGCGGCGTCCCGTTTTTTTTGCTTCAGAAATACAGTAAGCATACGCTACATATAAAGTACGCCCACATTATCAAAAACCAGCCAAATGTTCGAAAGCGATTCATAACAAAAACAACTAATGAACAAAATTTTCCAAATGACGTCCTGTATGAACTACTGGGGTTGATATCTACACAACTGGACTGACTTCTTCTGGCCCCAAGGCGCTGGTTAGCATAGAGGTTCGTCCAAGCATTCCGAACCGTTAACAAGTGGTTTAGACGCAATCGCGCTTCTGTTTGAAGCCCTTTCCGCCACAATTTCTTCATTCTTCGTGGTTGAGTTAGCGGTGGTAATGGATAATTTAGAAGCTGTAGGCAACGTCGAGTTGGAAATTGAGGCGGAAGCGGGCATTGCTTGTTCATTGTTTGGGACCGACTTCGTACCTTCAGTGAAATTATTTTTTGCAGTTAAGTCATTCTTTACATGTACGGCCTTTGATGTGGTCAATTCAGTCAATGTATTTTCCTCCATTATTTCAGAAGATGTATTGACTGAATTGGTTGCTAATGGGTTTTTTCGTAGAATTCATTTCCGTTGGTGTAATTGGGTTTGCTGGGTTTGAAGTTGTATCTGGATTTAATGCAAGCTGCGTGATTGACTTTGTTGTGGCGGCTGATCCCACTTTTGTTGTCCAATTTGTCGACGGTTCTGTTTTTGACGTTGTACTGTTAGTAGTAGTTCTTGTGCGATTCAATTTCGATGTCACATCGGCCGTCTTTGCAGTAGATTTTATTTCTGTAGTCAAATTTGTTTTAACAGTTGATCGCATTTTTGTGGTCGAATTTGATGATGATGATGTTCTAGACGTTGTGCCTGTAGTAGTAGTTGTTGTGCAATTTAATTTCGATATCATATCAGTCGTTTTTACGGCAGGTTTAGTCAAATTTGTTTTCACATCTGATCGCACTTTTGTGGTAGAATTTGATGATGATGATGCTGTTTTCGGTGTTGTAGTGGTAATAGTAGTTGTGCGATTCAGTTTCGGTGTCACATTAGCCGTCTTTGCAGTAGATTTTATTTCTGTAGTCGAATTTGTTTTCACATCTGATCGCACTTTTGTGGTCGAATTTGATGATGATGGTGCTGTTTTTGGTGTTGTAGTGGTAGTAGTAGCTGTTGTGCGATTCAGTTTCGATGTCACATTAGCCGTCTTTGCAGTAGATTTTATTTCTGTAGTCGAATTTGTTTTAACAGTTGATCGCACTTTTGTGGTAGAATTTGATGATGATGGTGCTGTTTTCAGTGTTGTAGTAGTAGTAGTAGCTGTTGTGCGATTCAGTTTCGGTGTCACACTAGCCGTCTTTGCAGTAGATTTTATTTCTGTAGTCGAATTTGTTTTAACAGTTGATCGCACTTTGATCGTTGATCGAGTTTTAGAAGGGCCTGTTGTATCTACCGCAGATGTATTTGATCTTACTGTTTCTTTTGCTTTTGTATCTATCGCAGTACGTGTTGACCCAGTCCAAGTTGCACTTATCAATGATGTTGCTGATTTCGTTGATTTATTTGGCCTCGTTGTGGTATTCAGCTTGGTTGTTAGCGTAGGTTTTGCAGTTGCATGACTAATATTTGTGTTGTTTAAGTTTTCAACGAAATTTATTGCTGTATTAGCTGCAGTTAAATTTCTTTGTACTGTTGTCGTTTGCGCTGTCGCTAATGTTGTTTTCGCAGAGGTTGTTGATGGTGTTGAATGTTGTGTAGTTGTCGCCAATTCCGCTTTTTTGGTTTGGGTAGTTGTATTCGTTCTTACCAAATCCTGAACATAAAAAATAAGATGAAATATATAATTACGGTAGCTAAAACACCGTTAAGCCGTCTCAAACATAGCATAACAAGTTTTATCTACTCATTGCTTTGACTGTAGCAGTTAGACTATTCCACAGATATATAAAAGCCTGTGATTTATACAAATCACAGGTAACGCAAAGACAATATTAATAGTGTTTTTATTGAAAAGTATTTACGTATATATATGACAAAAATGAGTCTAGATTTTGCTCATCGAAGTTGTTATATTTTTTCCAATATTAATAGCGGGTTAAATCATAGTGGTTTTGTCCACGAGGACGCTGATAAAGTGATATTGCTATCTATATATAATTTGAAGTTTATTTGTTCTCGTGCTGTATAGAACTCACTACTCGGACTAAAACTCACGTCTTAATTTAGAGTCAATTAGTTAAATATGGCCTATCTCATGCCATCGTAATGTAATATATTTTTCAAGCAGACCAAGATACAACCTGTGTCGCAAGAGTTCTATTATTCCATGTTGATATACTTTTGTCTTTTATAGAGGAATCATTTTTAAAATTAACGTCTGTTGTAGGAGGCAGTTTCGCTAGAACTTCAGTATCTTTGACAAAAGGAGGCATTGTCGTGTACACTTCAATGTAAGTTTCAGTCTCATTGTTTTCCGGTGTTTTGTTTTCACTGAATGTCTGAAAAGAAGGATGAATATTAAAGGAACAATTATTGATAAAAATATCATTTTTAACACTTCTTTTAAATGTGACTCACTTGGTCTATTTCCGTCTCTGAAGTTTGTTGTAATAATGCTTCCACTGGCGTTGCTGCTGTTACAGCGTATGGTGTTGCAACTAGTTTTGCTGTATCGTTAGATCCTGCCGTAAGCGGTTTTCTTGCGTTATTTTCGGCCACGCCAACTTTTGCTGTTGTGTTTGATGGTATTGCTGACCTTGTTGGTGATTGGGGTGTTGCTTTTGCTGTCTTTGTATCACTGTCCGCATCTGATCCCTGAGAAATCACATGAAATTACAACCAAACAAGATGAAATGGTGATCGATTAAGAAAAAAAGCAGTTATTCTCGATATGGAATAATAAGTTACAGATTTTGGGTATACGCTCGTAACAGTTAAATTCTAAAATGTCCATTAGGGACATCCTAAATATGTCTCAAATTTGAATAAACTGAATTATTTTAGTTCAAAGTAATGCAACAAATGATAACAATGATATTTGCTTATTCTCCCACCGTATTAAAAATCCTTGAGACCGAAGACCATATCTTTTTTGCAAATGTTCGTAGTGGATGGGAAACCTATACAGATTTGATTGTATAATCATCAATTATTAGTTAAAATACTGTGCAGTAAGAAAAATATTCAGGAAATAATGTATGATCGAATATTGTTACCTTTGAACTTGTTACAATTGTATTTTTTGTGGTAGTTGTTGTAGCCATCTTCATGTTGCTGGCTTTGGCATTGAATGTCCTTGGTATAAATTTACTTATTTCAGTTGTTTTATTTTGCTTTGAAATTATTATAGAGTTTGATGTTGATTTTATCACACTGTGTAAGTTTGTTGGCGTTGGCAATGTTATTGCTGAAGTTAGTTTTGTTGTTGTTGTGATACTAGTCGGTTCGGGGGGATTTTCAGTTACAGTCGATATTTTTGTTTGTGCGGGCTTCGATGGTTTTACGGTCAAGATAGGATTTCTCCATGCAGACGTTACATTTGCTATGTATGGTTTTTGAATAGATTCAGTTGCTGTATTTGGAGTTATTTGCACAACTTCTTTTGTCGATTTTGTTTCGTTTGCCCTGACAGCGCTTTCGGTTGATGTTAAATAGAACTTTGATGTTTCATACAAGCTTGTTACTGTTGGGTTATTCGTAGGAACAGATCTTGTTGTTTTGATTGTTTTTTCTGTTGTTGTAGTCGGATTTGCTGGTATCGTCGATTTATTTGTTGCATCATAAACTGTTTTTGCCAGTTTTGGTGTCGTACCAGAGATTTTTGCAATTTCATTCTGGTTTGTCTCACTCGTAATAGTCGACTTCATTTCCTTCATAGTGTTTAGCGTAGTTGTTGTTGTTGATTGTGCCGTTGCATCATTAGTCTTCGTTATGTTCGGATTTTCAATCGAGTTTGTTGATGTATTAGCTGCCTTTGAATTTTCTTTTTCCGCCAGGGATATTTTTGCTGTTGTGTTTGATGGTATCGCTGGCCTTGTTACTGTTGGGGTATTCGTAAGAACATGTCTAGTTGTTGTGATTGATTTTATTGTTGTAGTAGTTGCTGTTGTGGTCGATTTACTTGTCACAGCTGATTCTGTTGATTTTGCCAGTTTTGCTGTTGCACCGGTCGTCTGTATTGTTGTTGAATCAGGCGATTCCCCTTTTATAGGGTCAATTTGTGACATCCTCTCCGATATATTCTAATAGTAAAGAAAGGTTGCATGTGGCTTCAGGAATGGGGGTTTAATTGCTTGTGTTCCAAATCGCAATGAAATCTGGCATCCCAGAGCGTCAAAAGAGATATTAAAATATGTGGATTCGTGTTATCTGTGGTTGAAGGGAGTTTTGGGATCACATTTCCCAAAGAAATTTGCTAATGAGATGAATCGATTGAAATGACAAGTTAATCCCAAAATATTGGGGGCAATGAAAAAGGTGTTCAAACCAAATAGTTTGAAATCAAGTAAATTGTGTAAGCACGAATTTTGACGATTTGCAGTGACCCCGAACCCACATGTCTGCACCACTGCCCCATTACCTTTGTTTAGATTAGCTACGCACCTTATTATTGGACACGAAGTGGACATAACGATCGTTTCAAAATTTTGTTGTTATTGTTATTGTTATTTGTCTCCGTCTGCATTTTAAAAAAATCGCTTTTCTCTTCGAATACTGGACCAATTGCTTTGAAATTTTTAGTGGTTAAAGATAAAATTACGATCAAATATATGGAAATATATGCTACGATCAAATATATGGACACCAAGACCAAACCAATGTAGTATCAAATCTATTACAGTGTCGGTAGTCTGACCAACAGATCACGGAGATGTGATCACGGAACCAAGATACGCAATTTTCAATTTTAATGACGTCATCACATAAATCCCACGGATATATTTAAAATGATTAAAAGTATAAATCTTCTAGTGAAAACAAAAAGCTTTAAACTACTCAAAATTCCAAAGCATTTGGTCCAGTTGTTTGAAAATATTTTTTTTTCTCAACTACATATTAACGGAAAGAAACATGTGTACAATTTGTGTCCAAATAAGTAGTTTTGGCAAAAACAAAAATCAGAAAGAGTCGGGGGCAAAAACGAAGTAGTACGGATATGCAATATGTCACAGTAGACTACCGGTGCCGCCGTCTTCACGGCTTTGCTTGACCACCAAATCGCGAACGCGGAACCGCCACAAGGTGCAAAATTAATCGTACACAGAATAAACGAATCCCATAGATCCCACAGAAAAAAAATTTTAACCACTGACAATTTCAAAGCAATAGGTACAGAGGCGATTTTTTTATAACCACAGGAAAAACAAGAGAGCTATGCTCAAATATATGGACACGTAGAGCCACATAATTTTGATGATGTCATAGCGAAAAAAAAGTAATATGAATTTTTTATAATATTTTGTAAGTTGTGGTCATTGATGTATATAGATGATTAGATAGTCGACACTCACTGCTCAAAATTAGGAATAATTCTTTAAATATCACTAGTCGTAGTTTTATGTTATTCACTTTGAGTAAACTAAGATTAAACCTGTGTAGCAACAGTAGTATCAAGCATGCTGGATGAATTCCTTGTTGATATTCCGTTGTCGTCGTCTTTCATAGAGAAGTTATCTTCAAAAATGACGCTGGTTCTATCAGACAATTTTGCTACATCTTCAGCATCTTCGGCAAACGGATGCGTTGTCGTCAGCACTGCACTGTAAGTTTCAGGAACGTCGTTTTCCGATGTTTTGTTTTCATTGAATGGCTGAAAAACGGGGGAATTTTAAAGTTAATTGCCTTAAGTCGTAAATGAACATTCCTCCCATTCATATTGTGCGAAACTTTGATGAAATATTAAATTAGAAATATAAATGAAAAAGGCATACATTTGTGTAATGTATCAATGTCGAAGCGCAAAATATAGCTTAGTTACGCATCTGATTAAAAATACAAGAGAGCAATGCTCAAATATATGGACACGTTAATCTGAGCGAAGCAGTCCTTACCTTTGACGCTACCGGTACCTACGGCGCTGTTCGCCATTCCGCATTAGCAAGAATTTCGTTACACACCACCGACCTTCGACGAGCACGCGATCAAAAAAACAACAGGAATAGTGCCAGTATAAAAACAAATCCATTATGTGTCAAAAAAAAAAAACGAGTCTCACAGTGCTATCAGGAATGTTTGAAATAAATGAAAGTAATAGCCTTCTAAAAAAAGGGGCTCCCGAAGTATGCGAACCAAGATGGCGGACATCGGAATGTAATATGTGTACTAGGTTAGGGTTAGGCCATAATTTTAGGTATAAATACTACGGGAGGCTCTTGGCTAGTCTTCGAACTGATAATAAGACTAAAATAAGGAAAATTGGAAAAAAATTATCGCCTCACCCTAACCTGTTACCCATGTTACGTTCCGATGTCCGCCATCTTGGTTCGCATACTTCGGGAGCACCAAAACAAATTTGGTACTCCTGAAGTATGCGCACCAAGATATCGGACAACCTGAACCCTAACCTTGTACACAACCTGAGTTCAGGTTGTGCGCCATCTTGGTGCGCATACTTCAGGAGGTCCGAAAATTTTTATCTTAAACCACTGAAAATTTCGGAGCAATTGGTCCAGTCTTCAAAGAGAAAAGCGACTTCTTAGGTTTTCCACTAGGTGTCCAAAAAGTGTCAGAGAACAACAACAACATAATATTGAAACGATCGTTATGTCCACTAACGTGTCCAACAAATCTTCGCAAACTTCCCCTATATCTTTCCGACCTATATGGTCGTATTTTAGAAAGATTTAGTGCAATTCAAACCTTATTCGTTACAAAAACTCTTTGTGACTCATTTTGAAACGGAGGTATATTTTCTATCATTCCAGTCGTCGTTTCTAATGGTGTCGAGATCGTACTGTTGTCGTCAATGTCGATAATAGAGGCCACAGACGTTTCGTTCTTTTCAGTGCTATTTGAAGTTCCATTTCCCGCAAATTTCTGAAATAGAATTTGCTAATGCGTATTTTCAAAACAAAACATTGCGATTTCAATGTATTATGGGAAGAGTTGAAAACAAGTATATATGGATGTGGCAGTTTGAAAATAATTTGTTTGGTTTCGTCTAAGTCAAATTAGCATTAATCATTCATAGCACATATATACAGTATGTGTATGAAATATTGCTAATCACACAAAACATCAAGACTTAACTTACATGGTATATCTATAAAATATTTTGTAAAGATTACCTCTTTCAAATCTTTATTTGAATCCGTGGAACCTACATACAATAATTTGATTAATATTATTAATATCAACAAAATCTTCTATTTTGAGATATAAATAACAGTAAAGGCAAACCGCAAATATTCTTTTTCCTGAACAATGGAATAATTGAAATTTGAACGCTTGACAATGCCTAACAATAAGTTGAAAAAACAATACTAAAAAATTCACGCACATCGTGGTTTTATTGAATGTATTACATTTCTGTTTTTATGCAAATCTAACTAAATAAACAATAAAACCATTTCTGGGAAATGACTGTTTTAAACATTAGGCCTTCGTTTAGTTTAATATCAAAATGCTTCAGAACTTTTCTTTGTTTTAATATACTTGATAGTAAAATCTTTTATACCACTTTTTGAGAAGTGAAGAACCAAAACTACGATGGCGATAATTGCAAGAAGGCAGCCGACAATGCCCCCGACGATTTCTGTAAAATATGAAATAACATGTTTAGAAAATAGAATCCATTTTTTATATGCATATCACATATGATATAGGTAATCGCAACTATCTCAATGGTTCTCTAACTAAGCGGTAAAATGCAATCTCAGGATCGGCGGTGTGGCGCACCGTGCTAATCGTTAGACATACACTATCCACCGTACACCCTGTGTAGGTTCGCAGGATCGAATCTCTTGGGAGATAATTATGTGCGTGAGAATTGCTGATCTTTTCGCCGCCGTAGAGTGGTTCACGTAACCGCTGGTCGGTTACCGTTTCCTACACCAACAAGTCCATGCATCTGAAACAGATAATTGGCTGACTAACCGTAATCCCGACATGAACTGGTAACCGAACGAGAGGTCTTGGTACGTCATATGATTGATCCGTCTAATCGGCTTTCCTCTACCCCAGAAAAAATATGTAAAAATAGACAACCTTATCAATTTAAGTCCGAAAAAGATCTCTTTCAGGGACAGCTTTGGGCTTTACCCGATGATTATAAAATGCTGTTTTTTACAATTATTTAAAGGACAATATTTGGTATTTATGCTTATAAATATATATCATTAGGGCTGGTCATTTCGAATCTAATAGTAAATTATTCGAATCGATTTAAAGTAAAATTTCGAATTATCATATTTTTTTTTGACCGACAAAGGTCGAGATGAATTCCTCATTTTTATTTCACTGAAGCCAAATTTTTTAAAGTGCAATTTCGACATATAATTTATTTTTTCTTAGTGAGTTATTGATGAAACATGTTTCTTTTTGTGTGCGAAAACTCATGTTTTCGGTACTGGCGGGCCATGTGAGTGTGTCGTAAAAAGTAACATTCCAAGAACAATATTTACAGTGTTACAAAGCAAAGGTGGAAATCAATATGCCTCGTGCCAAAACTGAATTTATCCGCAATATCAACAAATTCCTTTAGCTACAACATCAAAATTCGATTTCGGATTGGTTGTGGCAGCATCAGGCGGCCCAGATTGAATTACCCAACGGGCCGGATTTGGCCCGCGGATCGTACTTTGCCCATGTCTGTTCTAGCCAGATGCTGATAATTGAATGTGAAAAGAACTAGATAATGACTGTTTGGGTTTAAAATTTGAATCTAATAACCGTCTGCATGACTACTATACGTTTGAGATCGTGTAAAATATTAGATACAGAAATGGTAATATAATGTTGTAACAAGTTTAACGCAAAATACTATGCCATTTTACTATTAGCCTACGCCCTACGGCAAGAGATGTTTCGGCAGAAAGAAATAAGCTAGAAATAAGTTTCCGCAAAAAGAAATGAGCTAGTAGAAACGCCCACTTACTTGCTATTCGTTTGCGGCGAGGTTGCAAAGAATCTCCTGACACTTTTTCAGCATCTAGATTGCCCTCGTCAGCCATCTTTTCGTAGTATAAAAATAATTTCCAACCGTATATAACAGTTGTTCTGCTGATACAGAATTTGCCGTCGTGTAATGGAATAACTCAAATAAAGTGAGACATTAGAAATATACATGAGAATAAAGTGCCCATGTTCATAAATTGTTATAACCAGAAATAGGATTCAAAATTTGAAAAAAGTTTTCTCTTTTTCCTCTTTCAAAACTTTCTCACTCACAACAAGTTCCCTTCCCTCATTTCTGAAACCATGTTGAACTCGTAGCTATTCAACTGTACATAATATTTACTAATGTATATCACTTTGGTAAGCTATATTAACGTCACATGCTTTAAATGAATTTAAGACATAACTTTCGAAATGTCAATGATAATCCTGTCGTGTTCTGCACCAAACAACAAGAACGGGATGCTGATTGTTACTTCATTTCGAGAACGTGTTCCCGCGAAACTCCCGACACTTCTCTAAAATACGGGAATCTTAACTATACATGGACCTAATTTTTTTTAAATTCAGGATTGCATTTTATTTATATATGTAATTATACAGAGTCGGCGAAAAATGGGGTTACAGTAAACGTAGACAAATAATATATACAGTAACTATTAACTGTCAACTTTAGGCCAACATAAATACATTGTTCTGAATCGCGCCTTGGGAACTTATCATTTTCAAATGTCCATTGAATAAATTTTGATCATGGGAATCAAATGATTCCTTCCTAAATGATATCAAAACTACTTTTTACTAATTTCTCTGACTTAAAATGAACTCGGTGTAGCGCTCGCCTACGTTTCAGTATACTAACGTGCACCGCACAAGGGCAAACTGAAGTTAGCCGCAAAGTTTCGATACGATTTTCCGGTTTTCAAGTTCGAATTACATTTTTATAGGCTGGGAGTGTTCTACGAATAATAATTACAGGAAATATCTCAAAACCACAAACCGGTGTCCAATAAAATAAAGGGTATTTTCGTTCGTTTGTTCCATGGATAAATGGTGACATATTTTCACATTTAAAACAGCCGGTAGATTTGAAATATCAATGAGGCAATATCAATGAGCGGAATTATGGGATTAAATTTCGAAATTGCAAATGAGTTTTCCTTAGTATAGTATAGACTCATAGTTGGTATACCACCCCAATGCAATATAACAAGTATTGTTTGGTAATAGCGGAGATTTTTTCGTCATTTAATCTTTAATGCAGCTGTTCTTGCGATTATACTCAAATATGTAATATGAGATATTGCTTTCATAATTGTTTGACGTAGAATGAAGGGCTTCCGATGCAAAACTTTTTGGAAAATACCCCAATACAATGGCGCGCAAATTTTCCATACTTCTTATCTCACAGATATTACTCCTACACAAGCATGAGGACTTGCGCCTTAGACGTCAGCGGTGATCATTTTGTCGCAAAACAATACGTTCAGTCAGACGACGGCAAAAGTTGAATGCGATCATTGGTGACGATTCTGCGAATAATACTAACGACTCACAGTTTCGTACGTTCATCGTATTCATGTTATTTTCGATAGAGAAAACTAGTAGTCGCTAGATTTGCCACCATGAAAAATAACCCATAAAGCACTTACAACGCATATGAGATTACATGTCTTATAATGTCTAATGCACTTCAAAAGCGTTCCGAATTTGTGAATGCAAAGTTACTCGAAAAGAACATTATTTTTCAGGGGTACCTTCCATGAAACGAGTCACTACCATTTTATCACCCTTCCACCATTGATGATTCAAGATTTCATAAAATTGATATATAAGTGTATGCAATCAAATTACCGCAACCTAAGGGCGAACATGCTTCAAATTTACAGCGCTACATAATGTGTCATAAATATATTTATTATAAGAATCTACATTATGACGAGAAGTCAATCAACTTTTGGTTTCAATTATCAGTTCCGGGCGAATTTCAAGTAAAGATAATCTAGTTATACGATCCTTTTTATCTGTATTTCAAGGATTAGTTTCCATCTTCCTTCTAGTAAAATCTATCTCAACGGAGATAGTGAAAACAGGCAGTGCGGCAGAAAATTGCAACTCTCTCACATTTGACCAGGTATATTGGCATGAGCAGAATTCAAGGAGTCGTGGCAACTCTATCATATTTTGATTATATTCCGTGATCTAGCAAAAACTCGACCACCAAGATGCCCAGGGATTGAGTGCTCTCTGACGCCAGAGAGAAGCTAATCGCATTGAACGTTCAGACCTCAATACTGACCCGGTTAAATAAATTTATTGCTAATTTTTGTTTACAAGTATCATCTTAAACGTCTATAAACGTTTGTACGCATAAGAGCTGTTTTCATAAAATATCATGCAAATTAATCATATGTGGCCTGTAGCTTCATTATCTGTGACCCGCGTCGCATTTGGAGATGAAAAATCGGATTTGGGTGTTGTTTCGTTATGAAATTAACCATAAAATTTTTTTGACATATTGTTACATCCCTAATGTCTCTGAATTGGCTATAGCTGAGGAAACTAGCAAAGTTGAATGATGTGCTTGGCAGTCTAAATTGTTATCTGGCTTTCTATCTTTTTGGTTGAGAATATAGCCTATATATGCTAACAATTTTGGCATCATAGAAAAAATCGAATGCGGAATCTATTAGCCCAGGTTGGCTATGCCTGATAACTAAATATTAATGTTATGGCCTAACAATATATTTCATACCGGGTGTTTTTTGCAACCAGGCTAAACAGTATTGCAAAAAATTTGTGCCTATATAACAGAAAATTTAGTAATAATATAGGGCAACAAAGATTCGACCCTATCTGCGTGTCCACACTCCCGTGTTATTGAACACACGTTAACAGAGTGTAACTCCGATCTTGACTCCTTCAGAGGTCAAAAAGCACACAATGTTTTGAATGCCAATTGTTATATTGTAAAGTTGCACAATCGAATTGATCCAAATAACGAATTACACTTGAAACCTTAAAGCAAGTATATGTGATGAAACCAAATTTCTAACTAACAAAGAACGGCCAAGACAAGCTACACTGAGTGAGAGAAATATATCATAAAGGAAATGAATTGGGACAACGACCTTGTTTCAGGCAAATAACATGCACTACTAACAATAAGTGGTGAAAATATTAAAATACACAGTAACTATCCTTATGTACTTGCTACACAATTCCCCCCGACAATGAAAAAAATTAGTTTGCTAATTTTTAAATTTTGTAAGACTAGCTAATAACGATTTCTGATTGAATAATATGTCGTAAAATTTGCCATGTATTGGTGTATTTAATTCTGCATCAAAGTCGCTGATGACCAACTAATGCAACGACACAGGAAAACCAATTTGATTGAGATACCTCCGGTTGAAGGATCTTTTGCGGTGAAATCTACAGATTTTCACGAAATCTTCGATAACACCCAGAACTAAGCCATTGCGTTTGGACAATCGACTTCTTTCTGTTTTGTAAAATAATGAGCGTAATAGTTGATTTGAAGAATATTGTTGACGTTAAGATTTCGTTCGTTGAAAACATTCCTCTAAGCTTTGAAAACCTGTCCAACTCTCGGATTTTTCAATCTGGGAAGATTGTCCGATGAATTGAAATGCAACAAGAGTGTGGTAGCGTTGAATTTCGGAAAGTTGCGAGCTCTACAAGCTTTCGTATCATCAGCGTTCCAGACAAATGTAAACGCACCTTTCCGGCAAAACCCGGAATTGGGTGAGCATTGGCTTAAATCAGCTAGGGGAGATTGAAGTTTTCGTGTTATGTGATTGAAGTAGAGAGGACCCTTTAACGCGGGCCACGAGTATTCGGTTTCGACTTGGTTTCTAAAGATGCTGCAATAGATGATGATCGACTTGAGAGAAATAAAGTAGATGTTTTGTTCGTACGTTCGTCAAACAATAGGTCGCTAAACTCTGCTTCTTGGTGTAAAAAAAAATCGGCTTGCCTATAATATCAATGTTTTTTTTTTCTACGTAGCTTGCTTTGTCGATAAACACATTTGAAAATCCAGTAATAATACGAAGTTGTCCTGGTAACTTTAAATTGTAATGAGGCGGATTGATCTGCTGAAGTCCATATCTCTTGATCCGGTTGACACACAAAACATATAGTTGTAATATATAGGTTGATAATGAGACACAAATTCAAAGAATTTGGGCGTTGATGCTTGGAAAATAAAAATACACGAGCGTGAACTCGGGCGTTAAACTTGAAGAGTTGAAGTTGAGTTAGTGCTGTCTGATCGTAGGAGGTCCTGGTCCAGATTCCTCGTTTTGAGTCAAAAATCTACCTTGTTCTGGCCTTCTTGACTGCTTAATAAATTGACATACCGCCAAAGACTGCAGTTTGGTTGGTTGCTTGATTCCTGAAATGCTGACGTATTGTCCATTGACTCGGTTAGTGATGAATTTCTTTTCCATTTTGATTGACGAAATTCCAGTTGCTGAATTGAAGCTGATTGCTTATTGATCACGAACGGGTATCACCAAAATATAGGGCAACAAAGATTCGACCCTATCTGCGTGTCCACACTCCCGTGTTATTGAACACACGTTAACAGAGTGTAACTCCGATCTTGACTCCTTCAGAGGTCAAAAAGCACACAATGTATTGAATGCCAATTGTTATATTGTAAAGTTGCACAATCGAATTGATCCAAATAACGAATTACACTTGACACCTTAAAGCAAGTATATGTGATGAAACCAAATTTCTAACTAACAAAGAACGGCCAAGACAAGCTACACTGAGTGAGAGAAATATATCATAAAGGAAATGAATTGGGACAACGACCTTGTTTCAGGCAAATAACATGCACTACTAACAATAAGTGGTGAAAATATTAAAATACACAGTAACTATTCTTATGTACTTGCTACAATACCCTCTTGTACCTCACATTTTGTAATCAATCAATCTGTAATTATCTTGTGAACATGAGTTTGAAAAATAAGCTGACAAATTCAATCAGATTTTTAACTGGATGTGAGAAAGTTTTATCGATACTAGGAAGGTCTTTTCCCTTAATAAAAAGTTTAAAATCCTAATATCATAAAATTTGGATATGAAAAAGACCTTTGTAGGTTTTAGTAAGTTTATTTGTTGCATGTTTTAGCTTAGTGTTTGTTTTGTATTGTACTGTTTGCCTATTCTTACCATTATTGTGACCCTCGAAAAATGAAAAAATAATCTCCTGGCCTCTGGAGTCGACAACATTGGACTACCCTGGCTTAGGGCCCCTATAACTGCAAAAGGCAATTGTATTGGAAAATAAATGGCAAATCTTTTCAATTTGGAAATGAACTCTTTTAGCATTAATAAGCACAGGGGAAATGAACTGGAAAATATTGATGAACTCGAGGCAATTAAGTGGCCCAAAGAAAATTATCAAATACCTTCTCCACAGAATATAAGAAGCTTAGTCACGTATAATGATGCTCTATAATACGCCTATACCGTGTTGGGCGGTGACACTTCGCGCTCTTAATTTCCTCAAACTTATAACCTGCTAGGTTCCCGGATATTAGCAACTTCACAACTTTGGTTTTGATTGAAGTCTATTGCAGTCAATGAAATACTCATTCTACATGCACAAAGTACGACATAGACAAGAATTCTATATAACGAGAAACAACGAAATGGTGTAGTGATAGAAACGGTATATGATGAGGTGACGTGGTTATTGTAGAGCGATGCTGAAGTTTACTACCAACACAACAGGCAGGTTAACAAAATATATAATTCTAAAGACTAAACGGAGCCGGAGTAGTAGTCGCTGTAGTAGGCGCTGTAGTAGGCGCTGTTGTTGTCTGTGGAGTCGTAGTCGCTGACGTCGCCACTGTAATTTGCAGTTGTCGTCAAATTATTTGTTGCAGATGATTCTGAAGTTTTTGCTAGATTTTCTGTTGCGCTGGTCGTCTGTGTCTGTGTTATTTTTGAATCAGGTGAGTCTACTGTTATTGTTTCAACCTGTAATATCAGAGTTTCAATTACTTGTCTTCCAAACTGAAATAAAATGAAGCTTTCTTTGGAATTTCAGAGTAACCAAAAATGGAAATAAAAAGAAATAGATTGATACAATTACGAGGAAGGAAGTTTTGGAACACTTCAAGTTAATTGTTTTATTTAGACCCTAATCTATTAGAATTCGCAAATGCTTAGCTTTTTCCACAAAACAGCCAAAAACAAACAAAACAAACAAAAATTTATCAGCGAAAGCAAAAGCAGTCGTTCACTAATATCAATATATGTTATTTCGGCAAAGACTTTCAGAAAGAGTGTGAATAAATTTGAAGTTGTATTACTGTTATACTCAGTGCTGTTCAATGATGTATATTGTATATAGTAGACACTCAATGCTAAAAAATTATGGGCGTTCTCGAAGTATGTGAAACAAAATGGCGAATACCGGAACGGAGTATGTAAGGATGCCAAATATGAGACTTTACGAGTATTCGATTCTTATCCGATTCCTAAATTATCGATTCCGATTCTCGATTCCGAATCTCAATTCCTCGACATATCTTACCGAAAAAACATACCCACCTAAGCAATACCTTAAGAAAACAAGAGCACTAGATTCAAATTCTGGACGGACAAGAAGGCCGAAACTAAGTATGGGTATTCAATCTGTCACAGGAGACAGAATCGCACAAAAAAACGAATCCCTCAGAACCCACAGAGATTTTAAAATAAATAAACGTTAAAGCCCTCCAGTAATATATTGTATATATATAGTGAAGTTTGCGTTGTCGTAGCAACTCAACATAGCAGTGAAGCAGTTTATACATATATGTGAAGAAATTGCCATAAAACGATACACATTGTTTGCAATCCAAGGTTTAAACTTGGGAATCGATTCCAGTGCATCGGAATCGATTCTAGTCGATTACGCGAAGAATAGATTTTGTAATCGAATCCGGACTCAATTTCGCCATCCCTAAGTATGTGTACCACGTTAGGTAGGGATTTGTTCAAAAAGAATTGTTTTAAAACAATTGTTTTAAATCAAGTTTTTTTGCCTGTTTTGTTCAAAATGGCTGTACTATTTGATTTTTTGTATTACATAGGTTGAAGAAAAATGGACGTAACAACTTGCCAAGCGCCTCTTATATGCCATAAATCTTTCAAAACGTCACAAATATCGATAGAGGTTCATGCACACCTTCTCAAGCTGTAGTTCAGTGGTTGGCGCAGTAAGACGCAAACGATAAGCCATTACGTGAACGACCTTGCTGCGATGAAACCACCTTGCGCAAACTGAAATGCGATCGAATAAATGAGTTTGTATGACCTTGAACAACTCACTTCAACCCGAAAAAACAAAGTATGCTAAGCAGAAATTATCCAAACAGTGTTAACCGTAACAATGACTTCATTTTATGAGAAAAATGTCAATACATGACCTCGAAATCCATATTATGGCGTCTTTGCATCAGAGGACTCTTACAATTAACATAGGCTAGGTTAGGGTGTCTCATCGTTCATATCAGTAGATTGCCGCCGATATAAGCATATTCTTCATTATCGCAACTCACTTTGCCTAAGTGCTGCACTTGATCGAATTGCTTTTGTAGTAGGCTCGTGAGCTAATTTTCATGATTTTTCTCACTCAAAACGTCTCTCTGATATATCGGCGAAACATTCCGGGTAAAATCTTATGACTTTGGTGAAGATATAAAGTGGCGATAAATGTACGCAATAGTGGTGGAAGTCAAAATAAAAAATTTTACCTATATTTTTGAAATTATAATTCCGGCTGCGTGTTCAGCTGTCAGAATGCAACGTTTTGGCGTAGTTTCGCGGCGATGTAAGGGGTATTTCAATGAAAAAAAAAAAAATAAGGAAAAAATTTGATTTAAAACAAGCCCTTGTTTTTTTAGACAAAATCCTAACGTTAGGGTCAGACCATAATCTTATCTCAATTTCCTATATTTTAGTTTTATTACGATTTCGAGGACTAGCCAAAAGACTCCCGTAGTATTTGTACTTGAAATTATGTCCTAGCCCTAACCTGGTACAAGTGCTACGTTCTCGTGTCTCCCGTCTTGATTTACATACTGCGTGGGTACCAAATTATAATTTTTTTTTATTAGGTTGGAAACCACTGCCGTAAATAAAAATCATTTTATCGTGTGAATATGTGATGAAATATTGAGTTAGAAATTGTAACTGAAAGAGCTTACTTTTGGAATATTGTCAAATCGCTGTGCTACGCACCTTAGCTCAAATAGAAGTCTCCCTATTCCTTCCCTACCTATTTTTAGTCGCATTTATGTAATCAATATTCATTAAAATCCATACCTTGTGGGTTGCCAATGGTGGCTGCGACGCGTTTTCAAACGAATTGCTATTTTCAATCTTTCTAGTAGTCGTTTCTACTGTAGTCATGATTGTGCTATTGTCGTCTTCTACGCCAATGATAGTTGTCGTTTCGTTTTTAACTGTGTTTCTTTCATTGCTATTTGAAGTTCCATTTCTTGCGAATTCCTGAAATAGAATTTGCAAAGAATAAGCTTCTCTCACAATGGAATAATTCAATTCAAGTGATTTTGGAAAAGAAATTCGGGAAGAGCCAGGATAAAATTGGAGTTGTATCATAGTTCACAAAGTTGCTGTAATACAAAAGCAATAATGACTACCTGAATTACCAGTTTTGGCGTTGTAGTAGTTTTTGCAATTTCATTTTGGTTTTTCTCATTCGTGATAGAAGACTTCATTTCTGCAGACTGCTCGCTGGTATCAGAAGAGTGTGTTATTGCTGTCGCAGATGTAGTTATTAGCCTGATTGATATTTCTAGATTTGAATCTGACGTAGGAGGGGTGACCACAGTCGTATTTCCATTTATCGACGACGCTGTTGTTGAGAGTGATTCGGTTGTAAGCGTTGACCCTTTGGTTATGTTTACCTTAGTTGTTGGCGTGGATTGCGCCCTTGCATCATTAGTCTTTGTTATGTTCGGATTATTGATTGAGTTTTTTGATGTACCAGCTGTTGAATTTCTTTGTGATTTCTCTTCCATGCCATTGAGTATATTATTTGATGTTGTCTTTGATGACGAACTTGTTGTCGCAGAGGTTGATGATGATTCCCTGGGCGATTGTGTTGTAGCTTTCGGTTTTGTTGTCTTTGTGTCGCTGGCAGCATCTGATCCCCAGATTTTTTGTCGAAATAACAATTAAACAAGATGAAATAGTGTGTGGTTAACACTAAAAGCAAATACCATCGATATGGAATCATAGGTAACAGATTTAGGCGTGTGTCGGACATCACAAGTATAATATTTATTATGTCAAGTCAAAATAAAAGATGAAAAATAAAAAATGTTACTTATATTTTTGAAATTATAATTCCGGCTGCGTGTGCAGCTGCCAGAACGCAACGTTTTGGCGTAGTTTTACGGCGACGCAAGGGGTATTTCAATAAAAAATACAAAAAATGGAGAAAAAATTTGATTTAAAACAAGCCCTTGTTTTTTTTTTAGAATTGATTAAAAACAAAACCCTAACGTTAGGGTTAGGCCATAATCCTATTTCAATTTCCCTTATTTTAGTTTTATTACGAGTTCGAGGACTAGCTAAATGACTCCCGTAGTATTTGTACCTGAAATCATGTCCTAGTCCTAACCTGGTATAAGGGCTACGTTCCCGTGTCCCCCGTCTTGATTTACATACTTTGGGGGTACGAAATTATAATTTTTTTTTTAGGTTGGAAACCACTGCCGTAAATAAAAATCATTTTATCGTGTGAATATGTGATGAAATATTGAGTTAGAAATTGTAACTGAAAGAGCTTACTTTTGGAATATTGTCAAATCGCTGTGCTACGCACCTTAGCTCAAATAAAAGTCTCCCTATTCCTTCCCTACCTATTTTTAGTCGCATTTATGTAATTAATATTCATTAAAATACATACCTTGTGGGTTGCCAATGGTGGCTGTGACGCGTTTTCAAACGAATTGCTATTTTCAATCTTTCTAGTAGTCGTTTCTACTGTGGTCAGGATTGTGCTATTGTCGTCTTCTACGCCACTGATAGTTGTCGTTTCGTTTTTAACTGTGTTTCTTTTATTGCTATTTGAAGTTCCATTTCTTGCAAATTCCTGAAATAGAATTTGCAAAGAATAGGCTTCTCTCACAATGGAATAATTCAATTCAAGTGATTTTGGGAAAAAAATTCGGGAAGAGCCAGGATAAAATTGGAGTTGTATCATAGTTCACAAAGTTGCTGTAATACAAAAGCAATTATGACTAACTGAATTACCAGTTTTGGCGTTGTGGTAGTTTTTGCAATTTCATTTTGGTTTTTCCCATTCGTGATAGAAGACTTCATTTCTGCATACTGCTCGCTGGTATCAGAAGAGTGTGTTGTTGCTGTCGCAGATGTAGTTATTAGCCTGATTGATATTTCTAGATTTGAATCTGTCGTAGTAGGTCTGACCACAGTCGTATTTTCATTTATTGACGACGCTGTTGTTGAGAGTGATTCGGTTGTAAGCGTTGACCCTTTGGTTATGTTTACCTTAGTTGATGGCGTGGATTGCGCCTTTGCATCATTAGTCTTTGTTATGTTCGGATTATTGATTGAGTTTTTTGATGTACTAGCTGTTGAATTTCTTTGTGATTTCTCTTCCATGCCATTGAGTATATTATTTGATGTTGTCTTTGATGACGACCTTGTTGTCGCAGAGGTTGATGATGATTCCCTGGGCGATTATGTTGTAGCTTTCGGTTTTGTTATCTTTGTGTCGCTGGCAGCATCTGATTTCCATATTTTCTGACGAAATCACAATTAAACAAGATGAAATAGTGTGTGGTTAACACTAAAAGCAATTACTCTCGATATGGAATCATAGGTAACAGATTTGGGCGTGTGTCGGACATCACAAGTATATATGATATTTATTATGACAATTCGAAACACGCCAGAAGCTCCAAGGCTCGGATAAACATCACTGAGTTCGTACAAAATATTGTAACAAATATTACCAATGATAAAAGTTATGCTACTACCTCTTTGATCCATGACAACGCCTTAGATCCCATTTCACGCTGAGATGTTTGACGATAAGTTACTTATAAATATTTGCATTGGTTACGGAGTATCAAATAATTTAGAAAATAATGTATGATAATTTCATCGGCCAGTGCTTAGTGAATCACCCTGGGAGGGCGAGGAATTTAGTAATCAGCATGCCTTGACTGGCATGCTTATTTAACTCCGAGTACGATGCACCAACTGCCTATCCGAGTTGCTTGTAATTTTGCTTTCTTCTGTGATGTCGTGAGAACGAATGTATTTATGTTTCCCCAAATATTCAAGGTAATACACAGAATGATGCGGATGAAATTTTGGTGTAACACTGTTTTAAGTGTACATTTTCGCATTGTTTACAGTCGATACTAACTACCGGTACTTGAAAATTGCGATTATTCTTTGAATAGGCTATCTCATGCATCTCATTCATGTTATTTCGTTCAAGAAACTAAAACCCAACCTGTGCAGCAACAGTAGTTTCAAGCATGCTCAATGGTTTCTTTGTTAATATTTCGCTGTCTTCTATGGGGGACATTTCATTGAATGTTCTGGCGCCTTTTATGTCAGACAATATTGTTGTAACTTCGGTATCTTTGATTGAAGGATGAGTCGTCGAGGATGTTTTTTTGGGAGCTTTAACCAGGCTGCTGTCCAATGTTTTGTTTTCATTGAATTTCTTAAAAACAAAACTTTTTTGAGATTTTCAGGGTTAACATTTGCTGAGTTATAATAATATGTCATATTTTCATTTGTTTCTCACAACGAGAGAAACCCTTCATGATTCCAATTTATTTATAAAAAAATTGACCGATTACTGTGTAAGAAACGTTCGACCAATTAGGATGTAAGGTGATAACTTGCAATTTTAAATCCTCTAACACCATCATTAATGATAGGATTGGAATATAGGACTTCATACAGTTCAGGGTTAAGTGTTCAGTATGCAATAGACACATTAAACAGAATACCGAATTGATCATTTTTTTTTGTTTTTCATGTGTCATTTTATTTTTCTAATTTCGGCGAATTATTCTCTTTTTTGACTTCAATCTGACTTCCGTGATTTATCAATTTCTTGGCAGGATTTCGGTCATATATATAACTTCCCCTTTTAACCCCACCATAAGACAAAGATGTATCAACCCTAACACAGCATACATCTACAAAATATTGCTTTTCAAACTAAACATCAATGAATGACTAAAATGGTATCTTTATAAAAATATTTTGTGTGAATTACCTCTTTGAAATCTTTATTTGGATCGGCGGAACCTGAATGCAAACGTTTAATTAATAACGAAACGTTTTGTTTTGACATATATATTAAAAGTAATAAAGGCAAGGTACAAAAAAAGTGAGTTTGACAAGGAATTGTTGAAATTTGACAGTTGATAATGCCTAAAAATAAGCTGAATATTTCTATCTTGTAAATTTGTGCAAATCGTGCTTTTATTATTTTATGCAGATTTGACTGAATAGGCGATGGAAATATTTTCTGGAAAATAGCAGTTTTCAACATTAATTCTCGGTATAGTTTAATGCTAAAATGCTTTAAAACAGTTTTTTATTTTTATATACTTGATAAATAAAACTATTATACCACCTTTTGAAAAGAAATAAGCAAAAATTCCAATGACGGTAATGACAAGAAGGCAGATGATAATGGCACCGATGATTTCTGTAAAAATATGAGAAATATCTATTTTCATTCACCATAAATTGGAGAACACTGATTTAGGACATACGGGAATTCACGTTAACCCCCCCCCCCCGCTCCCATTTTCAGCCATTTAATGAAAAAAAACGTGCCTGAAATTTACACTGCAGTACCGACGACAACGTATCCTTTCGTGGAAGATACTGATGTTATAGCAATACATACGGCGCCATTTTCAAGACAACCCAAGTGCAACCTAGGCTTATTGGCAACTGATGCCAATAAACGCTGTTTTTTATGATTATTAGAGCGCAATATTTTGTATTTATATATATCTATCCAATTGTTATTTGATAAACTTAATCGCATACGAAAGGTACCGTTAAAATTAATGCTATACATCGCGTGCCCATATTATTTGCTTCTATAAATTTCTTATATAAATATACTTTCATAAAGTGTAAATTCCCGGGAGCTTACGTAAGAAATCTATACCTACCAGAGTCTATATCCAAGCCGCTAGGCTAAAAGTTTTATTGTTTTCGCGGGCACTTGATAAGAATAGTTTACCAGGCTAATTAAGACCGACACTGATAATTAAATGTGAAAAGAAATGAAACAATGACGTTTGGGCCTAAACTTTGAATCTAACAAACGTCTGTGAGACTACAATACACTCGAGATCATGTAGAATGTTAGAAACAGAATTGGTAATGTCATGTTGTAACAAGTGTAACGCAAAATATTACGCAATTTTAGTATCAGCCTGGCGAGAGCTTTGGGCATCACAAAGAAAATAGGTCAGTTGAAACGTCCACTCACTTGCTATTCGTTCTTGTCCGGGACGCCGACGATCTTCTGACTCTTTCTCGACATCTCCTTTGCCTTCGTCAGTCATCTTTTCGTAGTAGTAAAAATTATATTCAAACGTTTGTGAAACAGTTATTCTGTTGACACAAAATTTACCGTCTTTGAGTGAGATAATCAAACAAAGTGAATATATTACAACAGAATCATCTGGTTCATAAAATTTTTTACCCAATGATAAGATTCAGAATTTCAAGAACGGGTTCCTTTTGAAAAGAAAATCATATTGACTAATAATTCTGTTACTGTACGCCATATTTACATAGCTACATTAACTTGGCTTGCTTCAAATGATTCTCATGCATAACTTTCCAAATGCTAAATATAACCCTGCCGCCCTCCAAACAAAAAATACAATTATTACGCCATTCCAAAAATGCTTAGCATGGGTTCGAATTTTCTTACTCGCTGTCAGTTTTGAGTAATATATATATATTGAATAATTACTGGAAATACCTTGAGGGTATTTTTACGAAAACTTCACTATAAATTACATTGAAAAATGGCGGCAAATTCTAAGATGTGACAGCTATTGGGTAATATATCTATACATATATGGAATTTCAAACTGCGTACGCAGTTTCCTCAGCATAGATGGTAGTTTCCACCATTCCAATATAATCTCATCTTACGTGATTTCAGCATAATCGCAAGAACAGTCGCATCAAACAATGAAAATATTTCTTGTCGCCGATACAAAATACTTTCTATATTGCACTGGGGAGGTATAAAACAAAGATCCGTCTATTCTGATGACAACGCATTTCCTATTTCAAAATTTCATCCCATAATTCTCTTCTACAGCATCATTGGTGTTTTAAATCCATCAATACTCGCCTATCTCAATGGGTGAGATTTACATCGCATTTAAGCGAAAAAAAAATACCTCGCATTTGTTTTATTTACCGACAATTTCAAGTTGTTTTAAAGTATTGCACTTTCATGAGACATTTGTATAGTTATATATTCATCAAATAACAATGAGATTTTTGTATTGAAAAATATGTAAATTTTTTTTTTTTTTTTTTAACAAAAAAAACGGCGTTTCATGGTATTTTGGTAAAGCCGAAAACTGGCCTGGTATGAGTTTCTTTTTCGGATTAAAAATTAGTAAAGATTGCATGGGTCAGAGGTGGGCAACCTCTTTCAGCTCGCGTGCCAAAATTTGCTTAATTCAATGGCAAAACACGTACACGTTTTACACGTACCAACCGAGATAAGCGTTTTGACTTTAAACTAAACAGAGACCTAACATTGAAATTTGCCATTTTCTAGAAAATATTCGTTATTGTTGTTTTAGTTGAATTTACATAAAAAATAAATGCAATACATCATTTTTAAACATTTAATCCTATTTTCAAGCATTAATAAGTGTTTACTTTTCACTTTTTCCTCAGTATGGAAAACTTTTGTGTCAAAACAGCATATTTAATTAATTTTTTGTGTGGAGGCTCCATCGGTTCACATGAGAATTTCAGAAAGGTAAAATATTTTTATGAAGACATAATTTTAGTTAATTATTGATATTCTATGTCATAGATTTGATCGTGTCAGGATTGATACACCTTTGCAGTGATATATATATATAAATATATATATGACTACGTTACCTATTTATAAATCATAGATTCCGGCAAATAAATCATTAAATCGCGAAAGGATAGATTTACGGTAAAAAAAGAGTTTAATTCGCCAAAAATTGAGAAGAAAAACTCGGAAACACAAAGTCTCCAAAATTTCTCAATTCAGAATTTAGATTATCGCTGCTGGAAATTGCCCGATTCAACTACAAAATGAATTAATTGAATGATGAATCGGATTTAGGCGTATATATATGGAAATTTGTCCCACATTCCTAATAGGATATGAGTGACACATGGAAACCGCACGTGCATTCACACATCAGAATAGACGATTCGAAGTATATACTACTCTAATATTACAAGTAATCTGCGGGCGCATAGGGTAAGTTTCTGCTATCAATCCTGTAATAATGACCATTGTCTTGCGTTGGACATACCGAATGAAAATGAATGCAAGAAAAATTATTCGTTTGAAGCTATTCAATATATTTATATCAAAAAAATTAAAATCATCAAATGAATTGAATATTGCTTATCATAGTCAGCAGAGTTTTGGATCTGTTAGGATATTAGGAGCCTATTTTCAACAAAACAAGATAATGCCGACGCAAACTAAAAAACGACCGCACTTGCTACTTTGAGGTATAGGTTTGTCGTACCGAGGATTCGCCTCTATTATCAGAGTAATTATATGAATATTATAAATGGTTTTCCTCACAAAACAATATTTATACATAACTAGAGAGAACAAATTTCAATATTTCACGAATTCTGCTTTTGGAAGACGTAAACAAAAATAAAATTCTAAAGCTAATGTTGCTCGAAAAATTACGTTTCATAAAACTTATTCAAAACAAGTCGCAAAGCGCCTACTGAATTTGATATTGCAAAGATCGATTTTTCTAATAGGTTTGATACATCACCAAGTTTAATTTGCGCAAATTTGGCTATACAACAGGGAGTGCAACCAGTAAAGCTATATTTTTAGTTGGCGCGTTAAGACTTCATTATCAGAACATGAATAAAACAAGATTCAAAATTAGACTTTACATACGACATTGCAAATTTATCTTCACGATGTACCTGTGTTTGAAATCCATTTTAGTTTTTTTGTCTGTGTTCTGCGATCCAATTGCACAGTAACTACCGTCCAAGTTGGCCAAATTTTGTAGTAATTCTAGTTTGCGCGCCAAAACCAGAAAACTGGGGATTTCTAACACGTGACACTTGATTGCGTTTTTCTTCTTCTACAGAACAATACCTGTATTTTTTTTATCAGTGGTTTCGACAAATGGGGATTCCATGCATTATCTCGACTTGCATTTCAATGAGACATTGTATAATATTATATCCAGCTAATAACAATGAGATATGTATTTATTAAAATATATGTAAAATGTTGTCTTTATTTTTAAAAAACAGCAATTAATTTTTTTTTGGCCAAGCCGAAAGTTGGGCTGGCATGAGTTTCTTTGTCGTACTAACATTGGTAAAGATAGCCTACGTCAGGGGTGGGCAACCTTTTTTTTAGTTAAAAATCCAAAATCGGCTTAAATTGATCGCTTAATTCCTCCACGTGCCAACCGAGATTTGTGAGAACAGACTATGCCAGTGTTTCCCAACCCGAGTCCGCGCTCTCAAATGAGTCCGCGAAGCGTTTGAATGTGTCCGCAACAAGCCAGAAATTCACTGCCAGTCGCAAACGTTTTTGCCAAAATTAACTATCAGCTAAGTTACGATTTACGTTAAAATTTACATAAAACATAAAACGCAAGTTTATCCACATAACATTAATCAAGTCAATTATTACTAGTTACTGAGTAGGGCTGGGCCTATATTCGAATATTCAACTATTAGAATAGCAATTCACTATTCGAAAATTTGGTAACAGGTGACGCGAAAGGTCAAAACGATTGGATTTCACAACTCACTTGCGAATTTTCGACGAAAACACAGCACACGCGTGGTGTTTCTCGCGATTTCAAACAACGAGGAATAATTTTTTTTATAGTAGGTGTCAATGGTAGAAACCCAAATTTTCTAAATTAAAAATAAAACGGTGAACCCCATAATTTTTGTTTTATGGTTGTACGCGACCGATTAAAAACGCTTCTTTAGAAATTGCAATTTGCAAAATTTCGGATGATACTGTAGTATACGTACCAGGGCATTTTCCTTTAGGCCCCCACATTGGCACGTACAGTACTGGAGCGCCGTAAGTGTTGTACGAACAGCTCAGATTTATTGAATTTGAATAAACGAAAACGAAAAACGATTCGAAAATACGAATCAAAACAAAATATAATATGGCAAGGCGAGTTACCATGAACCCAATTAAAATAGAAAGACATTTTAAATTCTCGTCGTTGTCATGGATTGAAAATAGTGCGACAGAAAAGGCCATTACACTAAAAAAAGTCGGCTCTTTTAACGGACGCGTAATTGCGGCGAATTTCCGATTTTGAAATTAGTTCTAATTCCGTTGTGTTTGGTTTTATTGCTTCTTCACATGGAGTACGGTTGCAATAAACGCACCTTGAGTCCGCAACGGTTTTCGCCGGTGAGAAATTAGTCCGCGACCAAAACAGGTTGGGAAACGCTGGACTATGACATGTTTCAAAGTGTATGTGAAGTCCATGCATCTGAAAACAACTGTCTAACAAATCACATACTCAACATGGACTGGTAACCGGACGAGAGGTCATGGTTCGCGATAGAATTAAGCCTGAAGTTATATGAATATTTGTTTTTTGCTCTTGAAGTTTTTTTAGGTCGGCTTTTGCATATAATCCCTCTTCGTGTAATAATTGGATGATATATCTGGAACTTGAGTAAGTTACGATTTACGTTAGAATTTACATAAAACATAAAACGCAACGATTTCAAACAACGAGGAATAATTTTTTTTATAGTAGGTGTCAATGGTAGAAACCCAAATTTTCTAAATTAAAAATAAAACGGTGAACCCCATAATTTTTGTTTTATGGTTGTACGCGACCGATTAAAAACGCTTCTTTAGAAATTGCAATTTGCAAAATTTCGGATGATACTGTAGTATACGTACCAGGGCATTTTCCTTTAGGCCCCGACATTGGCACGTACAGTACTGGAGCGCCGTAAGTGTTGTACGAACAGCTCAGATTTATTGAATTCGAATAAACGAAAACGAAAAACGATTTGAAAATACGAATCAAAACGAAATATAATCTGGCAAGGCGAGTTACCATGAACCCAATTAAAATAGAAAGACATTTCAAATTCTCGTCGTTGTCATGGATTGAATATAGTGCGACAGAAAAGGCCATTACACTAAAAAAAGTCGGCTCTTTTAACGGACGCGTAATTGCGGCGAATTTCCGATTTTGAAATTAGTTCTAATTCCGTTGTGTTTGGTTTTATTGCTTCTTCACATGGAGTACGGTTGCAATAAACGCACCTTGAGTCCGCAACGGTTTTCGCCGGTGAGAAATTAGTCCGCGACCAAAAAAGGTTGGGAAACGCTGGACTATGACATGTTTCAAAGTGTATGTGAAATCCATGCATCTGAAAACAACTGTCTAACAAATCACATACTCAACATGGACTGGTAACCTGACGAGAGGTCATGGTTCGCGATAGAATTAAGCCTGAAGTTATATGAATATTTGTTTTTTGCTCTTGAAGTTTATTTAGGTCGGCTTTTGCATATAATCCCTCTCCGTGTAATAATTGGATGATATATCTGGAACTTGAGTAGGCCTACTCATCTAGTTAAATTGATAAATCAAGGCGGTATAGATCTGGGTCAAACAGAGAGTAATTCGGCGAATATTGGAAAGAAAAAGCTGATATATGAAACCACCAAAGTTTTTCATTGTATCTTTACACAATATGCAAACATTTACAGTTTTATAGGCCGCACTTTCTTTAATAGGAAATGAGTGACACTTGCAAACCCGTGTGCATTCACACATCAGAATGGACGACTCGAAGTCTACTACTCTGATATAATATTACAAGTAATTTGCGGACGGGTTGGGAAATTTTTTGTTAGTGGTCAGAGCTATTAATCCTGTATGAATGGCCATTGTCTTGTGTTGGACATATACCCTGTAACAATCAACCTGTAACCGGGAGAGTTCCAAATTTTTTTCATTCAGCAAAAGTATTTAATAAGTATTAAAAATAAAATCACATTCACAGGAATGGAATAAAACGCATCGAGGTTGCATGAAAACTTCACTTTTCATCGACTGAAATTAAATACATGCGAGAAAAATTACTCGTTCGAAGCTATTCAATATATTTATATAAATCTAAAATTTGAAATCAGCCAAAGAATTGAATAGTGTTTATCATAGTATATTCAGCAGAGTTTTAAATTTGTTATGATCCTATTTTAAACACTTATACTTGACTTAGTCGACACAAACTAAAAAAGCTCGAAAGCTACCCTCCACTTGCTAGTCTTTGAGGCATGACGTATTGGGGATTCGCTATTAGTACCAAAGTAATCATATGAATGTTAAAGGGTTTCCGACACAAAACATTATTTATAGATAACCGAGGAGAAGAACTTTCAATATATTTACAAATTCTGCTTTTGGAAGACGTACACAAAAAAGATGACGCACAGCCTGAACATAGTATGTGTACCAGGTTATGCGCCATCTAGGTGCACATACTTCGGTAGCGCCGAAGAAGTCATCAAGCTAATGTTGCTGGGAAGATTACGTTTCATACAACTTATTCACGTCAAGTCGCAACTCGCCTACTGAATTTGATTGGGCAATGCTCAATTTTTTATACATATGACGTTGCAAATTTAGCTTCACGATGTACCTGTGTGCGACTTTCGTTATAGTTCTTTGTCCGTGTTCTGTGATCCAAATGCACAGTAATTACCGTCCAAGTTGGCCAAATTTTGCAGTAAATCTCTCAAAATTTTCCATGTCGTCGCGAGAAATGGTAGCTTTATTAGTGACGAGACATCTTTCGAAATCTCTAAATTCTAATTTGCGCGCCAAAACCAGGAAACTTGGGATTTCTGACAAGGCACACTTGATTGCGTTTTTTTCTTCTACAGAACAATGCCTATACTTTTTATCCGTGGTCTCGACAAAATGGGTGGCACTTTCAAGATCTCTGATTGGCTCGAACAAAGCTGCATTAGCAAGGTTGGCGAGATCACTTCCACTAAACCCTTCTGTGTTTTCACCTGCAAAAATAAAACTTCATTTACATTATTTGCACTGTTATTTTTTACTTGTATTCGGAGTAAAATGTATTTTCATGAACAAAATTTGTGCCAGCTCGAAGGATAAACACGATCGTACAGGTTACCTAAAATCTCCCATTCTGCTTCGGTCAGTTCGCATTCAGTTTTATTGCAATGCAATTCCAAAATTGATCTTCGACAGGATTTGTCCGGGAGAGGAATGTAGATTCGTTTCTGAAATCGCCTGAAATCATATTCAAGTTTAATTCATTTTGACTTGCAAATACATTAATTCATTCATCTTGGTGCGCATACTTCCAGAGGTCCCTTTTTTTCTATTTTTTTTAATTCGCACGCCTGGTAATCACGTCATATTAAAATTTTACTTTTGTGCTATATTACACTTCTATTTTTATTTTGTAATTAGGTAATCAAATACAAATAGGAACTACGAATATGCTGACAAATCGAAATATTATATTATACCCAAATTTTAACCAGAATTATACAGAAATAAAGTTCCAGTCATGAATTTCAGTGAGCTTATATCACTTTATTTTCAAAAAAAGCTTTCTCGTACCTGAGAAAAGCCGGATCTATTTCCCATGGCGAATTAGTAGCGCAAATAATGATTACATCTTCATTCTTTTCCTTGTTAGATCCCGCATGAGTTTGAGCTATATTATCCATTTGCAATAAAAGTTCTGTTTTAATTCTTCGAGTTGCTTCTTGCTCGGTAGAATTTCGACGTCTGCATAAACCATCAATCTCGTCCATGAAAATGACAGCGCTGGAAAGAGTCGAAGGTCGAAGTTTAGCATTATTTCATTGGGGTCGGGGACGTATTTTCAAATTCCTTGAATTCAATGTTGAAATTTCGAATTCTCTGGAGTCAGAATTAATTGCGCACTTTCAGTAATGATAAAATAAGTCAGAACTTTTGACCAATAGTATTAATTTTACTGAGAGATTTTAACAGTCTATTTATTCAAAGCGGGTCTTTTTTACAAACCTTCCGCCACTAATGCAAGGTTTGAAAAAAACACCCGCGCCACGTTTAAAAAAAAAATAGTAATTATCTAGTTGGAGTTAGGAATAATTTGAAAATTTGAATTTTTAGCGCAATCTGCATTACTAATAATCTTCTTATTTTGATTGTAGAGAGGTTGTTTGAGAGATTGGTTTTTTTGCGACTTTTGTACAAAAGACCCATAAGGCTTGTATACGCCAAAGTCTTATAATCAAACTTCGATTTTCTAGGAGTTCGTAGTCGAACTTTTTCACATACCGGATTTAAAACCGAAATGTTTTTCAGCTTGTAGTCGGGTGTCGATTGCAAACAACAAAGTAAAATATGAATGCGCACAAAAGTAATTGGCTTTTTGAGGAAAGCAATAAAACATTAAACAAACATGGAATTTGCTTAATCAGTGGTTTCAATCAATTATGTTTGAGCAACAATATGAGCACCGCAAATAGCATTGAACGTTCGGAGAAATTAAATGGTCTTTTACGTATATCGATATATACAAATATATAATATATTTCAAAAGATAATCATTCCATAATATGTACGCTAGTGCCATCTTACGTTTCTTTTCGGGATCTAGAATGTGCAAACAGATCACGAATTAATTTTTCACTTTCTCCGAACCAACATGACAGCATGTCTGAACTCGACACTGAATAAAATGATGTCTTAATTTGTCCTGCAACAGCCATAGCAAGGCGACTTTTGCCAGTTCCTGGAGGCCCGTAGAGAAGTATTCGACGCCATGGTTTTCTATTACCTGTTGGAAAACATAGATACTGCATAGTTCATGCATAAACTGGCTGGGTTGTCAATTTATACCCTGAAAATTTCAATTCGCATACCCGTAAATAGCTGTGGAAAACGAGTCGGCATCACAATAGCTTCATGTAACGTCCGTTTTGCTTCGACAAGACCAACTACGTCATCAAAAGTAACATTACAATTCCTTATGATTGTGTCTTCGACAGCTCGCATCCTTGTATTTAACTGTCCATCACTGGTATTTGATTGTCTGCTTAACAAAAATAACTGATAGTACTTGAAAAGTACCGCACTCCAATGAATATTGAAGAACAGACACTACTAATACATGGATATATACACTCACTCGTTAGAATATGAGTAACTTTTGTGAGTAGATTCCGAGTCCGTTTGTTGATCGAAATCCATCGAATTCGGAAGATATTTCTGTTTTGAATCTTCATTTTGCCTGAGTGTATAGGATACTAATATAAGTGTGCTCTGCCCAAAATTATTTACATACATGTTTTTTCTTGATCATTGATTCCAAGGGGCTGTTCAATACAACCGCAGTATGTTGTAAATATTTGACTTTTACCCTTTCAAAATCTCGTAAACAAAAACAATGTTTTATACCAACTTTCTTCTGAGTTGTTGTTTAAACAATCGTTCACATGTTGAATAGATTTTTTCAATATTTCTAGAACTGGTGCTCGAGTAGAATCAACATCAATTTCGCCAATATACTGATAAAAAAATCGAGGGTTGAGTAGCATTTGCATGAAATGTGACATTTAGAGTGAAAATTAATAATTGTAGTTGTGTTATTCACTTCGTGGTTGGTCATGGCGATTACGGATCTTTTGTACAAAGCCAACGCTCAAAATGAGAAAATGAGTAATTATTCAGTTAGGGTTGTGAATGCAGACTGCTTTGAAAAATCCTTCTTAACCCTAACTGAATATCACTACAGGCAAGTTGTTATTTTAAAACTAGGCGGGGGTGTTTTTCCTAAAACTTACATTTTTGTTTGTGGCGGGGGCTTTGTACAAAATATCCGCGATTACTAACTGCCGTATTACTCAGTATGTCAATGGATGCACCGAATTTATTAGGTTTCTTTATTTCCGAGTAAGGTGCATTTAATGTTGGGCCGACCAACTTTTAGAGGAATATTGTAGTACGATTACTTAAAAATCGGCGTCAAACATTCATTTCGTTATTTAGGACATCATTGAGTAACGTTACCGACCTTTACACGAGCCAGACACTCATCTGACAGCGATCGAAGAAGAGGGAGATTGATGTTGGATTTAGGAGCTTCCTTTCTAAGTAACTCATACATGGCAAGTGTCTTTTCATAACTTAGCACGAGATTTACTTCGCTTCGACTTCCTGCCATTTTTAAAAGACTGCCTGGAATCTACAAACCAGAAACCACTCTGGAGATACGTTTAGCGTTGCCAAAATTTACCATCTTGTCTAAAATCAGGGGATGACATGTTTCAACATTGAGAATCCATTCTCCATACACAATATTGTAAATACGTAAGAAAAAGGTGGCAAAATATTTTTCGAGGTTTTGACTAAAAAAGACTGTTTTTTACATCTTTAATTAATTTAATGACTTTATCTCCAGTCTGAAAAAATTTCTTGGTGGTAGCATTGAGTAACTATTTTTAAAAGTAGGTGAAGGGTTAATATTTCGTATTTCGCCGGTTTACAGGTCACGACGCTGGGCGCTTGCGCAATCGTGGAGATCGGCATCGCCCGTGTTGCGAGAAATGGCTGGTGGATAGTTTAGTTTGGACGAGGTTTAGGTTGGCTTCGGTGTGCCGATGTTCGTGCATGTTTTTTTGTAGTATTAGGACTGGAGATGGATACTCAACCCACAGGATAATAAATCATTCATCCTTTTTGATTGGGACAGTTCGTACTGTCGTAGGAAATGTTTTTTCTTAATTTTCGTGGCTTCATGACTATCGTCGTCACTTTCTGACTTTATTACATTGCACTCCCCACATTATGTATGAGATTGCATTGGTCATTATCAACGTACGTGTTAAAAGCACAACAGCCCGAGTTCAATACTATCAGACTATGCCTTATTTTGTTTGTTCAATTCTGGCCAAAGACTCATTTCTGCATATAATTCGGTTTTTGTGTGTGTGCTGGTGGGCAGGCACATGATATTTCTCATGTTTTATACTTCTTTAATGGTTTTGCTTGCTCTCCAGATTCTCCATTTTTAATTTGTGTGTATTACGGAGTCTTCAGTACCGCAGAAATTTTTATTTGCAAAATTAATGATCAGCAGATGTATTTATTTATAGTTTAGGCAAGCTTCAAACCAGAAAGTAGGCTAATTCAGTCAACTATAGAATCTATTCTGGCTATGTAATACGTGAAGGACCTATTTGGATGTTTATATTAAAAAATTATAAAAACATTTCCATATTTAGGTCAATCAATACTGCAATAAAATCAATTCTAGTTTAGGTCCTGGTGGGTAGACTATAACTGAGATAATTCAATATTACAAAATCAATTTACAATATATTTGATTTCATCCACTTCAACACAATTCATCATGGACTTCGGAAAATGGAGTACTATTATAAAAAGCTATCATAATCGAGGTAAGAAAAAATGGTAAAATTGAAATTCTTTATAAAGTGTCGAGAATGCAATGAACTAAATTTCAATATCTGTTATTCCAGTTTTACTCATTATATAGAATGTTATTGCTGGATTGGAGCTTTTTCACTTTGAAAACCAGCAAACCTATACTAATGTATCAGTGGCTGCTTGACTAATGCCTTTTCCAGAAGGCAAATTGAAAACCCCTTAGAAATGGGGGCTCATGTAGTTTAGTACCACTGTACCACAACACCTTCTAGTGGGTGTGGTGTAACATTTTTTGCATGTCATTCTTAAACTCAACCTGACTCCGTCATTTAAAAATTAAGTCACTATGACGTCACAGTGGCGATCGTAGTTATACGTTGGCAAGCTATATGACGTGATTGTGATGTTGAACTGACTTCATTTTTGGATGACGTAGTCACGTGGGGGTTAGGAATGACATATGCAAAAATGGTTAAGCCAAGCCTACTAGAAGTACTTGTGGTACTAAACTACAATAGATCCTAGAAATGAAGAATCAAACAGAATATACCAGCTGACACAATGTAGTGTGAAACTGATGAAAAACTGAAATAGTTATAAATATGCTGTTATCTGGCCTAATGACATTCTGATATAGTTCCCACCCACTCAAACAATACATTTGTTTATTATTCTTTATCAAAATGTCTTCAAGATTATTTGAACCTATAGTATTTAGCTTAACAATTTTTCAGATTATATATAATAAGCAAATTGAGTTTAGTATGAAAGACTTGATATTAGGAAATGCTGAAATGAACACTTCTTTGTATGAAGACTAATTTGAGAAATCTTTTCTGTTTTTACAAGAACGCCTGTTTTTTAGCATTAACAAGCACAGAGGAAATGGACTGGGAAAAAATTGATGAACATGAGGCAATAAATTGGTTCAGAGAAAATTATAATATACCTTTTCAACTGTGTGCTATTTATGTAATTGTTATTTTCGGAGGACAATATTATATGGATACAAGAGAAAGGTTTTTATATTATTGATTTTTTCATAACAATTCTCAATTGAGTGTTATAGTAAGCCCATGTAAGTGATTATTATAGGTAACCGGAATACTTAAAGAAAACAAGTCTTGTGGGTAGAAGCACATATCTTAATATGCAGATGCTCTGTTAGCTATATTGTTTTAATTATAGTTGAGCATGTATTCCAACATAGTTTAAACTTTGCTAACTGGATGGGTCAAAAAAAATTTAAACTATGACCTATAATTTTCTGGGACAATTTTTGTCATATAGATATTTATATCAAGAGTTTAGAAAACGAAAACAAATATATATTTTATTAAATCCAGGTTTGATCTTCGCAAGCCATTACTTTGTTGGTCAGCATTACTGGCTGTATTCAGCATCATTGGGTCGATACGTTGTTGGACAATTTTCTGGATGTTATATGAAGAGGGAGGAGTTCGAGGAATAATTTGTAGTAATCAGTTTTATGTGAGGCCAGTAACAAGGTTTTGGGGCTTCGTGTTTTGTCTCAGTAAAGTTCCTGAATTAGGTACGTTTCTATCAAATTAATGGCCAACAGAAAATTTTTTTTCAAGCAATTTGATGCATGTTATTAGGGTGAAGGTTATTGCATTTAAAATCCAGTCCGATAGTTGTGCATTTGCATAATATATGAAATAATAATGAAAAAGATTTTTTTTCAATTGGTCCTGACAAAAATTCAAAATATTATAAATAAAAAATCCATTTGGCGTATTTTATTATTTAAAACGTTTTTTGTGAACACATCATATCTTGGGAAACATGAGAAATATTATGCTTCTTCATATAGCTTAAATTTGAAAGAATTAAGTATTGTCCATATGTACAATGACATACTACTTTTTTTCTTTTCCAGTGGATACTGTTTTCATTGTGTTGCGTAAACAGAAGCTTATTTTTCTTCATTGGTATCACCATATCACAGTATTATTATTCTCATGGCACTGCTACGAGGGACAAAGAGCAGGTACCATTGTTGTAATCTTATTATTGATGACCACCTTTGCTTGGTTTACCAGGCTTTTGTAATACAATATCTGAAACAAGGAGAATAATTTTAAATTGGTGCATCTTTCAATACACATGAAACTTTTCTTCAATGATATAGTTTTTATCTTGATAGCGCTGTCGGTTTTCTTGTCTCCCGGGTTAAATATGTAAATATTGTTTTTTATATAAAAGAATCTTAGCTGTTCTTTTCACTTTTACTCTGTTACAATTACAATTCAGACGTAATGGTTATAGTGTTAGACAATTACCATATGGTGGTTAAAATGTTGGGTTCAAATCCCAAGTTAAACCGGGGAAATTCAGGTTCCTTTGAACTATAGTAGCTTCTATCAAGTAGTGGCCGCGGATTATGTGTTTGGAGCGAAATTGATATATGATATCTCTCAATACATTATTTATCACTATCTTACACCCTCGAAATGGTTCATTTTCATTTTTCAAATCAAGTTATGTTGTGTATAAGTGTGTAACATATTATGTTGGATTTACTTTGTCAATATATTTTGGGAAAGTTTTTCGGTTAATCTGGAACAGTCATTGTGGTTTTTTAATGTGTCTGGCTGGTCTGTTGACTCAATTGCCTATTTATTGAATAGTATACATTTCGCAATATGATCAACACCTACTTATATTATCTGTTGAGATTGCAAAATGTTATTTGTACAATTATCTGATAATGTTTAACTGTAGTCATAGGTCAGAAACAATTCTTATTTAAGTTGGACTCTTGCCTTTTGCCCTTGCCCTAAGTTTTGCTTTGTGTTGTTTAGTTTATTTTTTACTCAAACGCCTTTTCTCATTCTCATATCTATTTCTTCTCAATTTTATATGTTGGATTTAAAATTCAGTTGGCTGTGAACTGGCACTTGTTTACGCGAATATATGTACCCACCAGACAAAAAATATACTACGCCCATTTTTTTCAAGAAAATCAGTTACTTTGAATTCACTAACTCCTAGCTTCCTTATCGTGTTAATGCCAACTGCTTTATGTCTAACGTCAATCTTCATTCACTAGCGTGCAATCCCACACTACAGTACTTTATTGTGCCAGTCATTCAGCATGGCATTATAGTGGTCGACCGTAGCTTGCTCAGGGATCATTCTTTTCAATTTTTGAGTGAGTCCTTGTAACCTTGTTTTGAGGAATATCTTTAGAAAAGATGATCACCGTCTTCAAAATCCAGAATGCTTGGAAGTTGACGATTGATTTCTTTATTCTTTCCTCCTCTATATTAAATAATGAAACATACCTAGACAAACATACCTGCTTATTATTAACAATATGGATAGGTTATTCATTATGGATTTTCTCCACCAAACTTTTTACCTGACAGTGTAGACATTTTGAAGTGATCCAAGTCCATCGATATCACAGTTGTACCACCAATTATTGCATATTCTGTACATATCCATAATATAGGTAAGCATTGCCGCTTTCCTTTAATAAACAATCTACACATGAAAAATTCTTCAATGTGGAGTATTCACAATATATCTTTGAACTGAGGGGCCTCTGACCCCCAGTGAATTGCGGTTGCAGACTTGCAGTACCCATTATTGCCAGATAGCCTTATTTACTCTTCTTTCTTTTCCCTCCACTTATCTGCGTGGAAAAGAATTTTTCGACACCAACTTATGTTGAAACAAAATATTGATCGAATTTAGAACCAGTACTGAGATTCACCAATGCCACCATCACCGAAATGAAGCCAAGATCTTTTGTGCGAGAATATGCAAGCACATCCATCATCCGTCTCATCAAAGTTCTAGATGATCGCAAAAAATTTGGGCGTGCCAAGTGGGTCATGATGAAAAAAGTTTGAAGAACATTGCAATAAATGATAACGTGGAGCAAATTGGCCAAATACAAATGAAACAGTTTTGAATGTATCGGACAAAAAAATTTTGTCATGCAATTCATATTCCACTTCAATAAGTAATGTTTTATTCATCATAGTTTGTGAGCGATGTGTTCCACAAATGCATTATGTCTATGCATATTTAAATTTCCTTTCTCAAGGTAATGGGTTCATCCATAAAATAATAAAAAATTCATGTATATTCTGACCAAAAGTGAGTGTCTGACAATTATTCTCGATTTCGAACTGGATTGATATGTAAAACCTTGTAAATTTTATGAACTTTTTCAAAAGAATCTTGCACTTCCTTTTTGACTCGTGCTAATCATATTGATCCTTGTCAGTAAAAAAGTTTTTATTCAGCAAAGACATGCACCAGTTACCTACCATTATTAAAAAGTTAAATAAGTCTCACGCTGTTGGTCTTGCTTAATGATATTCAGTTGCCAAAAATTTACTGGATTATTTTATTATTATTACTACTCTGTTGTATTCTGAACATTGATTCTGTTGAAATTTGTATGATGTAACTGATGCCGAACCAAATCCTTCAAATTCAATATTTTTTATCACTACCCACAGGAACTAAAATAAGAAAGGAGTAAAATTTAACAATATAGAAGATATTTAAAAAAATAACAAAACTGACAATACCGTTAATGAGACTGATGTGCTTGTATATTCTCGCACGAAAGATCGACGCCTGGCTCTATATTACTGTGATGGTGTGTCTCAGACTCTCTGTACTGGTTCCAAATATTTGAAATCTGATCGATATTTTGTTTCAACATAAGTTGATTTTACTGTGACTCCCACCCGCAGGGGGGTCGGGACTCTCAGTAGCCCCTGGCTTAAACTATAAAAACTACAATACAAGACTCAAACTCAGCTAGCTGCCGGTGAGACTTGCCTCGACGTCCTCGGTTGACTCGAAAGTCGGATGACCCGTAACTCGAGTTGTCTTCGATCTTATTATTTATATTTAAAGACTAGTACCAAACACTAGTTGGATCTGAGTAAAAAGTAATATTGAGAACCAAAATCAGGAAATAATAATTTTTGAATTTCTTTCAGGTGGGGCTGTCTTTATGACGATGAATTTTATTGTACATTCAATGATGTATTCATATTATGCTTGTCGAGCTGCTCGAGTTAGAGTACCAAGATTTATTGCCTTAATTGTCACAACTTTTCAGGTATAGTATGTATTAAAAAAGGGTGATTATAAATATCCAGTTTTATGAAAAAATCTAAATTGAAATAATTCAAAAAATTTTTTTGAATAATTTACTGTGGAGATTTAAGGATGGCAATACTTTACAATAAAGAAAGGCAAAACAGAATTTTAAAATACGAAAATATCAACATCCCCAGAGATTAGAGTTTCCCATCACAGGGAATTTAATTGTTTTGTGCAAGTTTTGCTTTGTATTTGCTGTAGTATTATGAACAGTTTTTACTCATTTAGTATTATTTTAATACATAATATTTACGCACACATTATGAACTACTCAAACTGTAAAAAAGCGTGGATTGCATGTATCGCTAGCTAATGATACAGAAATATTAAACAACAAACAAAGGGTATACTCATACTGAGGGTAACGAGACGTTACAAAATAGACAATGGGGAAATGTAGCAAAAAAGGTTTGAAATTGTCTATAGATTATTAACGGCCAGAAATAGAAATCATAATGAGGTGCATAATTTGAAGTATTGATCCAACGCTCACCTCGGTTTGAAAAAGCAATGAAACAGTAGAAGCACCCAATGATATCTAGTAATAACCTATCTATGGAAGGGCCAGAAATTTTCCAATTCTATACTACTTACCTAGTTTATTTCATGTCAGTTGAGATGGGGTCATCAGGTTTGCCCCTGGGCTTTTTATCCTCCAATGCTGACCTAGTTAAGTCAAACGATTGACCGATATGGCCATGACACTCTCTTATTTTTTTCAGATCTTACAGATGGTTCTTGGTGTATTGACTTTTTACATGTTAATTCAATGGAGAAATGATGATGATTGTCCATCAACTAATCAACATTTATGGTACGGTGGTCTGATGTACAGTTCATACCTTGTGCTCTTCTGTCATTTCTTTTATTTGGCCTATTTGAAGCCTCCATCTCCAAAGACTGATCCTAAAGTGAGTATTTTATTTTGGTGACATGATTTTTCATACAGTACACCTGTTGTATTCAACCGGATCAATTCAGTACGAAATCCGCTTCATGTGCACAAGTTTGAGCTTTATTTTACTTATCCCAATAAGCAACTAATTCATTGAGTTAAAATTTTAGTTTGTGTAGCAGTTTTTGTATACAATGCAGAAATTGGTAAAATTACAAATCAAGAGATACTAGAATACTAAACTGTTTGAAACACAAATCGGGTTAATTAGTTGTTTGACTGATTTTTAGAAAAGAATTACAGAACAGTAGTAATTCACTGTACTATATCTAGTAAAAATTTTAGCGATAAAATTTGCGAATATCCTAAAAATATTTCTCAATATATGGAAATAGTTTTTAAAAAATATTCACCATTTTTTTTAAGCCAATTCTTTTGTTAATTTAATTTTAAATCAGTGCTTTTCCGGTGTATGTTTGAAGGAAAGTTATTTTAATTGTTTCTTATCAGGCCACTAAAACAGAAAAGATTGAGAATCCAGAGACTGAAAAGATCATGGAAGCTGCTGAGTTCCCAAAACGCACTTTAGCGACCGGTGATTCTATCAACTTGAGAAGTCGCAGTAAAAATATCAAGTCTGCGTTCTAAAACTCTCTGCTTCTGTAGTTGATTTATTTTAGAAACTTTGATCGATTTATTTCGCTATGAATAAACATTAGGTAGCTTTTTCCATTTGATTTTGTATGTTTTCAATATATGATAATTTATGTATCTCGGTTTTAATTTTCTCTTCCTTTGATAAGTTCCAGAACCAACACTATGATTTGTATGCATATTGTACTAATGAGAATGAAGCATAAACGGGCTGAAAACAATCCTGTCTTGGTATTTTACATTAAACATAAATGAATGAAAATTCCACAACAATTTTTCTGGTTTATTAAAAATATACAATATTCTACATATCGTAATATTTTCTCTACTGAAATTGTATCAAAGAGATTTAATTGTAATGTTGAGCGTTTGCAGTAAAGAAAATTTCTTACTTTCTCTTGCTATGATAAAGCATAATTCCAACTTCATTCAGCTGTATTCGGAATACTAAATTATTCGGGTTTGGCAGTCCCTGGGTTTTATTTATCAAAATGTCTGAGCACATTAGCTTTTTTAAGGTACTTGTGACATTCAGTCATTTAATTTCGATTGAGGTGTTTCAAACTGATTATAAATTTTCACATACTGTATTCTTCGTAAGTTCATCCGTCCATTTTTTTTTTATATATTTGTGACTAAATTGATCACATTTCTTTTGTAAGTTCCAATACTTTGTACCTGTTGTTTGAAATTTCACCAAGAACAAGAAATTTAATCAAAATGCGAGTTATTATTATCTCATTTTTGATAAAAATAACCTGTTATTTGAAAATCTGAATGGTTCTCTAGTATTCACCGCTATTTATCTTGATAGGTAGTCGATGATGTTTATTCAATTCAAAATGGCTAATCTTTGTTGAACTACATGTATGAGAATATTTCATCAACTGTTAGTTTATTCACCACAATGATATGGTTATAATTTTGATTTGGCACACCGACAGCTATCCTTATAGATACAAACTTTGGTACTTCCTAATTTATCTGATAAGCTAGATACAATGAGCTAATTTTGTTTAAAAAAAAATTTCAAATATTTTAAATGTTTGCCACAGTTGCTATATTACTTGTGCTATATCTCTATTTCCTAATTTAAAAATTCAAGATGCAAATTGTTTTTATTTATTCACTGATTTGATTTCCAAAAGTGAAAAAAAGCTAAATTTAAATGAACTACATTACACTGAGCCTGAGAATTATCTACTATATTGTTATATGTAATTATTTGAAATTGGTGTTTAAAGAAATTACTGTTTTCATATAAGTCATTTATGCGATGAATCAATTGATATCTATAAAAAATTTAAATAGAGTACAATTTGGCATTTATTATGATATTACTATTATGATGCTGGATAGTTTGATTTTGATAATTTAAAACACTTGCGAAACAGAATTCCAAAACGAACAAATTTTTCTGATGTGGATGTCCCAACTAGTAATGTGACATGAACTATGCCAAATTTGTTTTCCCTGTGGTGTATTTACCACGATTTACCTTTTTTGATAATTTCGGTATGCAAATTTTCCTCACCAGTTCCAATCAAATTTACTTCAATCTATTTTAGTCCAGTGTATATTATTCTTTATTTGATTCAAAAAATGAGCTACCTAATCAATTGTACTTTTGTGTTTCTACCGAGATAGAGTCACTGGCAGAATCTGGCAGTAAGGTATTGAATATCTCTGATTCTGTCTCGTTGGAAAACATTTTTGATTTAATTGGCTGTTATTGAACTTCATAATTTTGTATCATATCTATTTTTATTCTTATTACTTTTATTAATACTTGGCAGATTAAAATTCTACTAAAATATGCAGGTACTAAGCTCACTAGCTATTTATACTTCAATTTATGTTGCTCGACTATGCTCCTTCAAGTTTTGTTCATTCGACCAATTTTTTTAAAAATATATTCTGAAATTGGTGCCAGATGGTGCACAGCAGGCATACCCAAAAGGTACTGAATATTCAAATACTGATTTTGGAATCTTTATTTTATGAAAAATATGTTCTGTACAATGGTATTTGCCGTTCAGGCTAAAACAAGATTTTTTTGTTGTTTAGTAACAGATGAAAAACAGTTTATCTTATGACAATGACTCTTTCTTGAACATGCTTCATTTTAGAATGTATGTTCAATTTAATTTTCGAAAATGTTTTTTTCATAGCATATTCGAAGTAGTTAGAGTTATTTGATTTTCGCCATCTGGGTTCCATTGCCTCCCGAATTATCTCATTAATATGGTAAATTTTTTAATAATTTTATGTATCTAAAATAGAAGCAATTTAGGTCCTTATGTAATCTTTTTATTATACATTCTCCGATAAAAGGGAGAATATTTCTGTGCTATTATTCCCGTGGAATTGCGTATTGCTTAGTTTATGAACATAATAAATGATCGCAAAGCTTTTGTATTTGCTTAAAACTAAAATTTTAAAAGTTATTAAGTGAATACCTGAAGGTCATTTATTTCTATTGACTTCATCAGTTTATTTTCATGAAATTGGAAGAGCAATTTCCAGGCAATCAGAAACCGATTTTCATATGAAATATTAAAAACTAATTCTGATTCTGTTGATGTATATTTTAGTTCAATATTCAATATTAGACAACTATTTGAAAATTCTTAAATTAGGTATTAGGGCAATGTATTATGTACTGTAAAAAGTGTTGAATACTTGTTGGTAAAACTTATCATAAGTCTGCTAATTTTAGGATGTTCTGCGCAAAATTGCATTAGAAGCATGTTTGTGTATCAAGTGATTTGAATCTGTATTCAGTTTTAATTATCAGCATTTGTCTCGATTTATTTTCTGGCTAATTATATATAAAAAAAAATGTATGCATATTGGCATATTTTTCCATGGCTGAGAACTGTAGATTTCAGACACTACTGAAACGGTATCGAGTAGTGGTTTAATCAGTAAACTAGTTTCTATACCATTCATAACACTTGTATTAGTGTAAAGATAAAAGGTAACAAACAAAATTCTGCCAACTTATGAAAACGTCAATTGCATGTCTCCTGTTTTAAATTCTTCCCGAAAAAAAAAATAGAACATTTCCGAATTCACACAAAATATTTGATCTTTCGAATTTTTTGTAGGGTTTTACGGAAGGCCTTCTGTTGAACCTCCCGAGTATGGAGGCAAACATTTTTTTGTTGCTACTCGTTTCGTAGCCAAGAATTAATTATGTCAGTGGAAAATATAGTTAAGCGTCACGTTACTTATTACAGTACTTAGAGCACTGATTGTTAATTTTGAGCGATCCTAGTAAGGAAAAGGGTTTGATAGGAAATTTGGCTGGCCCGCCCGGGAACCTTTCCGCAAAACAAGCGCTTGTGGATTTCGCACCGAGAATGTATTATCCATGTAGAACGCGTTTGTCCTGTTTACTTTCTTGTGCCTTACTGTCGATTGACTTGATGACTTAGCTTATCAGGTTTTCACTGCTTTAAACCGCGCAAATGATAAGCGCCTTGTCCCGCGGCATCGATCGTGAAGTGGTCACGCCACTCTCAAATTCTTGGTTCATTGCTCGGCAGTTACCCGATGCCAATCGCGCGATTCCTAATGCATTAACAGTTCACGCGTGTTGCGTTCAAATTTATATATAGTATCATGAGAATATTCATAACTGGATACTTCGTTTCTCGGTTCATAACGAGAAATTATTTTCAAAAACAGCATTTTGTAGTTTAATAAAACGCCAGCGCAGCGAATAATATCCTACGCCCTCATCGCCTTGAAGGCGTTCCCGAAATTTTGTATTATTTGTCGACTAATAAACATGGGGTTTGCGTATGTTTTTGATTCGGGTGGATCCACAGCCCGGCTGAGTGTAAAGTAAATATAGGTTTACGCAAGTTGTTAGCTCTTTTGTAACGTACATAATCCTTCAGACTTATCAGAACGATCGCTTGGCGAAAGCTCCATTTACCAGAAAAGAATGACCGACCAACCTTGAAATTTTGCAAAGTAAAAAAAAATCCTAAACCGAGGGCATGAACGTGTTTTAGTCCCCTGTGTTTGTTCATCATCAAGGTTTTTTGTGTATAATCCGTTATAACTTACATTTTGAAGAGAAACATGTGATATAAAATAAAACAAGTACATCAAAAAATGAATAAATTTCAAAGACGCATGATACCGCATTGCCCAGATTTTCTCTTTCAACACTCTTGTTTCTTACATCGGTGTACCGTATTTCGTTTCAACTGTATCGTATTTTAGTCGTTGTATGTAACAGATAAATGTTCATTTTATGACGTTCCAATGGTATATTTGAACAATTTATTATTTGATTGATTATTGGTCATGTGATGACACCTCAGGTAAAACGTGATTTTTTTTTATAGGAAAACAGTTGCCAGGCAACGTTCCGTCTATTCACGTGAGAATGAGAGCGCACTGCGGTGAATATTTTCGATGCGCTAATGATACCAATCATTTTGTCTGGTCGATATTTTAATTTGAACACTTATTATTGATGATTATAAATTCCAAGCACATATATTTCAATTAACCATATTTATGTAAACAAATAGAAACAAACTTAGCACGTGTCGCAGATATTTCTCACGTAGGGAAAAACGCTTTTTTGCACTCTCTGTCACCAACTGGCGGTTTTCAAGAGATGATACGCGCAACCTTCCATCGATTGTACCAGTGTGAGACAGTAACGAGATTTTTTTTACAGACATACTTTACATAGAGGATATAAATAACACGCTGATCCCAAACAGAACGTAGCGGTATTGAAAAAAATATATATACATGCCGTGTTTACCTGAAAATAAGACTGCGTCTTATTTCAATTTTCTTTCGAAAAATAACACTAGGGCTTATTTTAGGGGGATATATATCTTATATTTTCATTTATCAAAAACTAAATAACAAAGTAGAAAAGTACGAGATTTTCACGTATACAAAATATGAAAACCGATATATATTCATTTACACATAAATAACACATTTTTCATTTAAAATAGCCTGCAAAACATATATTATCAATCATTCAAAACACGTAGGAGAGATTTCTTGCTATCGACTAGGTCAAAAAAAAAATCCGCGTTCTTGACTATGTCTCTAATTTTAAGGGGAGGACTTATATTCAAATCATTGTTAAAATTCAGGCTAGGTCTTATTTCCAGAGAAACACGGTAGATAGCTGAAACTATTGCATGTGATAGCGTTTGCTGCATTGCGCATTCGCACTCATGGTTTAAACGAATGGGTGACATTCTCGAAACCATAGCGCGACACACCTTTCTTTGAGGCGGTAGTATTTTTGCATTGCGCGAATTGCACTTGAACCACGGGAAATTTTCATTGAATGAACGTCAATTATTTCACATGCTTTTGCAATATCATACTAATTGCTGTGGACATCATCACATAAATGTTTGTTACTCAATTTATAATTGCATACGAAAAACTGGTTTCGATGAGGAACAAGTAAGTAATGCTAAAATACGTGGACGCGGAATTCTATCGACCAACCTGGGCCTCAGTTACTGTAGGGTAGACTTTACGAATTAACTGAAAATTTTTATCTGATCATTTAGAACAGGGGTCACCCAAACTTTTTTGACCGCGGGCCAGGTATGACTCAAACCGTAAATATATACTACTAATACGCTCAAACTGTGTTGAAACGGGCCGGACAATTTTTTTATGTACAATAAATTCCCCAAAATTTGGAAATCCATTCAATTTATTCAACAATATATATACATTCTACATTTCTGAAGTCTTGAATGCTAAATTCTATATCGCAGAATATAGATCAAGAACATCATAGCGAAACAAATATACAAGATTTCTAGACAACTATCCTGAGGTTAGCTGTTAGCAAAACAATTGCTGTCATGAATATCCGCATGTAAGCACTACAAAAGTTAACGTGAATCGTACTATTAGTGCAAAATGCACGTTCGACGTTCATTTTAGCACGAGAAACGTACACAGCAACAGTTTCGCCGAAAGCACGCGCCACGAGTGTACGAGTTCTTCGCAAAAAACGTTCGCAAAAACGTCACTTTTTGCATCTTGCTGATTGGCCAATGTTAGGAAATGAACAAGGAAGTCGATGCTCAGGGAAACATCCCTAGGAAAAGAATTCGTGTTATTGCGGGCCAGATGAAAGGACGCCGCGGGCTGTGGTTTGGTGATCCCTGATTTAAAAGATTCAAATCCAAATAACAAATCAAGTTCTTAGCATTATAGCGGCTTCAACCATTTTAAGTGCTGAAAATTTGAGATCGATCGGTTGGGGAAAATTTCTTCACAACAACAAGAATTTATCAATACGACCCATAGGTTCAATTTGTGTACAATAATAAAAAAGCGGAACCACCAGGAAACGAAGAACAAGAAACGACTCCCACTTGGTGAAAACAATATTGTTTACGTCGGCAGTCTTAGGTTCTTTATGTAACTTATATATATATATATATATATGTGTGTAAACTGGATATACCGTTTTCAGGTGTAATTGCATGATGATGTATTTATACAACGACGAACTTTCACTGAATCGTATTTAACAGTTGCAAGTTCCCGAGAGTGCGAAAATTGATTTACATTTAAAATTTATTTGCAATAATAACGTGAAAGATACAATGGATGAGATCATGGTTGGGGCAGAGTAGCAGCATGGGTTGATGATGGATGACGCAAAAAATGTCATATTACGAAATATGATATGACGTTCCAGGGTAATCTCGCCAAAGGAAGAGATTTATGACGTGATTTTTATGACTTGTGGTCATTGCCCCTCAATATTATGTCAGTTAATACTCGTCAATATTTTGTATGTATGTATTGAGTTATATTCGTAAGCAGAAGGGGATTACCTGAAAACTAATTTTTAATATTACCACGCGATGGAATTTGGATTAATACTGCGAATAATTCCGTTCAACACCACATTCTCACAAAACTTCTTTTTTTCAAAATTACATTGTTTTAGCAATTCGTGCACAAAATCTATTCTTGCCCACCCAATTTTCCGCCTTCCTAGAAATATCAGATGCACATCGCAAGATTTGTACAATGCTCCACAAAAGCGCCAAGTTTATGTTTGGAAAGAAATTAAAGAAACATTATCAAGATCAAACACAATGTTAATCCAGATAAAAATTCAGCAAATGCAGATTAAACATAGAGTCACATTCGGATACGGAATGTGTTTGCTCAACTATTGGAAATGACGTTTTTTTTACCCATTCCACATAGTTATCGATGACTAGTGAATAAAGTCGAAATTGTACGATACCCACATTTCCCCATGGATGGATTCTTACTGGTTTTACAAGCGAAAGTTGTGCAGCGCGCTCCTAAAGCATTTACTCGTAGTATTTTTTACAACAAAATTCACACCGCTTATGCCACGGACCCCCGAGTAATGGCTCCTTGACTGGTAGGGGATGATACACGGCACTCCCATAAAATTGAACGTACTCTTCGAAACAGGTCACTGATGTCCCTAGTCCTGATTGTTCCTATGACAAAACTGCATATATATGCTGTGCAGCGCACAACCTAAAGAATTTAGTCTGCGTAGTATTTTTTTTTTATAACAAAATGCATTCCGATAACGCCACGGACGCCTTGGTGTTGCTACTTGATTTGCGCAGAGGATGATTAACGTCGCTTCCCGAAAAACAACGTTCTGTTCGGAAAAGGTCATTGATGTCCCGGTTCCTGTGACAAAACTGCTTATTTAGTTTTTGATCTCAATTATAGTTGAGCGTCTCGTTTTAAATGTTTGCTCCGTGAATTTAGGTCTAAAACAATAATTTTGTCTATAGGATCGCATGACAGAAGAAATTGTCGCGAATGTAGTTTTGTGAAAATATAATTTGAGAAGGCTAAGCAGTCTACTCACATTCCTGCAATAGTACATTTCCGCAAGTATTTTCCTGCAAAACTACGTTTGCGTAATAATCCTGTTCGGAAAAACTATTTTCTCGTGTTTGCGTTCACAAGAATTATTACTGGAGAATGCGGTCCCACAAAAGGGTTTTGCGTAAGTAAAAGGTTTATTCAAGTATTCGACTTTTTCAGCGCCTAAAAAGTCAATTTTCTCCAAAGTTCGAAGGATTAATTGAAATTGCGCGGCATTTCTTTATCAAATTCAACTGAACCAAGACTCCGGAAAATAAGCACTGAAACAATATAGTAGTACAGTGACACAGTTCTGCCTCATATTGAAAACAGACTTCAAAACGCAGGTATTTATTCATAGTGAAAGTATATATAAGTGTATATCTTCTATCTATATATCTTCAGAAAAACTTTCGCTTAGTGTAACCAAGAATAAAATTCAATTCTTTATTGGAATCTATCAATCTGTCATCTTCGGACATTAATCTCGTATTATTCAGCCACGACAAACAAGTCATAAAAAGCGTCAATAAACAGAATTGCCTTCGGAGAAAAATGTATTAAACTGCGGTAACTCCAAGCAGTGGAGTTTGATAAGACAGTAAAGTAATCAGACGATGCCCACATGTGTCGCGAATCTGTGGTTAACAGTCTTTGCGAGTGTAATATTCTAGATTTAGGAACATTACGTTGACAGAGATATTTGGCAATGAAATTAAAGACTGTACTGCATTGTCGGTTTATATGGATACTTTTGTAGTTCGCATTTTTGTCGAAATTTGCATGTTTTTAAAGGAAATAGTTCGTTTAGTCAGTTGTCAAATTCTTTATTTAGCATGTCCATGAATATCATAAGTTTACATGGTTGATCAAGACGGAAAATGTTTTTATATTCGAATTGAGAATTTTGCATAGCTCTAGCATATTGTGTCTGCATGTTAAATAAAATGTACTCAAATTGATTCATCGTTCAAAATGCACAATAAGGCATATTTTTATGAGGTTTGAGTTGACCTCACCTCGCGATTCATTAGCTTATAATTCCGAAATTAGTTAGATAGATGGTTGAACCGAAATTTTGATTATACTAAATTCCATTTGAGTTTTGTCATGTTTTTTTTCGCAATTACAACGAGAACTGTGTTCAACTTGGTATACATGCAAGCCGAACGAAACTTTATACGATTTGTATCGATTTTCCTTTGCACTTGAACTTTACATTTTCAATTTTAGCACGATTTGTGTTTTGCTTGACATGAAATCAAGCAGTATCGAAGTAAAATAACCTAGAAAATGGCTCGGAATTATCCCGAATGCCAGTGGATATTTAATTCCGAATTTCTGACTCAAGAAGCTGACAGACTAAACGTCTCAGAGAGCGAAGTCGAGGGAGTTTATCACGAAAAGTACGGACCATGCGAATATATTCCATTTTCCTATAAGACTGACGCCTATATATACAGCATCATAGCATGCTATTGTATCATCATACCTATCGGGATTCTGGGGAATTTGACGGTGATATATACCGTTTTAACGGTGGATGAACTTAAAAACGTAGTCAATCTGCTTTTGGTCGCTCTGGCATGTAGTGATTTGTTGATGACAATCGCAATGCCATTCACATTCTTATTCAACATATCGTATTCATATTTAGCTTCAGAAGCAGCATGTAAGGCGGTACCTGTGATTCAAGGTAAGTGATGTCCTCCAATTCTTTTTGTCAGATTTTATTATTTTTATTAACGTGAATGAACAACAGTGAATTATGAGTTTTGTTGCTGACGGCAAAAGTAAAAAAAATTTTTATAATTTATTTTTTATACGGTTTATGATCGTATCGAGTATATGATTTTGTTATCCCAAATCCACCGACACATTCCACCCTAAGAAAATAAAATGTACGTGAACTGATTATGTTCTACTTCAATTGAAAATTTATTAAGCTGTAACCGGCTTTCTCTTTTTGCTGCCCGATGCGAGTTTCTGATAATGATGCCCCTTATACCTAACTCCAAAAGTTATTTGGGGGCTGAACAAATCATAGATTTTGTTATACATGGGAATAAACAAATAATAAGTCAATTTATCACTAAACAGAGTAACAAATTCACCCATATAACATGCTGCCACTATGGCCCCCTCTAGACATGCCCCTGCCCCTGTAACCAAAGATAATGATTTTTATAAATAAAAAGGGGAAATATTGAGAAATTAGGTGCATGTTTCAGTTTAAACTAAAGCTTACTGCCTTGCATCAATCAGGGTTATTGCGCAAGTTCGTTATTTTGAGCTCCCCAATCTAACCAATGACAGAAATCAGAAAAATGTTTTTAAACGAAAGAGGGACAAACAACGCAATTTAAACACTATAAATTTTACATTGTTTGCAGGTCATTTCATAGTTTACCTGCCACAAAACTGGTATTAAAATTATATTTGTTGACTTCGCCAACTTCAGCGTGTTCTTCGCGCAGCCGCTCGTACGGTATGAAATCTGAAAACCTTCTCCCTTGGCAACCTTCTCCCTTGAGTAAGTTCTGTAACGGACTGCTAAAACAGACTTTGCGAAGTACGCAAGCCAATGGCTTTAATGATTATTGGGTATAATATCTTCGACGGTATCACGGCTGACTATATCACATATGCGAACAACGAAAAGATCATAGTGAAAGGAATATTTCTCAAACAAAAAATTGCCTAAAAAACAAGACTAACATTATAAACAACGATTTAGCAAAATTAACCTTACTGATCCGCGGTGTAAAACGGTTCCGAACAACCGGCTTAGAGCTTTTAACTTCCTAAAACCTGAAACCCCTCTTGTTTAGACCAGGGATGTCCAACCAGCGGCCCGCGTGCCGCATGCGGCCCACTGGAAGAATTCGTGCGGCCCACTTCAAGTTTTTATAAATATTGCGACGAAGTCGCAAAGTTGTTAAAATCATTTAAAGGGAGATTCGCTAACTTACAAAAATTCGACAATCTTCTTTAAAATTTCATGTGTTTATTTTACATTTGAGTAGAAGATGCCCCAGAATACATGCAACTTGAATTGATCCCGTCAAAAACCGAACTGAAATGTTTGTTTCGAAGAATTAGAAAACTTGAATTCTACAGTCAGTATATCGATGGGGATAAGTTTCCCATCCTGAGACAAATGGCGATGCGTATTGCGGCGGCAATAGGAACAATATATTTGTGCAAATCTTTCTTTTCTAAATTAAAAATTATGAAGTCGAAGAGTAGGAATAAGCTGACGAATGACAATACGATCAGATACGTTGTGCGGTATCAAAACTACTTGTTGATATTAAACAGTTGCGCAATAACATACAAAAGCAAGTTTTGTACTATCTGAAAAAATATTGCTGACATTTTTTGTTTTGATTTTTTATGCCAATGTATATTATTGCTTAAAAATTTTGCATTTTGCGTAAAAGTTAAGTTGAACTTTATGGTTCATGGTCCTTGTGTGCATGTTGTGTTCAGAAATCCGCAAAAGCGATATGCAATCCAGGCGTTCGATTTAGCGACGCTCAAATTCTAACGTAACTCAGAACTGGGTTGGTATTTTAGGTTTGGCAAAAACGTTTGCGGCCCGGAATGAATTTCCTCACATGAAAGTGGAACGTGACACTAAAAAAGTTGGACATGCCTGGTTTAGACCGGCAACAAAATATTCAATTGCTTGAAACATATATATGTGAAAAGACTGCGCATTCCATTCAGAAATAAACCCAAGTTGTTCTGTATCAGTTACAAATGTTGCAACTTGATATTATTATGTTCGTATTATCTGCTTAACGAATACAAGACTTTTCTGTAAAATGTAGTTGAGATGTAACGATATGATATCACGAAATCATAGAGAGCATTTCTACCTCTGTGTAAACAGGTGTATACCTAACTATGGCAGGTTTACGACATTTGTAAACGTGCAACATTGTTTTGTGGTTTATAATGACGTCAAATGCCATTATTACGAGATTAAATCCTTAAGTTTACCATGAGCCGACCATACAAAGTCCACATGATGCCAATAGGTTTCTTTCCCAATGCATATATGGTGCGATCGGCCACGATACTTGCACAGTAATGTCCCGTATATCATGTCTGTATATATTTGAAACAAATAGAATGGCGTAATTTAAATATTTGAAACTAAATCGATATGTTATAATATGTATGTACAGTTGACTGCTAATACTTTTATTAAAAGCAACAGTTGGGAACACAAAATTTCCCGAGAGACTACTACACTCCAGACTGAATTTTTTTTTAGTCAATATTAAAATCTTCGTATGTCATGCCAAGAAAAAATTTAGAATCTGGCATGATATATTTGACGTTGCCACAACAAAGTTCATTCGACCTTTCAGGTACTGCTGTGATGAGTGGCATTTATGCTCTGGTCCTAATTTCGGTGGAAAGATTTTACGCAATTGTTCATCCATTTCATGATGCCATTATCAAGACTTCCTGCAGAGTTGCCCTGTCTGTAGCTTTAATTTGGACTTTGTCTGCCTGCTTTCAAGTATGTAATTTTTATTGGTATACCCTGTAAAGAGGCAATTTACAATAATTGTTGGGTATACATTTGGGACATTCCGGTTCATCGGACTATAGAGAGTGAATTTATGAAGAGGTAAATGCCAGTAGGGTTCTGGTACCTCAAAATTCTCATTTAGAGATGTACCACAGCTCCAGTTGTGTACTGACGGACTTTCATTTTCAGCGGTGGAAGCGCGACAAATGGTACAAGTGGGACAAGACACTTTTGAGACACCCGCATTAATCTCAAATTAGCAGTAAAATAATCGCTTCCAAACGCTGGAATTGACTGTATTGATTCGCAAAATTTGAAATATTAAAAAAAAATTTACTGGCGTTTTTGTCGCAAGATTAAATTCTTATGTAAGTGTTATCGCCCTATTGATCGATTCAAATAGTACTTTTCCTATTTCGAATTTTTTTAATAATTGATCCTTTGTTTTAAAATTCAACATCTAAATGTACCATTTTACTGGCATTCCTCATATATATAAAAAAAAAATCAGTTTTCAAATCTTTTAACACGGCAGTTCAGGTGTGAATTTGATATCATACAATAATGGAAAATAAATAGATACGATGCTTATTGCTTTTCAACGTGTCAAAACAATTCTAATCAGTGCATTTTTTTGAATCCTTACTTTTGATAAAGGAATAATTTTGATGAATTGCTAACTGTAACCTCAATAAAATATTTAAAGATTCCACTGCCAATCGTTTCTGAAGTCGACGAACTATCTTACATGATCGGATGGAACTCTACGCAAGAAGTCGACAACTGCACAGCAGAAGAAATGATTTGCTTCAGTATAAAGCAACGTATGTGTTATGAAACATGGGATATATCTCAAGCACTCGTATTTAGTTACTCAGTCCTTGTGGTGATGTATATAATTCCGTTGGCGCTATTAACATTTTTCTATTCGCGAATTGGTTATGCTATGTGGAAGCGCAAACCTGTGGGTGCTGAAGTCCGTTCCTACAAGCAACGACGGCGATTAGTGGTTTTTCTGGTCGTTCTCGTTGTTGTCTTTGCCGTTACATGGGGGCCGTATTTCATATTACAATGTTTTATCGGCCAGCAGATCAACCCTATGCTGGCTGGCTATTTGCAAGTGATGGGGCATTCAAATGTTGCTCTCGATCCAATTTTGTATGCCCTATTTCACCAAAATATAAGAAAACACGTAATTTTGAAATTTAAAAAATTAAAAACTTGTTGCAAATCACGAAAAAATACTGTAAGCGGTGCAGAACTGACACGAACAAATTTTCCTCCCCGTACTGTGTGCAATGTTTCCTCCCACAAATCTGTAGAACCACCGTCAGCAATTTCGGGGGACGAAGTTGGAGTTGTTGGCGATAAACATTCGTCGTTGGGTCGGGATCGCAGTTCTTCATCTTTTTCTTATGATGATTTGATATTACGAATATCCGACATACGACGTAGGAGTGAACCTTTGACGGAGAAATCCGGGCCCAGTGAATTCATCAACAATGCTTTCGCACTACCAACTGTGGATCCCGTCGATGAGAATAAATCTTTGAGAAGCGAGTCGTCCACCAATTCATTGCCTGATGCATCGAATGCTAGTTTACCCAATAGCACAGCTGATACGTGATATTTTACTTTTTTCAAATCACGTACCCTTGTCAAACGCGAAGTGGATTCTAACTTATAGATAGAATTATTGAGTTGGTAAGTATTGGACGGAATATTTCCCATTTGAAACGTTTACCCATATACAAAACATACTTATGTTACTAAATTTCCAAGAGAAACCCTCTTGTCAGAGCGACAATCGGCTTTTTTCAGTCTGAGTAACTACTGCTATGACTGAATTTTACATTGGTAACTCCATCTTGTTGCTTTTATTCATTGTTCTTCACATCTGTTTTTTCTAGTATTAATTTATATTACTCGATATTGTGATTTTTTAATTCAAATTTATTTTTTCATATTTTATTTATTGAAAAAAATCAAGGCGATGTTTGTTAAAAATAGTCAACAAGATGAAAGCCAATTATCTGACACACACATAAAGCATTTCACTCTACTAAAGAGATAAGGAGCTCCTGTATACAAAATATATAGAAGATCTATGCTATGTACTGGAAGATAGTTTCAAAGTCATCAAGATAGATGTAATTAATTTGTGATAAAGTTATGGGTGTCATATTTTGTATGTAATCGCTAACAATTATCTACCAGCTAAATTATAATTACCGCCATTCACTTTTGTTTGAAGAAGTAATTTTTTTCAATTTCCAACTGAAAAAAGAAATTGAAATAATACGATTGCAGAGCGGTAAATAAAATTATCAAGGACTTCACTTTTTTATTAGCATTTTAAAATAAAAATATATATAGAATTGCACCTTTGCCCTCATCTATGTTCTAACTTTGTATTTTTCCATTGGCAAAACATTCTTCAGTTTTTAAATATTTTAAGTATTTGCGGAAAACATTAGTCTTGAAATACATAAATACTTCTGCTACTAATTGCCAATAAGGGCAGAAATTAGTTAAGCTTAGTTTGCATTGAATTCAACGCAACTATCATATTTACATTCTTTTAAATTCCTTCGATATAGTAACCACATATAATCAGAATTCAAGTAAAATCAAAATGCATTTGGTGAGCAGGCGAGTGTAAATAGTAAAAGGATTGTTTTGGCTTTCCAGAACCGCATTACAGAGTGTCTCGGGAGATTCTAGTTGTCCTCGCAGTATTCAATCATTGGTAGCAACTTCAGATAGTGGATGCCATTTTGAGATTGTTTTACGTTGTTGTGCTAGCATTTCTTGCCAATGTAAAAGCTGTTCCCCTCGGCAAAACATGAATGATCCGACCACCACTCGTCCATATTTATGCTCACTGTTCGGTTTTCCGGTACTGACAAGATTTTTGAATGATGTTTTGAGTTGTCGAATGCCGCTTTGATATCCTATAGTTATAACTGTAAGAACAAGAAGCAGCCTTCAATTTTCTGTGGACACAAAAGCAGTAATATTCATGCGACTGAATTTTCATGATAACTTTTCGAAGAGTGAAGTTAAAAAATGCAAATCGAATCTTAGTGTATACGTTAAATGAAACGAGCCAGTAAAACTTGGGCATAGCATTTTAAGTTCATCGTCTCCGAAATTGGATGATTGGATGTTGTACTGGGATGGTGTACATTCTATCCTGCACCGCCAGTGAACATGGATAAACATTATTAATAAATAATAACATTCTCCCTTACTGCTGCATTAATATAAGAGTAATATTACCATTTATGGAAAGACAGGATGATTCTATGTCTTTAGGTGTTATTGTGAAGCTGAAAGATTCGTTATAGTTTGGATCGCATTCTCCTCTTTTCACCGCTGTTTTCCTTGTTTTAATTATCTGATGACCTTGTGTTAGAGCCACTTTCACGTACACACCTATCAAATATATATAAAAAGTATCAAAGAGATTGCTGTGGATTATAGCACATCAAGAATGATGAGACATAGACTTGTCCATATGACATATTTTTCTGCCCCATCCCACCCAATAGCAATTTATGCCTGTCCCATCACATGGGATTCCTATTGGAATAGAGTTCAATAAAAATTATTAAATGTATGACAATTTAGGTTTAGCTTCTACTAAATAGTACTACATGTACAGAGAGACATGCAAATCGACAAAATTCATGGGCTTTGTTAGGTTTAAAATTCAGAAGTATTGTCAAACTGCTCCAATTCAGTATCACTGCTCCCACCGCCAATACTATTCGAAAACGTTCGCAGAGATTGAAGAAACGCTTTCTCATCCCGGAAACGACACTAAACGGCCTCTCAACCACATCTTCATTCGAGTGTGACTTGATTGACAGGTACCTGTCTACAAATCACAGAAACCCCATTTTTCTGGCCCGATCGCTTCCCATGGGAATCCCGTTGACAAGCATGTGAAGACATGAAATTAGGGGAGTGGAATTGGAGATGAAGCGTTAGGAATATCTATAAAATTTTGCAACAGAAATTTAAAAACTGCAGAGGTGGGAGACAATTTATTTCGACCTCGGAATAGAAATCCGGATTCCGACTCGAAATTTTTGCTTAACCGGAGTCGGTTTCAAATGACTGGGGGTAGCGGGAACTTCCATCTAGTTCGACAGTCCTGTACTACATTTGAGCTTAAGAAAGTTCAGTTAAAGAAGACATTTTTCAACAGTAATAGTAGTCGATGCTTTTTCCCCAAAATAAACCGATCCCTTCCTCGTTATCTCACTAATCCCTGCAGTTTCGTGATCATAACTTAATGTCGACTATATTGCCGAATATCTCAATTCAAATTTCATCAACAACATAAAAACAAAAATATTTAATTACCGGTAGCTTCCAAGTCGATCTCCCGGAGATTTCTTGCCCTCAGTACAACTGCAGTTAATCGATTGAGCGATGGTAAGTAAGATAAAGATATGTTGATTTCACCGAGTGATGCTCCAGAATCTCCTGGCTGTAGCGATATATTTGTAATTTTATTTACAAGCAAAATTCTGGACTGGTTTTAGCCATTTTGGAACCATGCAAAATCAAACAACTACTATTTGATACACGCGTACAATTTGGACAGCGGGTGCCTAATAGATGCCCGTTGTAGCAATGTCTACTTCTTTTTAGCTTCTGATACACCACTGAATACTTTACATTTAGGTAAGTTTCAGTCTCTACTGAGTAAATGGTTGTATACTTACATGGTACCTAACTTCATAAGTTACTTACATGGGCTCGATCATCCAGATCTCTCCACATCATGTCATCACCACCTTGAGACAGCAATTCTACGTCACTCAAGCTCACTAGAGCATGTCCAAGAAGATGCCTTGCCACCTTCCTCTTGTCGACATCATATACAGACAAACGCAGAGTTCGTTCTCTAATATCGTTCTCAGACACCTTTGAAGATGATAAATTTCATATTTAATATGTGTCTAAAACGCAATATTTTTATTTTCGCAAATAAACCAGAAATCTTGAATGGGGCTACGTTTAAGTAATTAGTAATAAATTGAAATGAAATTTAAACCAGTCGTGTTCATTGTACGTCAGGTAGTGGTTGCAAACTCTAGTATTTGCGTCACGGTTAGGTGAATGATTATAATATCGATGCAATCATTACGAATAATTTTGGAAAATATTCATTACATAATAGGAGTATCTGTATTGTACCTACCGAGGCCATTACCATTAGCATATATCGATCATGCATAACGACCCGAAACAGACAACGGATGGTATTGAGATATTTAGGTTTAGGAGAAATCAATATATATATCTTATGATAAATCTCGAAATATAAAGTAATTACTATTGCCTCTTTGCCAATATGACTTATCGTATTATAGATGTTATGCAAAAAATGTAAAATTTCTCATTCACAAAGCTATGCAAGGTTTTTGCTACATTAGTTTATACAGCATATATATATATATATAGCTCCTAATTTCATCGAAAATTCTTAGCACTAAAGTAATATGTAAATTTGACGAAAAAAGAAACGTAGAAAAAGAAGATTGACGGATAAATGTATGGGTGATGGAAAATTAATGGATAGACGAGCCCAAAATTCCGTAATTATCACGCTACGAAAAGACACCATATTAAACCAAACTTGAAAAGCTTATTCTACACACTTGGAAAACAAAAGTTTCATTGAATCTGGGATTATTTGTTCTTCTTTTGACTTTCGTTTGCTGTGACATCCTTTCATCCGGTAACAAAAAAAGTTTCACAAATGAATCGTGAGGAACGTTGGAACCTCTACCTTGTAACTGACGAATCTGCGTGTTTAAAACATAAATAAATCATAATATTTGTGAACGTCATTAGGCATGGTAATATTCAATATATTAAATAATTATATATTGTATTCTTGAAATTGACTTATAGAATCGACCCTATAGAATCGTTCGAAATATGGGAGTGAAAAAGCTAATTCTGACAATCTACCTATGTTGCTAATTTCGCATGCGTTGTATATGTACATTAACACACATCGATAAGAATTTTTATTATAATTACCCAATATATTCCTCATTAAAACGTAAATGTAATGGCTTACTCAGTGCGTTTAGGTTATACGTCTAAGAATTCATCAAATAATGCGAAATCCTTTTTATGTCGATAATATATTTCCAAATAGTCCCGTCGATATTATTAGAAGAGTGAAATTATCTTCAGGGTAATATTAGTTTGTGGTAAGAATGCGGTTTGCATAAATTTGTTTTCCTTTTCCTGGAACTGCATTGACCCGAACTGGTAATCTATCAATAGCTACAGCTTCGCATTTGTGTGTTTTATTTTGCCCTTAACGCTACAATAATATCTCGCGACTTTACATTTGACTGAGTACAAATCCAATGCTTTCTTAAAAAAAAAACGAAAATACAAGTATAAGCGCGTAGGATGAAGGTTGACGGAAAGCGCTAAACTTTGAAAGTGAAAGTAAGAAAGTATACATTTACGATATTATACCTTGACTACTTTTACAGTCAATGCTTCAACGGCTGCATCGTATACCAGCGTAAACCATATCCTTCCATATTGACTAGGTGGCAGATCATGTTCCTCGTGTTCTGAATATCTGACAAATGCAATATTCCACATTGAAATTAATAAAAAAATGAGGGGGTCCAATTGTTTATATACAAATTCGATGAACTTGGAGGCCAACATGCTGGCAAGTTAGTGTATTATTCAGTTACGTTAATCTACGGTAACTCAATTTTTTTCGTCATTCAAGGCCGACGAAAACAAATGAATAAAATAATAAGGTTGATTAAGGAATTACAGTGAACGTATTCTTCATTTCAATAAAATGATATTATTTTTCAACCTGTACATGTATTATAATATATATGTTGATAGAATTCGCCCCGCTAATAACCGAATTGCGTAAGTCATTTTTAGCAGTTTTGAGAAAAACGTAAAAAACTTCCTAATGATATTGTTATGCCATTGGCAGTCAATAATTTACCATGGTTCAATTTTTTGATCTTAGCCGGATTTAAGTTAATTTGTATGTCGCAGCTAAGGGACGTCATAATGGCACACTGTGACTTAGGCAGAAATGTGTCTATGACTTGGGGACATACGCAATTTTGCAACTTTACTATATGCACCAGTCCTGAAAACTAAACATTCCAAAAACGAATGTAATTCTCATTATTTACAATGTCTAATCCCCAGAATAGCTAATCAGTTTCAATTACATTATTTTTTATGTTTAAAAATATATATTTCATCAATATAACACGTTCTGCACACCCACCGAAATGAGACTAAGATTAAATATAAAGAATAAAACAGCAATGCACCCAATATAAAAGCCAACCAAGGTGAATTGGACTCGGACAGTAAATATCACAAGTGCACGTCTTCCTATACTGTAGTATAAATTCAAATTAATACGCACTAAGCTAGAATCCAAGATGCAAAAACTCAAAAATACTTAGCCGATGTTATTTTGCCTTTGTGACGTCACAATAGTACTGCGGTAACAATGATAATTCATTATGACGAAACAATTGCACAAATGTGCATGTCATACTAAATCTCCATTTTTATGGGTTTCCGAATTCTTAAAATAAAATCTGAGGTAACAGACAGGTGCGCAGCATTACATAAATACCTATTTTATAAAAAACTCAAAATCGCCAAAAATGACTTACACAATTCGGTTATTAGCGTGACGATATTTTGACTTTGTGATTCACATTAAACTTTCATCTTTTTCTACTTATTTCGTTACACCCTAACGAAACTAATGTATTTTATCTAGAATTACTCGTGTGTGATTGAAGTTTTGTTTCGTTTAACTTTTGAATGATTCATAGTATTCATAGATTGCACGAGATTTCATACTTTAGCCATTAATTATCTTCAGTAGCAACCATTTAAAAGCGTATTTCTTTATTAGCATATCCCTTATCATGCTGTGACCTTTTTGTCAGTGCAATAGTGCTACATACTTATAGAGTTCAGGCTGTATTTGTCCCAGCAGACTGTTACGGAAATTTCCAGTTGAACTTAGTTTTGCTTCCGATGACTTTTCAGAAGTCTGATCAAAAGTGCTTTCTGATGATTCGCTGTAGTCTAGTGCGCCAAAAGAATCTTCTTCTTCTTGAATCCCAGGCGCCATGAAAACTCCTGGAAAAATACCGAAAACTGTCAAATTCGGTGACATTCTAAAATTGCTAGTAAACTCTATACTACTTGAAATATCATGTAATCTTGCTGGTGTAGAAGCATTAAATACAATACTATATATTTAATGCGAACTTGTCCACCTAGCAAGTATTTACTGCAAAGTGTAACTGATTATTGAATCGCTTACAACTGTAGAATGAAAATGGGATCCATGATAATTATCAGACTCTGACAGGGATCATGCCTAAACCTGAGCGTCTATATACAAGTGATTAAAATTGCGACGAGACAGTTTACATAAATATTTGCGTGGTATTCGTTCTAGAATAGGCTTTAAATAGATTACTGACAATCGATAAACATCGATGTAATAATTTATGCAAAACAAAGACTCCCTCCCCATCAGTAGGTTAACTCGCGAACCATGACATCGCGCTAAACGCCTTGTTTCCATAATTTTAAGGCTGTATACTATAGTACATTATACGGTTTCTCAAATGATGCTACATATATTTATTTTACAAAATGCAAATCAAGATATCGTCACGCTAATAACCGAATTGCGTCATTTTAAGCAGTTTTGAGAAAAACGTAAAAAACTTACTATTGATATTGTTATGTCATTGAGAGTCAATAATTTGCCATGGTTCAATTTTTTGATCGTAGCCCGATTTAAGTTAATTTGTATGACGCAGTTAAGTGACGTCATAATGGCGCACTGTGACTTCGGCAGAAATGTGTCTATGACTTGGGGACATACGCAATTTTGCAATTTTACTATATGCACCAGTCCTGAAAAGGAATGTAATTCTCAGTATCTACAATGTCTAATTCCCAAAATAGCTAATCAGGTTCAATTACATTATTTTTTATGTTTAAAAATTAATATTTCATCAACATAACACGTTTTGCACACCCACCGAAATAAGACTAAGATTAAATATAAAGAATAAAACAGCAATGCACCCAATATAAAAGCCAACCAAGGTGAATTGGACTCAGGACAGTGAATATCACAAGTGCACGTCTTCCTATACTGTAGTATAAATTCAAATTAATACGCGCTAAGCTAGAATCCGAGATGCACAAACTCGAAAATACTTCGCCGAGGTTATTTTGCCTTTGTGACGTCACAATAGTCCTACGTTGACAATGATAATTCATTATGACGAAACAATTGCACAAATGTGCATGTCGTACTAACTCTCCATTTTTATGGGTTTCGGAATTCTTGAAATAAAATCTGATTTAACAGACAGGTGCGCAGCATTACATAAATACCTATTTTATAAAAAACTCAAAATCGCCAAAAATGACTTACGTAATTCGGTAATTAGCGTGACGATATTATATATTATCAATAGTGTGAAATGTTACAGGACGGAATACTGTGCTTTGCGTGACATATTAAACTTGTTGCACTTCACGCTATAACATCCCCAAACCAGCAGAAAAATAAACTGAATCTGTCCACGAATACACAATAATCGTATATTGTTTTCTGTTAAACTTCATCTCAGTTTGTATGAAATTTTATACCTGTGTCCATAGAAATCGAAGTGTCATTTTCACTGTATGATCTGGGGTGATACGGTTGCACGCGTTCTACTAGTCCGCTACTTGTCGATGATGATTTTCCAAGCGCCATGGGAGGAAGAGTGAACGGTATACTTCCATGTCGTACAGATCGCGTTATAGCAGGGGAACGCTGTCCGAATTGACTGTTGGATCGAATAGTTAAGGTGTTTTTAGGACTCTGCTGCAATCTAGAAAAAAACGAAGGTGATATGAAAAAAAGTTAATATGACGGGGACGTTTAAAATGGTAAAATGTAAACATATATAAAATATAAAAAAGCGTTTCCATATTAGAGATTTACATCACGAATACCATCATATTTCTCACTAATCTGCCTAGGAAATTAAATATCCCGAATTGGTGGCGAAGTATATGGACTCCATCAATAATAATTACCATGTAATATATTGTCGCCACAAGCGAAACCCACAAACCCTGAATCAAGTTTTGAATTCAGAAGCACTTAGAGAAAGTTACAAACCGTTTTTATGGTGCACTGACTTATTTTACGCGAGATTCGAAACGTAGATTCTTGACAAAGAGATTATATCGACGCCTAATCAATTGGCGAGTTATCGATCTAAAGAAAAGGGCTCGGGGAATTTCACAGTATTCTAAGTCCTCATCCGTCGTTGGATGATATTCAACGATTGTATACATAACGTATTGATTGGTCGTTGTACAACTTGTCTTGAGTTATCATGTCTGTATTTAAACATTGCACATATTTGAAACAGCTACCATCCAACTGTTTTAGGACGATAACAAAGTGGGGTGGTTAAATATAAATCGCAGACCCTTCGACATGATAGTAATCGCATAACGGGATCCCCAACACTCAAACTGCCTAAAGATCGGAATTTTATACTAGTGAAGTGGTAAAAGCGATATAGAAATGTGGGACAATATATGACGACACAAACAATAACTTTTCAATGGCACCAAAGCCACTTTTAGGCACTATATTCGATAGATCATATTGTTCACTATTTGTGTTAAACTTTTACTGTAAATCCACTTTAAAGCAACGGTCCATAACTTACATCTGACAAATCGGTTTCAACCCGGATATACCGCATTATCGATCGTTTGAATCTATAGAATTTAACACTGTATTCTGAAGTGCTTTATAAACCCCTTTCGACGTGACCCAGGATTCATAACATTGAATAATCGTGTACCGATTAATCATAAATCGAGCATAAATGCTTAATTTTCGGTGATGGGCATATGCTCAAAAAGCAAACCAATTTTTAAATAGAGATTTATCAACAATTTAGCCTATTGAAGATGAAATATTTAATGTCACCGGGAATTTTACGTATGAATAAAAATTATTACAAGCCAGTCTTGATCAGACATGAGTGAGGTATATACCACATGTGACCGCATCAAGATCAAGTGAGGCTCAAAGTAAATAAAATTAAACGATTAAAGTAAAGACGGGTTTATTCAGTTCAAATTTCAATTGTTGACACTCGACTCGTGAGATCAAAAAAGCTGTTCGCTTTTAGAAAATCGGTAAAAACGGAAAATTCTTGAGTAAAAAAAGGATTAAAGTACACAATCGATCGAATCGTTGAGTCACATTCCCCAAAAGTAGTTTTGATATTATAGATCCGGACTTTTCGTTTTGGTTTGTTATTGGTTTCAATTGGAAAACATAGACGAACAGGCGAAACGAAAATTGAAATATTTAATTTAGTTCGAGTCTTTGGTTTAATGCTTTTCAATAATCTGGTTATTTAAGATTTACCTCTACTTCAGCACTTTGAAAGTAATAATTCACATAACCGCTCAAGTTCATCGTTTCCAATAACTGTTATTATGTTTATTAGATATGAGCGTTTGCATTTGGTATTTCAGGTTTGTACATTCACCCTCCTCCCCCATCTCCCCCCACAAAAAAAAGAAAAAATATACATAAAAAATCAATTCAACCAATTAGGAACATGGTATACAACCAATTTTGGTATCTATTTTTGTTACATTATATAAATTCTTGTGGTTTTTGAGGAAGAATTAATTTTATTAGTTCAAACAACTCAATTATTTGTGCAGTTTTATTTTATTGGACCGGATATGTTTTACAATGTCGTTTACCATATGTTCACATCACATTCATATGCAAATATGTTCCTCAAGCCACCATACTAATAAATATTAAATTTACTGGGAAATGGAAGAAAAAAATCTGTATCACAGACTAAAAATACCAGATATACAAAATTTTAAATGTCCTTTCCTAAAATGGTGTTCTCAATATTTCTCAAATATTACAAAAAGCGGTTTATGTGGCTTCATCGGCTTACATTTGAGATATTGCGTCCAAGTACAGAAATATAAGTCCAAAATTGTTTCTTGCCGCATTTAAAGTAACCAGTGGTCGTATCGTGCCTACCACCTTCATTCAAATCAGTCTAAGCGTAAGAATAGCGACTATTTTGAAAATCGGAGCAAAACGTCAGCGGAGTTGCTACTTCGACTTCCTGTTTTAAAATTGCGGTATATTCAAATTATTTTTTCATTTTCGATGAGCGCGATCTTTTGATTATAGCAGTGTTTCTTAAACAGAGTTCGAGCTCCTTCGGATTATTGTTTCAGCTTTCGGATCTTCAAAGTTGCATCTTTTGCCCTTTCCGCGCGCACAAGTTATACAACTTGAAACGGTGGTTGCTAGTTTGTCCGAAAGACTCTAGCAATTGCATTCCGAGGCGATTTTTGAGAAATATTGTAATTAAAAAAGGCACTTAGTTCGATGACTATATGAAGTTATTAGTGCTCTTGTTGCAATTTATGTTCTCCGTTAATAAGTTTTGGCTGCGCCCCTGCTCTCAACTGTTTGAAACATCGAGGTTCGACGGAAGCTTGCAGAATAACGTAGGGGTTCCACACGTTTGAAAAGATTAAGAACCACTTGATTAGTGCGATAAACTTAACCATGATGACATTCCGTGTTAAAATCTCGGTTTCAAATCTCATGTCTGTTGTGCGGAGCTTTGTTTGGAACGGAAAACGTATAAAAAATTCCAATTTATCATAGAATCCAACTACGCTGGCGTAGATTTATTTTTTAATCCTTCAGAAGCAACTCACCCGTCATCGTTTCCGCAATCTTCCCCGGAAGACCAAAATCTCTGAAACGAGTTTTTAATCATATCTAGTTATTTTTGCTAACTGCCTCCTGTATTATGGAAGAAAAAAATGTCAACTTAAGATAATCTGAATGAGTTTAGTACTCTAACCCTGCACCACAATTAGTCTGGATATAAATATGATATTAAATTGGTCTTTATCAAAATAACTTAGATCGTTTATCGATTGGTATATTTCAAATGACCCGAAAAAGCCTAATCCCATCACATGGTTGTGAGTTCATTATTTGCAGGATCCATTAAATATTCATCCACATTTCCAATACATTATCGCTATTATGAGTGCCAAAATTAGTGTTCTGATGTCATAATGCTGTTGAACCCATGTGAACTCTGAATATATGAATTTACGATGAATATGAACGACCGATAAACGTTTAGTTTGCTGCTAACACAGAATACAAAACATGGTTTTATACATACTTATTTTATTTCAATACTCTGTCTAAACTAAACAGATAAATATAATACGATGATACAATTTTGTCACACTCAAACTATGTTCTTTAAAAGCATCCACTTCGTCACACCTCTCCTCAACTCTATAACTGCATAAAATTTGTTAGCCTGTGTATTTAATAATTCCAGCGAATTTCATGAAATCATCATTATGTGATCATTACAACACACAGAAACATGATTCAAAGAGCAAAAACCTCAAAATAGATCACCCTATTCCCCATGGGATTGTGTCATTGTTGGTTTGCATATGGCGCGATATTTTCACTGACATTCGAGTTATATTTGAAAAAAGCTTTGACATTAGCATGGTGTCACTGAACAAGCTATGTTCCGTTCAATATAATTTGAAACATATTGTTGGAAAATATGCTGACAAAATTATAACTGACCTGAAACTTGGGATTTATTCTGCAACAATTGATATGAACTACTTTGAAGACGCCGCGTGAAAACTATCAACTGAGTAAGTGCCTGTGATAAAATTAATTTAATTAATTGAGACGACGGCTTTCAACTTTACTATGAGCAAACGTATATTAAATAACTCTTTTTTCAATTTTATGTAGCCTAGCCATGTTGCAGTCGCAACAAGAGAGTAAAATAAGATTTGTAAAATATCCGGTACGATTCCAGTTAAAAACATATAAACACGCTACGCATTAGTGGGAGTGTAAAGCAATTTCAAAAATTACTTATTTATAAATATTTTTCCTCCAAATAATCGATTTACTATTTACTAGTCTTACAATCATAATCATTTTATTCACTAAAGTTTTCTGCGAATAGCCTATTTCCAACACTTATTCCATAACCTGATATTATTCCCCATAATTAATGTGTTATATTTCGGAGAATGCTCTGTTTATTAGCTTTCTCTAATCCGAACTCGAAGACTATATTCAAATTATTTCTCTCAATTTAAACATTGAAATCATTGACTCGTGGTGACTCATGCTATGGTATATCCGTCATGTTATTTGTTTACATCTGGGACCGAAATTTGGATAAAGAAATGAGAGCTTTTCTAAATATCATTAAAACATTGATAAAAATTACTTTAAACTGACTGAAGGAGAGCAAAACACAAAACAGATAAATTCGTGCGGAACGACAACCACTGGAGAATAAAATTCAACAAAGTGTGTAATCTAAAGTAAACAATAATATTATTTTATAAGGTGCGATAAAAAACAAAGCACTTCTGTCATTGAAAGTTTTTTAGACTTTCTCAAAATAATTTTAACAATAAATATGCCTTTCACTTTACATAATACAATATTATAGCTAAATTTGCTCTCTTTCTCATTTGCTCTCGATAATTGATGAACACTTCAATCATTGAGATATTCTGTACTCTGGTATAGAAACCATTACAGATCGTTTAAAAGCTCCTTCTTGTACGAAAACGCGTAACTGAAGAGGCCATCAAACATAATACGTTTTGATGTGTTATCGAAAACAAATAATTTATATATATAGAGTGTGTCCTGAAGAAGGTTATACAGATCAAACACGAATCAAAGATAAATAGTGGTTCAGTTCAATCAGATTTAGGAAAGCTAAATATGTCA